GGGGTCAATAACTTAAAGATAGTCTTAATCGAACGAGTTATATCTTGTTCAATACAATGCAAAATACCAAACATCAAAGGGAACAGATGCCAAAGTGTTATTGACAAAAAGATCTGACGGCAAAGATGTCTCACTGCATTTGAAGTTAGCAATCACGTTTGCATAACTGCGCTAAGGACACTCATTACCGCACGATTGCTGTAAAGCCTCATCATTCCGTGATCTTCACAGGAAACTATTACAAATTCTACTTTTCGAACAAGTTTTCGGAAATTATTTTAAACTTTTGCGTAAATAAGTTCTAATAAGAAAAGATGTCCTTAACGATTAAGCCTGTTAGAGATTCTGAAGGACTTTTACAGTAACAAAAGAGATTAGAAGAACTTTTGAATTGTCGTGAGAATTTGTTAACGGTTTTCAACAACAACAGCGGGGCGCACTCGACAAATTATTGTCCACCGCAACAATAATAGAGGCGCTCTCGTGAGATCAAGCTCATTTTGAAACATGTTTCAAATGAAGATTGCCCTTCACAGCTCTGCTGATGATTGCGCATCATTTGTCGAGCTAAATCGCTTAAAAATAAAATTGTTAAACTATCAATGGCTGTACCCAATATCGGTAATTATAAACAACACTAATACTCACCTCGCTGTTGTGAACACAGGAGAATGCCTTCACTGGGAGCAAACTCTTCGATGCTTGATGCTAAACTCACGATGAATGGAAGAATTGTCTCGAAAAATGTTGCACTTTCTTGTTCTGTTGCAATCTTATCAAAAAACAGCAGTAGCCCTTGAAAATGCCAGCTTAGCTTCAAGGAATCGGAAGTTTCTTTCGCGCCTGACCGATCGTTAGGAACTCGGAGTTGTTTGATGTCATTACCAGAAACTTCAAAAATCCTTTGTAGAACTTCAACAAGATCTTCTGTATCCTTCACTCCCTGTAGCTTCGCATAGAGATTTTTCAGCTCTGACCACCTTCCCTGATCACTAAATGGCAGATCAACATGCTGAAATCGTGCATAAACCATGATCCCTTAGATCAATCGATCACGCCGAATGAGAGACGAACTACTTTGAAATGGTTCTGCATGAAACATGATGATAATCATTCATTCCTGTAGTGAAAGACATATAATGCCTGTTTCTTCAGACGGCAAATCGATAGCCTTTCTTTGGAAACAGAAAGTATGATATGATAGCATTGTGCTGTAACACTGAACAGGACAATAACAGTGCCAATTTAGTCGGGCGGAACATAATAGACTTGGTAAGATCTTATTTCAGTTTCTCATCACTCAGCTATAATGGACCCTGTAAAAGACGATTAAGAATATCAACATCAATCAACACAAATTTCCAACATTCTTTAGATAAGCTGTGTTTGTAATCACAATACAAATAACCTTAGCAAAACACACATCTGCTCAAGCATTTTGGGTTTTGTCTTTAACAAATATTTCCAACACCTCTCTTGACACCACGGCAGATCCACACTGTCATAGAGGTGCCAGATTAAAACTGAAAAAATAAAACACGATAGCAGTTTTTCTTCCTCTTTTTTTTCCATGGAAAGCAAAGAAATAAGTTTGATACTTACCTCTTTGTTACCATTTAAGGAAATGACTTTGTATTAAATAATTGATTCAAGACTTGCTCTGTTCCACCCAAAGGTTTAATTCTCAAACCAAAAACAGGCATTCATCTGTGAGCCAAATTAACTTTCTTTCAGGTTCCCTAACACACATCACAGTCCTATTCGTTAAATTTTGAAATAACTGGACTAAAGGAAATCTTTACGTCTTGAATTTTTTTCCACGAACGGCAAACTTTACTCCTTCATAGCGGTTTTTAGAGATGTCACGCAGTAGGGTGTGCGTTGCGTAACACCCCGAAGGACAACGACAAAGGAGGATACCTTCCACTTACGAGAACACATTTTTGTTTCCCTGGGAAAGAGTGGGCAATGGGGTTTCATGTGACATATCAGTTCATATCATAACAAGAAAAAATGACCTTTCTCATTACATTGATGATGGCCTTACTTACCATTTATTTCCCCGTGACTCCGTGATAATGCTGAAAAGTGAAAATCCAAAGATCTGACATTATATTTCTTGGGGAGAGGGGGCACTCGTGTTTTTCTCCATCTCACAAGAGAAATAACATTTTTCTTTATTTGACAACCAAGCACCAAGTAATCCATTTTTTGGTTTCAGCCCACTGAGTGTTTTCATATTTTAGAAAGTTTAATCTGTAACCAAACTTCATCTGTCTGCAGGCAGAGGAATAACACTCATTCCCTAACACTAATAGTGAAGGCCTACTCACGTGCTACGGCAATACTTTTTCAAAACTTTCCTTTCACATAATGAATAATTTTAATGCTATTAGAGTAAAAAAGAAAGCCTTAAAAATCATCTTTGAGCATAAACACACTAAAAAAAAATATTTTGCTCTTTTCAAACAAAAGTATTATCAATTTCACAATCAACTAAATACACTCCAAATGAAAACAAACACAAACTAGTCAATATAATGTACATTAGCTGGCTCTAACAAAGGCTAAAAAACCTCTGAAGACATGTTTTAGCTACAATAGTCCACTTTCTGATGATTCAAGCCAAAAACATCATGTCCACTGACAGTAAAACAATAAAATGTTACATGACTGTTGAGGTGAAGAGCAAACTATAGTTTTTTATTTTTTTCAAAACTTTTTTATTGTTGGATTTCACCCAAAAAATGTTCATAACACTTGACCTAAACTCTAAATTTGGGTCAACTAAGTGGAACAAGATCACAAAAACAAATAGACTGTAACACTGTCTATAATTTTAATATATAAATGAAATTTTAATAAATAAATGAACTCAGAAGAACAGACACTTTTAACAAAATTAAAATAAAACAGATGACAACTGTAGTTTGAGAGCTAAAAAATTGTACCAAGGGCCTCAAACCATGCAAGGATTGTATTATCATATGTTGCCCATGCTTCAAATTCTTCAAAAGAAATCTTGCCATCTTTGTCTTTATCTGCACAATGGAACACATTGTTCACCATTTCATCTATGGCATCTTGTGACATAGCCTCCATTATTGGTGACCTGCCATCAACTCCTTTTGCACTTGTGCTACTCCCTGGGTTGTTCATTAACATCACTGGTTTGCCATTTGCTGTGGATGGCCCTGCATCACTAGGAATAGGAGCATTAAATATTGCAGATACTGGCTTGTCACCTGAGTCATCAAAAGATGCCATCATTTCTTCTTCACATGATCTCACAACATCACGCACAAGTTCAAGGCTTATTTCAAAGTATGCTTTGAACATGTTTCTAAGGTTCTCTTTAGAAATGTACTCTTTCTTTTCAATGTCACAGCCTGCAAAAGCATAAGAAATCTTCTCTTTCTCACTTCCTTTCACAAGAATGGACAAACCAATGACAAACTCATCAATGTCAATGATACCATCATCATTTTGATCATAAAATTTAAACATCTGATCCATGACAAGATTCTTGTGTTGTCCCAAGGGTCCTAAACATTTGTCAAACACCTCACGAGTAATTCCCTCTTTCTTAGTGGCCAGAGTTTTGAACTGTTCAACAAGTGCTTCTATCTCTGATTGATCAAAGTAAGTTTGCTCACGGAGACTTTGAATGTCATCCCAAGACAAGTCACAGGGATGATCCTTGATACCTGAAAAGCAAAACAACATTAATTTCAGAATATTTGTAGTTCAGGAAATATTTTCTGTCTGTGACCTACATATTATTTCTTTTCACTAGCTGCCCCCATTTGGTTTAAAAACAGGTCTACAACAAATCTCTTGCAGATGAAAAATATAAGAAAATACAATAGCACAATTTAATCAAAATAAATTTTTAGGCACAAAGAAACTTTTTATAGACAGATCTGCATGACTCAAGCCATCATCAGTTTTTCCTTATACACTTTTAAGTTACTTGAAGAATATCGTTATCACGAAGTTACAGGTAATTGCACAATCAAATTTATTAAAAATATGTCATTCACTATACGTAACTACTTTGACCCTAGTGAAAACACACTTAGAAATAATTCCTGAGTTATTTGTGTTACTCAATTTAAGGCACATTGCTGTTAATTTGCAGGCCAGTGGGATTTTAAGTAGAGCATTAGCAGTCCTCGTGGCTGGAGATTTCGAAAGATCATTGACAGAAAAAAATGTAACTAAAGCTCAAACTGTTCCTTGGATACGTTATCAACAAATAAAAGAAAATTTTTTTTCATATTTAAAAAAATTTTCCAAGAACATTCAACAAATCATCGATATAAAGGATAGTTATTTTCTTTATTCTTACCTGGGTAGAGAGGTTTAATGCAAGGTGCTCTAGGATTTGTGAGAGGAGGCATTGGAATTCTGATCTTCAGAAACAGATGAGTTTTGTTATGATCATCTCTCGCTTCACAACGCTCACATACATCATAATCAACACAGCTAGAACATTTATATCGTATTCCACAAATCGGACTTGCTTGGCAAGAGTTACAGGTAATTCCACGGTGAATGTACCCTTCTCTTCTGGCCTGATCTTCCGCAATGTTGAACAAAAGGTTCAATAGATGTTGTCCTTCTAGTTTTATTTCTGGATCGTCAATGACAGCATTTCCTTCCGCCTCAGAAGTATCAGATAAATTACGCACCGGGGTCACTGCACTTTGTATCGAATGCATGTGTTCCAAAGATCTTGGCAAAGGATCGTCGGCTGAATTTCTCCTTTCTGTCTGGTTTGTGGTTCTTGGAAGGAAAAAGAACCGTCTAGCTGTGTTCGCTCCCATGAAAAGAGCAACACCGACCGCCGCGCCAAACGCAAACTGTGTGACAGACCCCATGACTGAACGAAATTTGTGAAATCAAATTAAGAACAGCATCTGTTATTAGGATCATGTACATCTCACTGCCAAAATTATCATTTTAACTCTAAATCACTCCAAATTGGAATAATTTCCGATTCGAAGTGGGCGCTTTTTTTAGATGTACTAGGCCATTACTTGAACCAAAAGTACAGCGGCTAATCGAATTACACATGCTCAGAGAGCTTTGTTATTCAAACTACTTCAAACTCACTAATGGCGGGTGTAGAAACTAGCCGTGGTCAGTTAAAAGATACAAGGAGGGCTTTATTTCGGACCCCAAATCAAGATGACAATAGTAAGGCACCAGGTGAAGAGATTTCATGTTTCCTCTCAGTGCAGGTTTAAATTCTCCGCATTTTCTCGTTTCAAAATTTTTGCCCAACTCTAATCTCTGATTATAATACTTTGCCACAATTTACAGAAGCGTTGGAGGCCTTACTAAACAGAATTCAAGTAGATATTGAAGTGGACTCTAACCTTCAAGGTCTTAGAAAAGGTAGTCTGGAAATCCTCAATAATTTCATCTCTCAGAATTGTTCATTATAGAGCATGAATCAAAATCAGTCAATCAATCGACCAGGTAGAGGGAATTACATGTTTAACAAGTCAAGATATTTCTAATTAGCTTTAGATGAGTGATGCCGAGCTGTTTGTTCATAACTGTGATGCATGTACCCCTCTCACTTTTTGGTGATGTCGCTAATTATGACCTACTCGTTGAGCATAATGCACCCCTCCCCACACAACCTCCAACCATAGCGAACAATTAGTACACTGTACCAAATACAGATTCGACAGGGATAACGTACAAGTTGCGATTGGTTACACTTTGTTCTCAGCTTGCTCTGTAATTGCCAATCATGAGCAACTAATTTTTTCCTGTGAGTGTGTTCTTCAAGAAGGGATCAGAATCTTGCATTTTCACCCAACCTCATACAGATTTAAGACCCATTTTTACAATTTTTTCATTTCATTTCAGAGATCCATGAACAGACTCTTACTAAGTTGAGACAGGAACTGACTCAGATTGGTCAAGATGAATGGATGTACAAACCCATTGATCAGATTATTGGATTTTGAGTTGTTTTTTGCATTGCACAATTAGCTGTAACAAGGTCTCCAGAATGGGTCTAAGGCATTGATGATTGATAGACATTTTAAGTCAGAGGTCATTCACAAGACAATGTGGGGCAGGGTATGGCAATGTTGGCCAAACAAGAGACAGTCTCCTTCGGACTGATATGATGATGTTGTGTTGCTTCAGTTATTTCCACCATGACTGAACCTGAGAGAGAATTTATAAATATATGTTCAGTGCAATGAGTTTGAGATGGGTGAATGAGTGAGACACTGAACCCTTTAACTCTCATGAGTGACCAAGGCAGAATTTCTCCTTACAATATCAATACAATATCAAGCAGAGAAGTGATGAGAATAAAGAAAAATATAAATTAGGGGATAAGTTGATAAATTCTCCAAACTAACATCATGAGAACTGTATGGCAGACAGTAAGGAGAAATACTGATGAGATCTTGGGAGTGAAAGGGTTAAGGCCCTAAAACCACCATCCATATTCTGTACATTCTCATTTGTACTAACAAGAAGAATTTGCTTGACAACCAAAGCTTTTTAAGTTGGTGATCATTTCCTTTATTCTCATGATCTTAGCAAATTATTCAGCAGTATTACTCTAAGGAGAAATAACATTCTGATCACTCCCAGGGTCAAAAGGGTTAAAATCAAGGCTGGCTTTCATGTTTCATTTTGAATTTATTTATTGTTACATTTGTTTCTGTTTTTTGGGCTTTCAAAAATCATAAATATTTGGAAACTTTTGAAAATGATAGCTTTTGGTCAGACAAGTCTATGGTAGCTAGAAAAGGAAACACCAATTTTTTGGATCATTCTTTTATCATCAAACATGTAAAAGGATAAAAAAAAATTAATATCTGTGTGGAAGCTTCTTGTTGCAGCTGTATTATATTCTTCCACTTTTCTCATAGGCCTATCATGTTAAGTTAGTTTTGATCCAATTTTCAAAAGTCAAAATGTGCATAGTTATTGCTTATCAGTCTGATAAATAAAAAAGAAAGGGAAAGAACAAAACCTGAAAAGACAACTGAAATATCCTTGATTTAATTAAGCTTATTTCATAAATTAATTCGTTTCAATGATAATTGTGAAGAAAGATGAAGTAACCAGTGATCATGACTTGCACTGCAATGCATTTAATGAAGTTTTACTCATTAAAGTTCATTAAATTAATGCAATAAATAAACTGAAGAATTATTAAGTTACAACAAACAAAGCTTATAAATATTGATTCTATGATGATTGTTGTTTTAATTAGTTCATTTTTACACAGCTACGCAATGTAATTTCTAGAAAATAATCTTAAAAATAAAGTTTCCTTTAGATTCTATTCACATATTTACACCAAATGAGTTTTACCCATCTTAAGCTCCTATAACACCTATGCTCAATAGCTGCAAGGTTGGATAATACTATGCCTTTGCACAAATAAAAATTTTCAGCCCTTGAATATAACAGGCTGGGTATATTATGTACAGTGCATCCACTAAAACCCACCACCTCCCACAGATCATTCATATCTATTGAAACAATAAATTCCAGCATGGTCTGATCATGTCAATTAAATATCAAATACAAAACAATGAAATCTCTAGTTTGTTAGCAGGTGAGGTTCGTGTGACTACAGTGTTCAATAATTACGTGCAGGGCTTAGATCTCCTTTACATGCAAAAAAAGCCATTCAAATGGTTGGGGTTCAGTAGATGGAAATACAACTTTTGACATAAAAAGGCTTGTATAACTTTGATTTAAAGTAATACTTGTGACGGACATTCATGGATACAGTAATTTGTAAGGACTATCAGCCGTAACACACTATTTACTACATACATCCCAGCCTATCAACACAAGCACTTTAAACATAACCCCATTGCCAAGTTGACCCTTTCACACCCAAAAGTAATACATATGCAACTTCTTGCAATTCCATTAAGTTATATCATAAATAGGGTTTGAGAACAGGTAAGCTCATCAGCTGGAGGGTGATATTGAAACCACATTCTGCAGTCCATTTTACAAGGAAAAGTTTGACATTTGGTAGGGAGAATTAGAATTTGGATCTTGGGAGTTAAAGGGTCAAGATGTTGCAGATAATTAAAAACTTTGTATGTTAGTGGATTACCATTGAGATTTTTGGCAGAATGAGTGATCTCTAATAAATATTTACCCTTTAAATTTTTCCCACATTGCATTTATATTCAACTCTACAATTATAATTGAAGATAATAAACAGTTAATGATTTAATTCATAGTACAGACCAGCTATACCTTGATTAAATTTACACAAGCTATATTTACCTATTTGAAACCTAACTGCGAACCTCTGCAAGGGTCTCGGTCAGGAGACAAAAAGTTAAAAAGCAGACAGTGAAAAAACAGTGATAATATTTTTCCCTTCCTGCCCCTTTTTGCTCCTTCCCACAAACTTTGATCAGTAACACTATTTTCTATATTTACTACTGGCATATTGATTTTATTGATAACAAAAATAATAATTGAAATACAAATAATAGCCTTCCTGAGTGGAACAGCACTTGTAGGTATATCATATGCTCATCAATCAGCCATCATATCCAAGTAACTTGCTGGAACCCATCCTTCCTCAACAGTTCTTTGGTGTCGTGCAAACCACCACCCTTCCTGTCCAACTCTCAACAGTTCCAGAGTGTCTCCTTCTTGGAAAGATATCTCAGTGCTTTCCACAGCATCATAGCCAGCTACAGCTACATACTTAGTCCCACTGGATGGAAGATCTTTATTGTCATTATCTGTCAAATTCTGTAAGGATTTGTTGGAAAAAAAATCATCAGCTACAAAAACCACCAGAAATAAAGCATTGCCAATATAGTGTTCATTATGCTCCATCTCTCCAACACTTTGCCACATTGTTTTGGACACTAGATTTAATTCAGAGGGCAGGCAGTTTATGTTTAAAAACTCTTGTTTTCAATTACAACAATTTCTAGTACTGGTAAATGCAATTCCATATGTTCTTCCCATTAGTCATAATACAGAGTAGTTATAAAAACTTGAGATGGTAATTGGGCAATGAGATGTAATATAATTAGTGTATTTACCACAAACTCAGTGCTAGTATGTGCATCATAGTGACTGTCGTTCTGTTCTGGTTCATTGTGGGGAGACTCATCACTGTTGTCAGAGTCAAATTCATCAGTATCAAAGCCATCATCATCATCACTGGCGTTATTCCTCTCCATAATGTTTGAATACCTAACATTGCAGAAGAACAAGTAAGAATCACTCATTACGTTTTCATTGAAGAATTGTTCACCAAGGATAGGTCACTGTGTGTAAGTAATAATTGTAATTATTTCAACCTGTTGCTGTTGTTGTTGCTAGCTGCAACAGTTGATGCAATTGAAAATGAAGATTGACTTCGTGATCTTAGCTGTGATTCTGTTGAAGTAGGCGCTGACGACAGGGCTGAGGTTGACTTCCAACGATCTAAAAAATACAAAAATCAGAGTCTTTGATGAACAAAAAGATTCAGCTACATGAAACCATCAGACATGATTGATCAGTCATTTAAGATTTATCCACATCTTTGCTATGACACACTCACCATGAATTGTTGATTGTTCTGAAAAGAAAACAAAATGACAGATAAATTATCACTGGTTAACTAGAGTAAATGGTACACTGTAAATGCTTATGACTTTTTTTAACCCCAACCCACATTATGTTTGAAAATGTGTGTTTAATGTTTTGATTCCCTCAATATGAATGGTTGATCTGGTGGATATCATCAATAGCTTTTTGAACCAATCATTAAGTTTCCCCTGAAGCGACACTATAGGAAATCTAATATTCATCCAAGCTTTCACTGAGCTGTAACCACAGGACACTGTAATAATCAAAGAAAAGAAAAAAGAAATACTTCTCCCCTGATTTTTAACTGTAAGTGTACTTCCAAAAAAAAAACCTTGTACAACACAAGGTAAATTTAAGACTAAAATAAGGACAATATTCTTAATTCTTATGGCACACCTTTTACTTGGTCAAACTGAGACTGAAGAAGGTTTCTTATTCCTTTCACCCAACGGGTTTTAATTTCCAGAGACACAGGCTGAAATATGATCAAAGAGAGGTGGCATTCAACAGTGAGCCAGTAGCAATAGCAGCTGTGATATCAGTGTTTTTCATATGACAAGTTACCATCAATGTTTTATTGGGTTTGGACTTAATAAAAGGAATATGAGCTGTACCCACAAGTTCTATAACACTCGTTCAAAATTTATCAGGACTACACCACTCTTCTTGAAAAAGTGGCCCCTCTCCCCTACCCCCTACCAGGGCAAAATGCAACACCAGCTTGGCATTGCTTGAACCTGCAAACCTCTCAATGACACTCAGAGTAACTAATCTTCAGCCTAAATTGAAGCATTTTAGCCAGCTTGCCTCTCCCTTCTCTGACTGCAAGCAAGACCTTCTACTCCTCACAGAAATACTAAAAACAATTTTGTTCTGACCAGCATTATTAGAGTACATCAAGATCAAGTGCAGTGAAAGTTACTCACTTGCAAAAGAAAGACTTCTGATCTTCCATTTCGCCAAAGCTCAAACTTTTCAGGGGCATCTGGCACTGTTTCAGTGAATCCCACATCACATGTCTACAAGTGTGCAAGCAAACAAATAAAAATTCTGTACATTATGACAATGTTGTAACAATGTTTAAGTCCAAACCTATATTTCATTTCACTGTGTTTAATCATTCAATTCAATAATACACCACAAAATAATTTGTTGCATGAGGGAAATAATTCATACTTAGTAGTGACTGCTGGTGTTGGGTAATTATCAAGGACTAAATAGAATGAAAGCATGTAGCTTTTTTGAAGCAAAATTTCCACCTTGCATGGAACTTTGACAGGTCAGTCAAATATAATTTGAAGATTTCATTAAGAGAGAGACAACTCAAATCTTCATTTAATGGACCCATGTGAACTATTAAGAATTAACCAAATCATAACCTACCTTTATATCTTTCCTGTACTTGTACAGGACTGCTTCTTTACTTGTTTCTTGAACATCCTTTTTGCTAAAGATAATCAACTTTTCATACATAAATACTTGCCGTTGCCTTCCTCCTTTAAGGGGCAACACTTTCAGAGTTTTATTTGTTTCCCAAACCATAAAAGAGTCCTGAAGGAGCAACTTTCCTTGCTCAGCAAGGTTACCAGGAAATCCTCTTATGCAGCATGAGTGCATAACATCATTCACATGCCTTAACACACCTTCCATGGTGTCAAGAGCTTTCTCTAAGTCATCATATGCAGTGCTGTTTCTAAGTGTAAGTTTCATCATTTCCCTCAGCAGCAGTTGGTATTTTGTAATTCTCTGGACTGGTTTGAGGAGGTATGCACTCAATGGCAGTAGATGACCAAGTCTTTCTTGACATTCCTGTGAAAAAAAGTAAGTACTGCATCAGTCAAGAGCCTGAGTGAAGTGCACTTGAAGAGTTGAGTGGTCATAAAAAACTAAGATGGTCTTTCTCCACTTAGAAGATTCCATGGCCAAATGGTAAGTGGTAATTTGGTTTTATCAACTACATGAGCTGACAAATAAATGTGAACTGTCCAACATAGAATACTCTTTAGCTGAAGGTCCAAGGTTTAGTGCTTTGTCAAAAGCTGATTATGTTGATATCTTGGGCAAGTGCCTCTCTCCACTTAGCAGCTTAAAAGGGTTCCAGCCAACATAGACACTTGCTGAAATGGCACTGGTGGCTTGATTCATCTTATTCAATGAGAAGAACAGTGCTCCAATAACAGTTTGCACACTGAAATAGCCTTTGACAAGAATGAGCCCACAAAACCTTTCTTTGTTGTGGCATTTACAGTAGCTAATAGAGTGGAAAACAAAAGTAGCTCTTAGAACAAGATAATGCTGTCATATTGGCCACCGTTAAGAGCTTTGAAACTCTTAATGGTGGCCAATTTACGTTATCAACTCAGTTGATAATACCAAATTACCTTGCTGTACCCTCCCACTGACAAAACACCACAGTTTCTATAGAAACTAACCCCCTTAATTCAATTAAGCTCTTAGAACCTCAAGCACCTTGATCATGCTATTTTAGGCAACCTAACCATGAAACAGCCAGTCAAAGAAATTTCTTAATGCTTGACAGAATATAGGAACCCAAATAGAGATATTGATGTAAAAACTAGAAAGTTACTCAAGAAATTTTTATTATGGTTTGCATTTCGGTAAACAGAAATCTTACCTTGAAGAAAGGCAGATTAATGTAATCCAGTCGCAATGCCTCAGAACTTGGTTTGTTCTTGCAATATGCTGCATACATTTCAAATTCATTACTCTTCATGATAAATGTAGCACCCACCAAAGATGGCTGATCTTGGCAAGACTCCAACTCAAGCAAAAAGTCATTCTTGTGAAATTCATAAATCTGTTCAATATTTCCAAATATAATATTCTTTTTTCCCCGTAGATCTGCAGGAATCTTTTTTCCAGCACGTGCAAATTCCTTCAGGTATCCTTTGACAATGTGCTCTAAGTCATAGACATAATCTTTTTCTGTTTGGATCAGTTCTTTCATCACTTGTGACCGCTTCTTTGCAGCCTCTGGACTGTCAGTGCCATCTACAATATCTCTCTTTTACCAAAGAAAACAAAGGGAAATTAAAGAAATGAATGACTTGAAGACTGCAAATATTTCAGCAATTACGAACATCATTTCTTCAAGTACAATAAATTATAAGGTAAGGAACAGAAGGAAAGTTGCAAGAGCTTTGAAGAGGACTTGCAAAGGTTTCAACAGACATTAAACCAATGAGTCAAAGGCAATTCTTCCCAAAAGCTCTTTGCCTGTTCTCCAGAGTGCAGAAAAGGGAGGGTTTTCTAATGAATTGGTGTAAAGAACAGTTTATCACTTTTATCAAATAAAAAATTCCAACTTTTTCTGACTAGTTTTGGGTAGGTTACTTGCATTTTACAAAAATTCAACAAAGGGAGAAAGAAGGGAATTTTTTTATTTCATGTAAGTAAACATACCTGTATACTTGGCTCAGAGAGGGACGAATGCATGCCATCTTGCACCTGAAGACTGTCTAACACAATGGACACTGGTCGCTTGGGTGATTCAGGTACATTGGACTTCTTAAGCTCAATCTTGCGCACCTGAACTATAGGCAAAGAAATCATTTAAATGTTGATAAATTGATCATTCAATGTAATAGAACTTCTAGTTTGCAAGTTGGGTAAATGTAAGTCATGCAGTATACAGAATACCAGGCTGAAAGCCTCTTGCATTACACAAATTGTGGAACTTTTTTAACACCAACCTGGACTTTTTAAATTTAGTTGTTGACTAAATCTGCGCTTAGAATCTTTTTGCTCATCAGGAATAGAAGCTTGGCTGGCAGGAAAGGCTGAGACAGGCTGCACTGGTCGCTTCACAACAAGTTTTTTCAAGCTGATAAAAACAAAAGTAACAATCAATGGTATGTATAAGTTTTAAAATAATTGCAAAAAAAGAAGAAAAAAGGATGCTAAGATTTTAAATACAGATGAAGTGGTACCACATCTGACATGCTAAGTGATCCATTAATGCCTGAGTCAATGTCTTCTTCATGACCCAAATTGCACTGCAACTTTTCCTAACCAGGATGCTAATCCATGGTTGGTAGCCTTCTAGCAATCATTAAGTTTTTTGGACATCTTGCTGATACTAATTTGTACCCCAAAATGGAAAAAGTAATGTATGTCCTCAAAGAACATCAATCAAAATTCTGAATTTCAGAAGATCCCAGAGAAAAGGGACAAATTAATTCAATTATTGACAAGTTTGATAAATCAAGGGTTAAATCATCAGAATTAACAACAAATTTGAGCCACATGTGACCCTCCAGGCCAGGGAATCAAACCCAGGCCAGGTAGTGGAGGCAACCTTACCACTGCACACATGAAATATAGTTACCTTGTTTCGCGTTTGGCCATCATATCATTGACTTCACTGATTCTCTTCAAGCTATCTTTGACTTTACTTATCAGTGTCTTGTTTCCAAGAGCAGTGCTCATGGGAGTCATCTTTCTGACCTTTACCATGTTCATTCCTTGTGGACTCTTCAAGAAATTATCTATTTCTTCCAAAGCTTTCTCAGCTCCTTCTGAAGACTGAAATCTGTCTATTGGCTGCAATGCCAAAAGGTCTACACCAGTCTTACACCATTTATTGACCTGATATGGGAAAGACATTGTCAAGGCAAAATTACCAAAAGCTCCAAGTCAATGAGTAAAAAGTTGACACCTTATTTCAGGCTGAGATTGAGGGAGTGCCTTGGGCATTAAGAACTAGAGAATTCTCTGGCTTTAACTGAAAATCGTCTATCTAAATTTCAAAGCCCTGAGCTGCTTTTATTCAGGTATGGAGCCATTACCTTGTTTACTCTCCTTTTACCTTACACTTAATTTTCCTAATACTTCTACATGTCCAAGTTTTATATGACAGTCTATATGTTCATCAGATACAATTACAAGGTTTCTATTGGAAACTTTTTGGCTTAAACCAGCTCTTATTGACCTATATAACTAATATTATGAAACAACTGCAGTTACCATTTCAAGACATTCATGTATATCTATAGCTTTCTTCAAGTCATCTTCCCTCTTTAGTACGGCCTTATCAAACTTGTCACAGAGCTCTTTGATCTCATCACACTTCATCTTGATCGATTCCTTAGATTGTTCATGTGATTCTATCATTTTGAGTCCCTTGGCCACCAGGCCTTTGGCTTTATCAAGAAGCTCCTGCTGAATGTAACAAGACAAAGAACTTTTTTTTGGCTGCACAAAAAAATCATTTATTTAATAATCAGTTTGATCTTATAAAAAAATAGCCTAGATAAAATGAACTGAATGCCATGTGGTACTAGTAATCAGACAAGTTGTGACTCATTGCTGCTCATTCAGTGTAATTATTGCAATCATTACAATCACAACAAAACTTAAAATCAATACTGAATCAATAAATTAAAAGTTGTAGTTCATTTATTAACAACCACTCACTGTGCTCTTATCTGCAAATTCTGTTAGCTCATTCAGCATTGATTGGGCATCATCTCTTGAATCACCAAGATCAGTCATTGCTGATAGGTTGCCAAGTGATGAGAGGAGTAAGCCTGTTGTCTAAAAATGCAAATTTGAGACAAAACTTATGATTAGGACCTCAATACAACCCATTGTGCTGATAATTTGGTGTTATCAATTGAGTTTATAGATAAATATAAATTGGCCCCTGTTTAGAGTTTCTAAAACTGACAGTTTGAGTGGTAGCACTTTTCCTACTAATGTGACATTTGTGGTCCTCTTATCTCAACATTTACAAGGAAAGGGGGAGAAGTGAACACAAAATTAACCAAACAAACAAACCTGGTTCATTTCTCTCTCAAAAAGACACACTTTCAATCCATACTGAATCATCGCCTTCTGTTCTTTCCAAAGTTTTTCAATATCATTTTCCATTTCCTTAAGTTTCACTAAGAATTCTTTCAATTCAGCTGCATTAGCTTTGATGTCAGGAGTATACCACTCATCAGCTCCATCCCTCTGCTTGGGATGGATACAATCCAAAAGCGTGACTCCTGCTTGATGTGCACTTTCCATGTCTTCCTTGATATCCTGCCACATTTCTTCTTGAGTTTCTATGATCTGTTCCATATCTGGTACACTTGAGGACAGCTTTGTTTTGGAAAAGACCTGCTTTAAGTCAGCAGTTCTCTCATTGAAGGAAGTCAAATTTCTTTCGAATCGTTCAATTGCCTGGAAAGAATATGTGATATTTAGTTCTTTGTTCATACCTTCTATGACAGGTTCATCAAAATACACCTTATATACTAAGCAGAGTACAAACAAGTGAGCAAATCAAGGTACTTACTGTTCTGTATTGAACCCATTGTACATGTCTGTATTGTAGGCTACCACCAAGCTCTTCAGTCAGTTGTGATTTGTCAATGTATTCCTCCAACTCAGCAGCACAATTTAGAGAAACAACCTTGTAAGCAACAATGATATAATGGTAAATGCAATAAAATATTATTACCAGTAATCTTTGATCCCTTTGGTAGTCGGGGTATGTGGGGGAAGTTTCCACTTTTTGATCTCATTTTCCTGCTCCATCTCTCATACACCTACCACAACCTCCCCTCCCCCATTCTATTGGATCCCACTCATGCCCTCCTCCTGTTTCAAACTATTTTGGGACAATGAAAAATCACCTGTGACTTAAGTTAAGTGTGTTTGTTCATTAGGCATCAAAGATTGCAAAAAATATTTTGCAAGCTACACCCAGTTTGTTAATAATTAATAGAAATCAGTCAGTTTTCAGTGATTTCATGAACCATCGACTAACATTTTTTTGGTCTCATTAGCCCTCTTTGATCTCACCTTCGTTTTTGAGTCACGAAGTGAACCATCTGCTACAAAACTGGGTTTGGAATACTTCTGGAAGAATCCTTGTGGTTTTAATACATACACTACATTAATACTGGCTTTAGATGGAAAACATTTCTGAAAACAAAACCAAAAAAAAATTAAAAACAAACAAAAAAATAGAATAAACAAATCAGATGTTCATCAGTTTATTTGTCACTGTAGTAAACACAACAAATTTACACAAGCTCATGATGACAAGCATTTGTGGTATATCAACAATTAGTATGTGAATAGGATATTCAAATAATAAATCAACATTCCACTCAATATCTATTTAATCTGTTTATTCTGACTCATACTCTGACTTGGGTTTGACTTAAATGAAAACAGTCTAATTTGAATGAAGGAAACTAAACAAAACAAAACAAAACAAAATGAAATACTTCTCACAAGATTTGTAAGCCTGAGGGAAAATGTGATTTGCAAAAGGCAAAACTTTACTCCCTCATGAGCACACAGTCCAGACCATAACATGCATATCTAACCTAGGGTACTCATACACAGTGAGGATTTACTGGTTAGTTGAATGTTACCTCACTGTAAACACTTGACAAATAACAAGTCCTCATTTGACTCTGACTTTCACTAACTTTCATTCAGGTTGTTGAAATATTGAGACATCAGAATCATCATCAGAGCTACTCTTGCCCAGATACTCAGGGAACCAGATCATTTCGCAATTATACTCAATAATTACCAATTTTCTGCAAACAATCGAGGAAGGAAACATTTTCATTGCTAACCTGCAATTTTTGAAGACAAGATTTAACAGCTCCCCATTTGTCTTTCCTCCTGTCCAGGACCAAAATGAATCCCTTCTGCACCAACTCATCACTGAAATGTTTCAAACATCAAAATCCATTTTTATAAATCAAATTTGATCATGTTCAAAAAGTTATGGAGCGAAAATTGATGTATCCTATTTCGTTAACAACGCAAGTTCGTACCTGGCCAGTTCAACAAGATATTTCAAAATTCTTTCTGTATCTCGATCACTCAGGTTTCCAAACTTGGGATGTTCGGGTATAGTCACAAAAAGACAGCCATTTTTAGCTTGTGCACCTGTAAATAATAGTACGTGCAATCTGAGGCCAAACAAAACAGCTCTGTAAGCCATCAAACTGTCAAAGCAGCAAAAGCACAACACCCAAGGGATTTAAAGTTTTTAATTTTCCTCACCTTTATACAATAACACCCAATAGAAACTGATGATAAAACAAAGCTATCACCTTGCTAGAGAATGTTAAGCAAGTGCAGCTGGTACTTAACCTACATATAAGATGAAGTGTGGGGAACAGAAGGAAAAACTGCGAATCAAAGATCTTGAGTATCACTACAAAAAATTCGGCGATTTACTCTCACCTGTCAAGAAGGCATACTTTTCTTGCAATAAACCAGCTATTTCGATGGCTTTAATCTTTGGTTCTTCATAATTTTTAACTGTTATTTGGGAGAACAATGTAAAAATATGTTTAAGATTAAATTAAAATGAACAAATCTCGTAGAGTACAAAAAATTGATCAAACGCTCTTGATTGCATGTTATCAACTCCGCGCTGAGTTGTGAACGATCAGAAAATGCGGCGAGTGAACATGATTAAATATTGTTTCACGCACATATAAAATAATAAAAATAAAAAGTTTCCAGGCATATGTGTTCAAAACATTGATACTCTATGCACATTCAACGACATCGAAGCTGAGCGATTTCAGAGCGGCTCGCCGTAGTTATGGTAAGGTTTCCTACTTTTTTTTTATTTCTAAAAAAGAAATAATCACGCCGTCTATATAAAATCTTAACCCTTACCGAACAAAGTAAATCTGTTTGATTTTTTAGACATTCTTGACTACCAGTGGATGTTCAATTCTGACCACAAGCCACACCGCCAATCAAACTCAATAAACATGGCGGAACGCGATTCGATAGCAGAATAATTATTCCTTGTAGGTACCGAGCATGATACCCGAGGAAACCTGATAGTTCTAACAAATCAGCTGGTTGAAAATTAGAAAGGCAAACTTTTTCGAGGAAAAGGCAAACCATTCCACGAAACCATAATAGGGATCCAAGACTAACTCCACAGTACTGAGGTGGAATAAATTCCCAAGTCCAGCTGAGTTGAATTCAGAAATCGTGGATCATGTTTCTAGCCCATTCTAAACGTAACCAATCAGTGGGGAATCTTTCCCTTTGTTTACACTAAACGAGGAAAATTTAACGAGTGAGGGTGAACTCGCGGGAAAAATTACCTCTAAAATAGCATATATAAATAAAACTGAAACTGAACGCTGGAAATTCCTGTATGTCGTTATATTAAAATTAAAGAAGTAAAATTTGCTTCGTAAACGCGTTCCTTCTCTGCCGCAAGAACGACAACAAAACAAATCGTTCGTCGACCCGTTTCAGGACGTGCGTGACCACAATTCCACACGTAAACGCAAAGCGTTAAAAAAGACACTTTTTTTGGGTGTTCTCCAAATAAAACACACAATTCTTGTGTCTAATTAAGGTGGAAATTTATAGCAATCAGTAGGGAGAACTCGTGATCTACCAGCAATTATAAACAAGTAATTTCTCCTTCTAATCCCAATTAGTTTCTTGCTTATGAAAATAGACAAGCTTGTCAGCAAAACACACAATCTAATTAATGGAAATTTATTTTTTTTACGAGTTTATGGTTCTATATTGATGCTATTGGAAATTTTCCCAAAAATTTATTTCATTCTGATCACCTTTCTTTTTTTCAACACACTTTTGAAATCATTAAAAGAAAAAAGCTACGTGCTGTCGCAGTCACGTTGCTGATAAGACAAAAACAATTAGAATAAAGCCAATGTGAAACACAGAAGACCACAGAGACTCTAGGGAATCACATTGAACCTATAAGCAAAAGTCTGCATGTGCCACAAGTCCAAAAGGACTCCATACATCAAATAAACATTACTTTGCAATAACTTTAGAACAATTTTACTGTTTCAATGTACATGGTACAAACACGCACAACTCCATGACAGTAATTAAGTTCAACTTCATTTAATTTATATCCTGCTTTCTTAAACCAAATGGTTAGAAGCCTTCCTAATAAACTCATTATAGAAGACATTATTTAAGATACAGTAAAGAATTTGATCACAAATTCAACGTTTATTTTTGTTAGTATAAATACATTACCTCAGTATTAAATCCCAAAGCAACTTCAAAAACATCTTATTCAATACAGCTCTTTGTTGTTTGTCAAAAAAGCTGATCAATAACTCAAATTTCTTTTCTTGCCAAAAATTTAATTAAGATTCTGTATTGCAGTTCTTCTCATTTTCCAAGTTCAATATAATTTGTATACATTTAAAAATCTCTTCTTAATTGACTTCAGCCCACTATCTGATCCTAATTGTGTGCTTAGTATCCAAATTTATCAAGAAAGGGACTCAAAATGTTATCTGTATTATGCTATCTACACCACATTGGTGCCCTAATCAAATATTGATAAAACTTGGCACATTTCTGGTGAAAAATAATCAAGTGATAACAGTAAAGACTCCCAGCCAGATCTGCCCCTAATCCTACCCAGTCAAATAAAAATGTTTATAAAACATCCAAGGGTCTAGACAAAGATTTAATTAAATTGGATTAACTAAAACAAACTAACACACAGCAGGAAAAATGGATACCAACTCTGCAGGTCATTTTAAAAGCAATCAACAGTTTTTAGCAAATAGATCAAGCCTGTAAAAATGTAAAAAATGTGTGAATCCCACAAATGTAATTTGCTACTGCACTTAATACACAATAAAGTCTACTAATAATAAGAGTCTTAAAACACTCCCTTTATACTAGCAGATTATTTATAAAATGAAATTTAACAAGACATCTCTACCATAGGGCCTGACAAGGACTCTTTTTTAATCACTTTGGGAAATAATTTAGCATGTCCTCACAAAAGCCTGGAAAAAATAGAGTTGGTTTGTCAAAGATGGGTTTGAGACTGTTAGCCAAATTCAGTTTCCATTTTAGCCTGATCACTCCAAATCTTAGAGGCTCCAAAAGTAGAAAATATATTACACTAATAATACTCATTAAATGTTTGCTCCACCAGCTCAAGTAATCTTGGAGGGTCCTGACAACAGGAGAATGTTTCCGTTGCTATTTATTTTGCACAGATACAATAAAGTGTTCTGTATGAAATCACTTGTAAAAAAAATATAATTATTTTGTGTGACTGATTTAAGATTTAGGTCTTCATTTAAACATTATTTCATACATTTACATGACAAGCAATAACAAATAATAATTATCTAAGGTTCCCGTGGCTTTTGGCGATATGAAAAATTGTCATTTAGAATTTGCCTCTTTCTTTAAGCCTGTTAAATGTTCACGTCAGAAATGATAAATTGCTTTTATATAATCATTATGCTCTCTATCTTGGTAAATTCGAGGTATCCAATTCATACAAGCCACACTACATGAACCTAAATTCTATTTTGAGCTATGAAACTACCAAAGTGACAGCTCGGTTATATTTAAAATGCTCTATCTTTGACGAATGGGAAATATTCCAAAAATATGAAAGCGCGTCATAAATTTTTAATTACCCCCCGATACTATACATTTGAATGATCATACCCTATTTTCTAGCCTCTACAAATTCCCGATCGTAAAATTTTTAATTCGTATCATTTCGCCTCTTTGAATGAGATTTTAGCCTATATTAGCGAAGTTGAACAAGGAATACGAAAAAAGCGAGTCGAGAATATTTAAATTCTAAATGCCTCTCGATTTACACTTCAAATTGAACGGACGGTCTGCGGAATAAAAAACCACCAAGATCAAAGTTTTTTTGACCGGCGTAATGGTTAAAACACAAAGGATATTGTGACTCTGAATATTCTTTGTCAAGCTTGTTTGAGTCTAGAGTGTAATATAAATTATATATGTGAATAAATTAAACTCTGTTTATCAAGAGATTATTTAATACTTCAAGGCTTCAACGCGAGTGAAATTGCTGTGTATCCCACTATTTCCTTGTTATTTATGAAAATTAAAAAAAAGAAAGTAGGCCTCTTAGTCCTTCTGAATTACAACACTTCTACACGGAAATGGACAACGTTACGTTTACCGCTGAAGATAGCCCATAAATAAATTATTCTTGTTTCATGTCGATTCATGAAAAACAAAAATAAACATTTTGGCACTTTCTCGATATACCTCTTTTCCCTCACACCAAATGCTTGTTGTCAAGAATTACAGAACACAACAATACCTGCCTGAAAGAAACGGCGATTCTACCTTTCTTCTATCAATATTTTATTCTGAAATATATTAAGAATTCACTTAGTCATGACCTAAAATTTGCACTTGGAGGATTTTTCATTTCATTAAACTTTAACACAAAAATGAAGAGAAGCTGTGAGACTTACCGACATCAGGATGAAGTGCTGTTACTGCGGAATAATATTCTGTGTCTTGTGCCATAACGACGTGAACGGGAAATGAATGAAACCTCTCGATGCGTCAAATATTAGAAAGCGAAGTCGCATCGATAAGGATTCGTCGATATCATCCCGACATCTATTAGGTAGCTTAAAATTATTTATAGTCGCCTAGATCGTGGTCTATTCTACAAATCACATGTGGTTTTTCAGAAAAATTCAATGGTCCGTAACAGTTTGACAAATGCGTCACGATTTTAGAATCTATCATTCTTTTGTGAGAGTAAGACGACCACCCAATGACCCGGAACACTGTTGCTGCTCCTTTGAAAAAGCAAACAACTCACTTTGGCGCGCGCGCGGTTTTAGACTGGGGAGAGTATCAGCAAGGGTTCACAAATAGACACCGGAAATGGACACTCGAAAGGGGTAACTCCTACAAAGGATGTTTGTTCTGTAAACACACAAATAAGCAAGAATATTTCTAGGGATTTTTTTAACTTGCTTTTGAAGGTATAATGTCTATAGGTCGAAGACAAGTCCTGGCGGGATAAACGTGATCTAACAGTAATCCATTCGGCAGATTTGTTATCGCATTCTTTTCAATTTCCCTACAAGTTTGGTAACTAAGAGAGTTTTCATGACCATGACGCAGATAGTTAGTGCACACTCCGCACACTCCTTCCCTGGGTTTAGCTTTTTATGGCTGTTACGAAAGTCGTCACTAAGGACAATTTTTCTTTGTTACAATACTGTCACGGAACCATCAGTTTCCGGAGTTAATTCGTCAAAATATCGTTAAGGAATCTTGTATTGTTCATCAATATAATCTCGACAACTCTTATATGAAATTTTGAGAAGGATATGCATCAAAAAAGGGGATAGAGGTGGAAAAAAGAATTATGTTTTCGTTCCTAGAACACTGACGGTACTTGCTTTCGATCTAGGTTGAAATCAGAATTGTCAGTAATACTTATTACCTTCTTTCTTAAGCTTTGATCAGATTCAAGCTCGGAAACTCAAAGCATGCCTAAAGAGGTCCAGAATGGTAAAACAGTATTTTACCACAATTGGCAGTAGTGTCGTGTCGCAGACTAATTGGCCAATTTGCCGTTGTTAATAAGAGTATAGACAGTGCTACTCGCGTCAACGTGTCTCGCAATGGTCATCCATTGAAAGATTTACTTTGTTTCACGTAGATTCTGTGGTAAAAACATCGGCAGTGGTTTGGCGTGGTCTGTGCACTTATCGACAACAATGTTCGTCATCGAGTACAGACCACGCTAAACCACTGTTGATTTGTTAAATTTACAAAATATATTTCATCACAAAAGTCATGGTTTTGTGCATTAAAGTTTATTTAACTATAAATCAGTAAGTAACTATTTCAGATCGGTTACACCATCGTAAAAAATCAGCTTTAATGTGTCGATTTAACATTTCATTGAACGAGAAAATCTTTCATCTAAGATAGCTATACTTTAAAGTCTAGGATGTAACCTTAAACGATCTAGACTCGTTATGCAAACGTCACGGTTCCTCATGTTGAAAGAGTACCACGGCCCGAGAAAAATTTCGCCTCTTGTTGAGGCAGCAAAAAACTTGGACTCCTAATTCGTAACACTGATGGGAATTTTAAATTCGCTAAGGTAAATAAATTACCTCCGTTTTATCTACTGCTTCACGGGATTAAGTCCACCTTACGTCCAGGTAATTATTTACTATACTGTCTTTAGATGTAGGCTAAGCCAAAATTTGACTAGATATAATCTTGTTTCGCGTCGTTACACGCCAGGTAAAGACTCAACAATTCACAAGCACTAACTGTTTCCCAAGTATCTTTTTACCTATCTTTTTGTTGAATGTTTTATCTACTTTTTTTAATTATATTTTTTCGTTTTTTATAATATCAGCTCTAACTGATTAACTGTACGTTGTCTCCGGAACTTATAAAAAAGGAAATCAAGTAGCAACTGATTCAACTGAGCCTTAAGTACAAACTTGAAACACTACATCAAATTACTTCAATACGTAATCAATGAACATTTGCTATGGTAACCTATGTGTATTGCTTTTTTTTTAGCTGAGAATCTACGTGACATCATCAAATATCTTACGACTAATATCATTACTTTTTTGGTATTGAATCTTGCTACAAAGGTTCCATTTGATGTTACGAACACTTCTCACAGAAGAAATAACGCATTCTGACACTAACTTTGACGAACCAGCTATTGTAGCTAGCGTGGCTCATTCTACGCAGTGTGATTTGTGTGATGAGCTTATTGAAGGCAACGTCGTTGTGACGTAAAAATCAGCCCTCCTTAGTGTTATCTCTAAATTACACAACCAAAAAAGGAGTTCTTAGTTCACATTGACATCATTACAAACGCGAGTTATCGTGAGTTTAACGCTAAAGCAACACGCCTACAGTGATCCGATAGCGGTGCACTGTAAACGCGCTCCTCTTTAGATCTAAGTTCATACACAGAGGGCTTCTTGTCTCAACATACACTCTGTGTTCTACCATAAAATGACTTAGGGTATATTGTAATCAATAGTAGGATTTTCTCCCTTCGGAATGTTAATACCCGACGAGATCTTTGTTCTTCTTCCAAAGGTTTCAAAACAAAATTTTCTCGCGCTTTGTTCACGATATTGAGCTGAAGGTGTATATTGAAGTGAAGGTGACGGTCTATCCCCCGCCGGGTTGTAATTAGATTAGCTTGGACTGCTTGGATTCGATGCCGGCGTAAACGATGAAGAATTTGGGGAATAGTTTGGGGAGCTTGGGCTGTACTTCGGGGATGATGGTGAGTACTGCGGCGAGGAGGGCGAGTACTGAGGAGAGGTTGGAGAATAGCGAGGAGAGGACGGAGAGTAAGTTGGAGAGGTAGGGGAATAAGTTGGAGAAGATGGGGTGTAAGAGAGGGAAGATGGAGAATACTTTGGGGACGAAGGAGAATAAGAAGGAGAAGAGGGCGAGTAAGTTGGTGATGTTGGGCTGTACTTTGGCGATGTAGGCGAGTAGCTGGGAGACGTTGGAGAATACTTGGGGGAAGATGGAGAATAGGACGGAGAAGATGGAGAGTAGGAGGGCGACTGAGGGGAGTAGCTGGGGGAAGTAGGCGAGTAGGATGGAGATGAGGGTGAATAGGAAGGAGAAGTGGGAGAGTAAGACGGCGAGGTAGGCGAATACGACGGTGAGGTCGGGCTGTAGCTGGGCGATGTCGGGGAGTAAGACGGGGAGGTTGGTGAGTAGGATGGTGACGTGGGGGAATACGAAGGTGATGTTGGAGAATATGAAGGAGAAGTGGGAGAATATGAAGGAGAGCTTGGAGAATACGATGGCGAGGTAGGCGAGTAAGATGGCGAAGAAGGGCTGTAAGAAGGAGATGTGGGAGAATAAGATGGAGATGTTGGACTGTAAGATGGAGATGTTGGAGAATACGAAGGAGAAGTTGGAGAATAGGATGGTGAAGTTGGCGAATAACTGGGACTTGCCGGTGAATATCCGGTTGATGGAGAACTGGGGGAATAACCAGGAGACGTCGGCGAATAAGACGGACTTGCCGGTGACATGGAAGGAGAGCTGGGCATAAATGCCGGACTCGCTGGAGAGTAGTTTGGACTTGCAGCCGCTGGACTAGGAATATACGGGCTACTGGGACCTGGTGACGCCGGCGATTGTGGCTGCGGACTCCAAGCGGGGCTGTAACCTCCAGGGCTAAAGCCACTAGCTTCTGAAGCTGCCGGAGAGAATCCGGCAGCCCCTGGTGTCATGCCGCTGCCTAGTCCTGGACTCCACGCCTCGGTATAAGCGGGTGTGGCTCCCATGTTCCAAGGAGTCATCTGCGGTGACTTAGCTGTTGGAGATCCTGCAGCACCAAAGAACATTCCAGTGCCTGAAGCGGAAGACACACACGAGGTAAGCAACATCACAGCATACCAGTATTCTACTCTAAACGTCAGAATGCAGAAATGAGGTTATAGAGGAAGTTGTTAGGCGAGTCAAGAATAGTTGATTTTAACTACGACAAACTCCATAATCTGTGTTGCAGTGGCTACTTCATTTTTTGTATCGTGCAGAAAAGACCTCGCAAACCTAGTTTCAAATTACGTCTGCACAGGGAATTGTCCGAAGTGTGTTTAGAATTTTAGATATATTTAAAGTTTGTATATAGTTGTGTAGGTAGAAATTATTATGTTTTAGTCCGTATTTTAAAATATAATTGGAATTCTAGATATGTATATATATATATATTGTAACAAGTGATAGCTAATTTTAACTTAACTTAATTTAACTTAATTTATTTGTAATTTTATTGGGAGTGTTCCCGATTAGTCGGCCTCCGGGCTGACTAGAAGTTTTAGACACTTAAACAAAGTTTATTGATCGATTGATTGATTGATAATAGACGGTGCAATCTTAAATCGAAGGCGATTTCATTACTGAACTACGTTTTAAAAAGCTAAAAATATAAGACAATTTGTTTTTCTCACCTGTCATAGGTCCGCCCATCATCCCAGGTCCCATAATATTTGTGGGGATCTCCATACCAAACTTACACTTCTCAGCATCTAACATCAGATCAAAGCAGCCTGTTCCAATGCGGGGGAGTTTCCCAAGAATCAAACACTCGCTGACACCCCGTATATTATCGTGCTCTGCATGCTGTGCGGCTTCCATTATTACATCAACCTGATCAAAACAAAGATTATCATAAATGAAAAGGGCTCCTTCAACGACATGAAATTGGGGAGTAACACTATTATCGCCAAACGGCTTAGTGACTCACTAGGCAAGTTTTAACACTTGACACCCGATCATCAGTATGTACATTCCCCATACTGTTTCCTATAAATTTCCAAGGGTGCTGACAAGGAGAAGTTGTTCAACAATCCAGCAATGAGGACTTTGAAGATAATTCTGTTACTTGTTGTAATACAAGTCAAAAGCTTAGAAGATAGAGTATTAAATATTAGCCTGAGTTCTCACCGTTTCCTCAAAAGAACATCTCATAAGCGCTCCGACCTCCTGGCGATTGATACCGTGCCTTGTAATGGCCATGAGATGTCCTCGACACGTCATTATGTCACACAACAGGGCCAAGTGACGGTAGTTTACGTAAGAACCGTCAAAAGAGATAACATGGTTCATTTCACGTTCAACAGCCTTTCGCACAGCCTCGACTCCAAGCACCTGAAGTAGGCATGACATACAAATAAATCATATTCTGTAAGGTATACATGAACCATATCATAACCTTGTGTCGTATACATGGAGAGACGAAGCTAAAAATTTCATCAGGCTTTTGGTTTGTCTTCAAATACGGAAAATACATCAGAAATAATGCAATAAACTTGCTTCAAAATCAAATTTAACCACAAAACATCTTCAAATGGAACATGATCTACGAGTTACTCGGTTGGTGCTAGCAAAGTAGACAGTTAACAAATCAAAATTCTTCAGGACTCACAGAAAATATTTCACAGATGTCATTGGATGTCGTACGCACGGGATCCACGTCTTTTTCACTGAGCACCTGAAGATGATAGAATACATAAAATTATTTCAGAAATCACAAAACAAAAAAACAGAAGAATAAGGAGTTAGCTTGAAAAGGACAAGGTGAAGTGTTTTTACTTACCCTCATAAGCGCAACACCGTCAGTTTCCAGGATCCATTCAGAGATATGTTTAAACTCTCCTTCCTCTGTGATGGTGACTCGTTTCTTGTTGTCCTCGTGAGGCAGGTTCATGTACACTTTAGAGATGGATTCGATCCCCTGCAGGGTCATATCAGTCAGCATGTTGGCTTCAATGCAGCGTAAGAACACATCGTCATCCATCTTGTCCAGCTGTTCTTCCTCCTGAAAGAACAGGAAAAATTTAACATGTAGAATATGCCAAATACTCCGTTACTCTGTATCACAGCCCGGGTTTTATTTCAGCTCATTTTTTCTACTGCACTAGCTCTATAAGATTCCTTGCTGTTGTTTTTCTTTCTTCAAGCATACTTCTCAGCCACATCAACCCAACAGCTTTTATTTGACAAGGGCAACTTGCCCGCTACAAACAAGCTCACAAGATGACACCTGCCACAGAAAACTTACAGCAGTATAGTTTTCCTTTCCTAGGTCCTTGTCGAGTCACTATCCCTAAAACTCGTTCTCAAGGCACTCTCTCTTCCTCAGAAGACCCTGGGAACAAGGTTGCGCGGCACTGGCAAAGGGAAGCTCGTCAAGAAAAAATTTGTCAACGAAAGCTTGGTTTTGTAGATGTGAGTGTATCTTCGAGCATCGCACAAAATTCACTTCAAACATTGTAATGCGAGCTATTTTCAAATAACTTACGTCTTGGAACTTTCCATCGTCGTTGTTCATGATCCTAATACGCAAGACAAGTTTCTCTGCGTTGTCATCGTTAAAAATGCAGTTCAGATCATCACCAAAACCAAGATTTATCTTCTCAGAGATCTGTTCCATGGTGAGCTTCTTGTCCGTCATACGTTTACGATCGAGTTCAATACGCAAAAGCCATGGTGAGATCCGAGTCACGTCAAAGTCAGGCATTTCATAGTAAACATTCACAAAGTCCTGGTCTTCTGTTACTACTGTGTTCTGAGGGTCTGGGTCGTAATAAATTGCTGTGTTGGCTGTGACTTTACGTAACGTTGTGTGCTCCAAACGGCATAACACGTCCTGTGAAATACAAAGGAATACAAGTTAGTCCTGGTTCAAGGGTAGAAGTGTTAATTTTCCAAGTAAATACAAATAACTGTAATCAATTTTTCATGCCGTTAAAACTTGACTGAAAGAAAAGAACTCTTGATACCTTTGCCTTTTCAGCATCTCTGGCAGGTTGTCCCGTGAGGAACACCGTCAGGGATGGAGTTTTAGGTTTCTTGGACACGTTGATGATTTCTTTGAGCCGAGGAACACCAAGGGTTACGTTCTTGGCAGATACACCGGCATAGTGAAACGTGTTGAGGGTCATCTGCGTAGCAGGTTCACCGAGAGACTGAGCGGCCAAAGCACCAACCATTTCACCAGGTTTAACCTAAAAAAAAAGCACAAGGCAACACGCATTTTAGGAGCAATGACGAGTTGCATGACAACTGTGTTATACTAAGATCATAGAGGACAAGGCACTCTCAAAACAATACACAGCTATGACTTCTCCCAAAGACACACGTTTACATTTGTTTGTTTTCAAAAAGAACTGAAGTGGATATTGTATTAAATTAATTATTATTGTTGTACAAGAGCATAAGCCTCGCGGAAAATTATCAACTGGCAGCAAAGTCAAAACGAACGAACAGAACATGATTATCTCACCATGGACAGGTTGAAGCGAGTTTCAATTTCTCCCAGTAGCCACTCAAAAGCCTCTGATGACAAGTGAAACTCCTCAGCCACTCGCTTGGTACACAGAGTGGAACGAAGGAGAATGTTGAATAACAGAGTGGCGTTAAACTGTGCTTGTTTACTGATGTGATCCTCGCCATGAACAATTATTAATTTCTTGGACAACTCACGCACACCTTATGAACCAAAATGAAGAACATCACTAAAAACTACAAGACAACTTCATTACTTGGTTGAGAAAAATGTCAAATGACACTTCTTGAATTTTTACCACCTTAGTACAGTTCCGTCAATAAACAGTAGTTATTTGTTAAAATCATGATAATTATCCCTATACCTTCAACAACTCTGAGAGGGTGCAAATCACTCGGATTTCTATTGGTAAGATGAAAGGTCTTCCGTGCATTCCAGATCAAACGACCGAGATTTACTGGTAAAGCCACCTAAAATAAAATAAAACAAAAAAATCAGCCCTATCAATTAAAGTTTTATCCTTTCAAAACATAGTTCATAATAAAAGATTACAAGACATCAGTTGGATGCCCTCATGCACCTTGGAGTTTCCTGAGGGAATGATTCTGCGAAGAATTTCTCGATCCTCTTGTAATTGATTGAACTCTGACTCAAGATCCTGAAGAGCTGTGTTACTGCTGCAAAGATCTCGCACTACATCTTCCTGTAGAAGACGGCGCAGACGCCTGATAAAGAAAATGAGAATACAATGAATCATTATGTAACTAAAATTCAACTAATTTCGACCCTTCCAAGTCATTTCTTAAGAAAGCCCTTAATAACATCTTCCTCACTCATGCACAGGTGATTCAATGCTACTACAAAATTTGTGTTTGTTTCAGAGCCACTTTAATATGGCTCTTAATCTTATAGCATACATTGTAACCTTCCCAGGAGTTAATCATTTCAGCACATGGTCAAAAAATATGCGGGAGTGAGACTTCTCACAACTAAAAAGGTGACTGTGTTTTGTGCTTGGTACGTATTGTTTTAAGGGTGACTCAGTACTACTCACCTTTCATTGGAGCAATCAAAGTGAAACTTTTTCTCAAAAGCTGAATTGGTTGGTTTTATGGTTGGCATATTCTGGAACTCGACTGCTGCACCATCCATTCCATCCTCACCATACCTCAACTGGATCATCTGATTGTTAGAGTTTCTGATTGTTCCGTCATACGCAACCATTAGCCCTTCCATGGCTTTGATCAAACGTCTCTGAATGTAACCTGAAAAAGGAATTCAAATACCATTCAAATCTATGATGAAAATCAACTGCTTAAATCAACAGATATTGTACATAATATATTATTACCAGTTTCACTAGTTTTAACAGCAGTATCAATCAATCCCTCACGGCCTCCCATGGCATGGAAGTAGAATTCTGTTGGAGTAAGGCCAGCAAGGTACGAATTTTCCACAAACCCTCTACTCTCTGGACCATAATCATCTTTAATGAAGTGTGGGAGTGTCCGATGGCGGAATCCAAATGGAATCCGTTTACCTTCAACGTTCTGCTGACCCACCACAGCAATAACCTAGACAAATTGTGAACAGTTAAGTTATGGTTGTGGCTAAGATGTCATGGTGACCTCCTCAGCATTGAGGAAATTGCAGTCATCCTTTGTTACTACACCCTAACATCAGTATGCTTATTCTTCAAACTGTTCTCTACATATTTCCTCAGGTACTTACAAGGTGAATTCATCCAACAAACAAGACTTTCTTAAGTTTGCGAACATTTCTTTTATTCTCAGAACCTTAAAGTGTGATGTGGGGATGATATTGTAAGCGGAAATCAGATGCTAGATACTATTAGTGGTTAAAGGGTTGTTCAAATTTACTGACCTGTGAAATGTTGATCTTGGAGCCTTTGGAACCAGACACCACCATAGCCTTGAAATTGTTGTATTCTGACAAGCTCTTCTGAGCACTTCCTCCAGTTTTGTCACGACAGTCATTGAGGATACGGTTCACTTGATTCTCAAAAGTCTGTCGCAGTGTGTTACCTGGCGTGGGCTCAAGATCATTATTGTGAGCTTTCTCAATCACCTCAATCACCTCCGCCTGAAGAATTCCAACATATGTGAAAACTTTGTTATCCACAAGTCAAGGTAATTCTAAGAATTTGGATTTGAAGTGTCTTTAAACGCACCACATTCAAATGTTCATAGTTCAAACAATTTCATTTAAAATTTACCATAAAGCTCACAAAGAAATTTAACAGTTATTAACCATGGAAGCACATACTGATCCACATTTAGTTACCTTGGCTTTCTTTGTCTGTCGCTGAATTTCATCATAAGTTTCATTATCAGCAATGCAATCACCAATACCAATACTGTGTCCTTCAATCAAAGTCCAGTTGTTCACAACAGTCTGGATGTTCCCATAAAACATGCGCGCCACCTCATGCCCCAATTCTACTGCCACGATGTGGACCAAACTTCCTGACGAAGTTCCAAGGGATTTTTTGCATAAGATGCCAGAGATAAGCTCACCATGCTCAATGAGAACCTACAAAGAGGATATATCAATCAATCTTAACCCTAGTAAATAGTAACCTCTTTTAACTCCCTCTTAACAACACCCAAAGAATCACAGTTCAAGCGAAATTTGCCTCAAACCACCTGGACTACAACAAACTTGATCTGTATACCAAATTCTTTAACTTTGCTACACATGTTTGAGCCCAAACAAAAAAAAAATGGGCTGTACTTAGTTCACTTTTGAGCTCCATGTATTATTGCTAACTGTTGATCTGATGTAAAAATAACTGGAACAGTTGTTATCATACTGAGTAGAAATAAACAAGTGCATGATTTTTATATTTGATTTAAAATTAAGAAAAAGAATCCTTATTTCACCAAATTTATTATAGATTCATATGCAACTGCAGGACACAGGACAGTGTAAATATTCCAAATGTTTGTGAAGACGAGTAACATACCTTAGTGTCTCCAGGTGAAATATGTTTATATGGACCACTATCTTCATCATCTGGGTGGGTACTGTGTGTACGGATCATATTGACATTTCCTGGAATAATCATACTGAAGATCTGTTTCCCTGTCCATAATGGCTGAGGCTTGAGAATGGCAGGCTGTATCAGCTTACCATCCCAATCAGGGATCCACATCATGAGGTTCATCATGGCATCCTGAAAATAAAAAAAATTAAAAAAAAAAGGTTCCTCAATTTCAGAAATGAAACAGGTTACAAATGTGAATTGAAGCTCTCTAAACTAGGTGCAAAGTTACATATTTCAGCTGAATCCCTAGCAACTCAAACTTTCCCAAAGCTGGAAGTGATTTTTTTGTCTTTTACTGAACAATTTACCCTCACTAATTTGACCCTCTGATATTTGAAGCCTTTTCTTCCTCCCATCAAAGATCAGAGTTATAAGTAAGGTATGAAAGAATTATTAATTTTAGTAAATCCATCTCATCCAAATGTATACAATAAGTGAGTTGAAATTGAGGGCAACTTGCCTTTAATTGTTTCAATACTATGCCCTCTTTACTGATAATAGACGAAAATGCCTAGGTAACATTGAAGAGGTAAGACTTAATTTTCTTCTAAATAAACTTGTGACGATAACAGAAAATCTTGTAGATGTGAGAAAATTGTCCCTTGCAATGCTATCCAACTGACATAAAGATCAAAGACTAGCTGCACTATGGCATCTAGGCTGACAATCAGAAGGCAAAGATGCACCACAGAGAGGTATATTGATCTCACACACTCATGACTCAAGCATTCCCAATCTGCAGCTTAGCGCTGTTGGGCAACTGCCAACACACTTAAGCAGTGTTACAGGGCAAGCCTGTAAACAATGCAGAAGAATGTCATTGTTTTGCCCCAGGAATGGATCTAAGGAAGTGTGTCACCATTTTTCATAAACTTATGAGGAGAACAATCTTCTAACTTACATAATATCTAGAGCCCAACAATGGCTCTACCATGATGCCATGCATCAGTATGTTTAAGAGACAAACCTTTTCCAGAAAAACATCTCTTTTGGTGAATCTTCTGACAGCCATCAAAGAATCCTGCACTATTCCCATGACAGGTTTATTGGACTGTGGTGTAACAATGTTCCTTGGCACCATCATGATCTCAGTGATTTCAGCACGTGCCTCGAGGGACTGAGGTACATGTAAGTTCATCTCATCACCATCAAAGTCAGCATTATATGGTGTGGTAACACTGATATATAAGGGCAGAGAGATCTTATCAGCAACCACAAGCTATTTATATCATTCTCTTTTGTAACTTATGCTAGCATTTTTAACTGTGTTTAATCAAATACTATTGAGCAAACTCAGCAACAAAGGTTAGGGAAGTCTAAGGATTATGACTAGTAACACCTATCAACTGGCTGCACAAAATTAGGTTCTTTGGGGATGATAGACATTGAAATTACAATACATTTTTGTACAACAATGCAAAAATATTTCTTGACACTTAAAAACAAACACATAAACATTGCCCCATTGAGAGAGACTTATGATCAGCAATATTTCCTGAATACTAGTTATCACCTGAGATTAAGTCTGAATGTTGACCAAGGCAGGATTTTAACTCTGTGTCCCATCATAGACATTTTGTGAAGAGTGGGTTGTCGATTGAAAATGATCACATCATCATCTCTGATGTGTCTTTCCACCTTAAATTTCAAATAAAATAATAAGCTTCTATGTCTGGTGAAATTTAACTTCATTACAACAAGTCTTCGGCTGGCCATGTTGGATGTCAAAGTCTAACAACTGTCAGAGTTACATTTCATTAATTAAAAAAGTACCTGAAATGAAACTCTGTCTAGAGGCAATCATATAATTGTTGTATTTCACACACAAATATTGAAAGATAATGGTGTATAACAAAGACTGCTCAAACCTACCTTGTAACCAAACTGAAGATGGAGATCACTTGGTTTGGGGTGGAACCTGAGATCAATACGCTCTCCATTGTCTCTGATGATGTACTTAGCACCTGGATATTGGTTGTTTCCTCGGCGCACAAGTTCTTGCATGCTACAGAAAAGACAACAAGTGTGAACTTGAAATACCAAAACATCTCCTTCATGAAAAATTAAATACTTTGAGGATGATACAGTACATGACGATACAGGAAAATACATGTTAGAAAAGGCTTACTGACTTTGGTTTGCATCACTCTTGCCCTAATAGCGCTAAAATTTCATTGTCTGACATTCCCATGTTTATGATGGAATTCAGTCTTATTACACATAGAATGGGCTGAACTTATTTTAAATACTAACCTGTCAATGTTGAATGGTGTGACAATCTCAGGGAAACTAAGATTCTGAGCAATGGTACGTGGAACGCCAACCTGATCAATGGACAAGTTTGGGTCTGGAGTAATGACAGCACGAGCTGAAAAGTCAACTCTTTTTCCCATCAAATTTCCTCTGATACGGCCTTCTTTACTCTTCAGTCTCTGTTTCACTGATTTCAATGGACGTCCAGACTTTTGCATGGCCTTCAATGAGACAGTGTAAAGTTCTGATTAGCACTATAGTTCCAACTATAGTGCTTTGTAATTCAATGTACCACACAAGAGGGAGGGCTTGTTGTGGCAAATACAAGCCAAACTATGATAAAATTGAAAAATTTCCTTATCTACAAAAAATGTGCTATCTTACCCTGGGCAGACCAGGGATTTCATTGTCTATAAGTGTTGCCACATGATACTGGAGCATTTTAGTGTCTTCTGCAATGATGTGCGCTGCAGCACCATTAAGTTCATTTCTCCGAAGATTACCATTTGCCTTCACAACATCTGACAGCTTGTGGGTTAAGTCATCCTGGAAGAAGGTAGACAACCAAAAACTTATCAATTACATTAACAACACAAAATCAAAGAAGCCACAATGTAGGAAGCTAGGGAAAAGCAGCTGGTTATTGCAATAATATCAAAAACCTCAATATTATTAAACAATTTTAACTTTCTCTGCATTTTTTTTTTTATTCTGCACAAAAGATCTTACAGGATCAAACTGAGGTTGACCTAATATCAAAACACATTACCTGACTACGAGCAGAACCACTCATAACAATGGAAGGTCTTACAGCCAAAGGTGGAACTGGAAGAACGGTCACAATCAACCAATCAGGACGTGCAAACTTGGGGTTCATTCCCAGAATCTCACATTCCTCATCAGAAATTCTTTTAAATATTTCATGCACACGCTCTGCTGTGAGTGGAATCTTTTTCTCCTGTGAGTCTTCATTCACCTCTTTCCATTCCGCAGTAAGATCAAGACCACTTCTTCTGATCTGTGGCTGGTTTCTACCACATCCACCATGACTCTATCAAAATGAAATTGGTAAAAGAATGTGACATGTTAACCTCTTACTCACAAGAACTGACTTGCAATTCTCTTTATATATGCAGCTGCTTTATACTTCCTTATAACTCAAGCCAACCAAATCTTACTGATATCGTCCTCTGTATTAAATTTTTGCTGAATATGTATTAACATGTATCATACTCTAACATGAGCTTACCTAATAAAAAAATTACAATCTGATACCTTGAAACATAGTTTAACACAAACTAGGTTAAAATTCCAAAACAATTGAGACAGCATATCAGAGTAAAAATAAAAGATAAACTTACCATCTTTTTCTCAGCCTCATCCAAGTCTACGGACTGTTGTTTATCATCAACAACATCACCACCTTCACAGATTTTTTTCCCTTTGCACAAGTCATAGATGTGTTGTAGACGCTTACTTGGTTGATCACGAGACTTTGATACAATTTCTTTCACTTTAGGATTGTTCTAAGTAACAATAGCATTACCACCATTAGCAGATTTTCATGAGTTTTATATAAAAATTTTCATTTATTTTCTTTCTACTGTAAAAATTCAGCCATTAATGAGAAATTGTAACAAAAACTTAAATTTTTCCTTTAATGCAACAGTCTTGATCTCAACCTGAAGTGTTTCCTGGATATATGAAAACAGATCTATTTTTCCTTTTCAACAAAAGTTAAATAATTTTAGATAATCAAATGGACACCTTTGAGTAAAAAGAATTAAATCAATCCCAGATTCAAGTAAAAAAAAACTATTCTGAACAAGATAAATTAGAAAAAAGATTTATGAGAAAATCAATATTCCAGATATCGAGCTATTTCTAGCCACACTACCACGGCTGGGGAGATACCCTCGCCCCATTCCTTCAGCCGAGCGGCCGGCCATGAATGCAGACGAAGCAAGATTGCCTTTCTTACCCCGTCGACAAGGAGTTTTGAGCAATAGAAGCAAACGCATCTCAAACATTTGATTATCATCTTGTAGAAGCCGACGTGAAACACCGGTTTTGCCAGCTCTATGTGTCCGAAGTGACCGGGACATTCAGTCATGTTTCCGGCGCAAGTTTGGCAACGAGAGAAACGGTCGATTGTTCCCTGTCGAGGATCCATTAAACCACCTAGCTTCGGCTTTCCTCCCTCCATCGTTTCGGAGTATTTCACGCCGCCTTCGGTAGTAACTGACATTTGTTTCTGTTTAAATATAAAAAAATAAGTAATCAGAACTACTACACGTAACAAAGTCGACATGAAACATCACTTTTCGTACGTAAAACACGCGCAAGAACCCTTGCATTTGACCTTTCGTGAGTATCGACGAAGAACGTGTCGGAACAAGAAAACTTTTAAATACGGTTTTAACTTGATTGAAATTTATTGAAAGTTTACTCACTATTTCATCTGGACTCAGTACACCAAACTGCACCAATTTCACGTCCCGTAAGGGAGCTGGTGACCCAGACGCGAAAGCCATCTCTTTGCTTCAACAAGATGGCCGAAGTGATGAGGTAATTGCTGAAACGTTTTCACTTTCTTGCAAAAGATTCTCTCTCTTAGAACGACCTCAATTCCTCAGCGACGGTAGGAGTTCCGTGAACTCGTTAATTTCGTTTGTTTTGGTTCAGCAACTTGTCACCTTCTCCCACGTTTTTCACGAAGGATTTAAGCGATAGAACTTTAGTTCCTTTGTCCTTCGCCGATTGAAGCGCCCCAGAAGCGCTTCTTCTACTTCACCAATAATCTCACCTTGTATTTATAGTCCATCTGAGATATGCGGGGTGCACCCAGATTCTTCAGGGCTAACTGTTGCATTGTGGGAGTGACGTACCCATCACAACCTTGCGCTGGGGGTAGGGGATAGCAATATTTTTGGCTTACTTACTTACGCGTAACTTTACTATTTTTCAAAGGAAGTCATTTTGCTTTTCGTTTGTGAGAATTTAAATTGGTATAACAGCCATCAAATTTGTCAACTGAATGTTACTATTTCAATTTGATTCAGTAGTGAAGGACGTTTATTCTTCATAATTTCTTCCAGTTTTAAACAAACCATTGACATTGTCAGTAACGAGTTAAAATTTCTCCCAAAGTTTGTTCAGGGTTGGCTGGGTTTCAACACAGATGAGGAGAAACACAAACTTATGAACAACTTTAAAATAAAAGTGCTTTATTAACATTTTTCCTTATGCACAACTGTTAATGCAGCAGAGATTGATCCTTGACATAAAATTATTGTGTATCAGCAAGAGACAAAAGCAACATCATCGCCTCATCACAAGGAATTGAAGACATTTCAAATCAAGTCCTAAATAGATTAGTATATCCACCAAAAATCCGGACAATTCCAAATACTTTCAAAAATAACGTTGTCACTTCAATTTATGGAACAAATGATGTGCCACCTGTAAAAAATAATATTAAAATCATTATAAATTATGTAAATATGCAACATTGAAACATAGTGAGAAACAAGGAAATGTAAATGTAGTACAGAACAATATAGCCGATGAAGTGAATGTTATTTAGCTTGTAACTACATCTGATGGTCAAAGTTTAGTCTGAGTTTGATCTAGTACAATAGCTTATTTGCTTGAACTTCACTGCTAGAAGATTCAATACACCTATTCGAGGTAACAATTCATGGATACCAGAAGAATAGATTCACTGACACTTTTAAGAGGAATGAAGGAAAGGCAGATCAGCATTTCAACTACTTACAAGTTTCTGCTTTGAAAAAACACATTAAATTGCCTTTTAAATTAAAAAAATGCATGTCTTGTTCTCATTTGGTGCCTGTTTCATTTATATAGAGATCTTCAAAGAAAAAAGGTAAATTTTCATCATACAACTTCTGACTTAAACATTCCTGTGTTACCAGATTATATGTATGTTCCCTCCTAATTGTCTTAAGAAAGCTGGAGCAAGAGAAGTGACATAAGACACCCACAAGGATTAAACTCATAGATCTTTAACTTTGCTTTCTCTCTCATTCCAGACTTCTTAATGCAACTCAAAAGGAATAAAATCTGGCAGTTGTGGAAAGTTGAATCGAGAAATCCCTCTTAACCAAATCATACTTATTCTTAAAATTTAGGCACAAAAATTTGCATGGAAGCCCCCCACCCCAAAAAGTTGAAATTGAGAGAAATGAATAAAATTTCTTCATCACTGAGCACTACTGTCTAGCTGGATATGTTTTTGGTTCAAATTATCTGTTTTAGTCCAAAGTTTTAAAACTAGTTGAATTTATTTTTTATTTATCACAGATTTCCATAATAAATCTGGGACAAAGAAGAGTTGGTATGAAAATCTTTGAATAAGAAAATTTGAACCAGAACAAATACAAGTTCATTTTATATTAGAGCTTGCAATCTGTAGGTGAGACAATAAAATTACACAAAATGAGCTACTGGACTTGAAAGCAACCTCAACAAGACTTTCAGAAATATCCAATTTTCCACATCCCACTTACACAGTGATCTGCGCACTCCATAAAATCAAAGAGTTCTTGTACACAGGTTTCCTCCGTACTTGATTTACTGCCAACACGCTGATTACAGGTATCCAGTTCTAGTTTAGCTTTGGCACATTTTGGACTCTCATTACACCCCTCAAGAATTTTTTCCCTGGGATCCTCTAGTTCCTCCTCATCTTCTTCTTCATCATCATCATCTCCACCATCACCGGCAGGCTCTTCAGCCTCTTCGCCTTCATCTTCTGGGTCAGAATCCTCAACCTTCATGAAAAAAAACAATAACAAACAAGTTATAATGCCATAGTTGCACTAATGAGAGTGGTCTTGAAAAGGACTGCAGCGAGTGCCAGTGAGAGATGTTTCAACAACATGATTCAGATGCCACTGTCAGAGTCAAGTGCAGAGTTGTTTGTCAATCAAACCTTACAGCCCTAGTTTATGAAAAGTAGTAACAGATGGTCAGTTTTAGTGTTAGCTTTTGGCTGAAAACCCAAGCCACTGAAGTCTGAATATTTCTTATTATCATTCACCTGTCATAAAGTGTGTCAACAACAGAAATTAAATGTACTATCAAATGTTTATAACCCCCATTAGAAGGGTTTATTGTAGAGAACTCTTACTATCATCAGCTTGATCTAAGATGCCTACAAAACAACTACCCATGTCATGATTTACAACTGCTGTGTGTGATTTTCCCTCATACTATTTGAACTAAGGGCTAAAGATGAAAGGCTGAAAACCTCACTAAGTGTCTTAAGTCATATTTGACTGAAATAGAATACTAATGCAAATCATGTTTGAGCAATAAATATCTTAAATGATGTTATGTACGACAGATACGACAAAATATAATCACCTCTTGTATGCACTGTAATCCTAGTTATTTTGTAATTAATAATCTGAACATACCCCCGTCTGAAGGCAAATTACATTCAACCATCAAATTATTGATGGCAAGATACACCCCGTTTCTGTATAATTACGAAAGATCGTAATAAAGACCATCGATACCTTTAACATTCCCGCTTTATTGGCAACATCTGATTGTGAGAAATATTGTTCTCAAAGATAAATTTTTCAAGCGAGACGAGTTAACGGATTCGCATTTTCACGAAAGCGTCTCGATTTCACCTATTAAGAGCATAAGTTCATCAAGAGTTTACTGCATTGCCTCATAGCATTTTCTGACCACGTGAGGTAAGTCAAGCAAGTTGTAGCTATCTGTCCATGACCAATCTTTGATCACTTCTCTTCAAGCGACTGTCGTAGTCGGGTAACCACGTTTAAACATGCGCTGTATATCGCGTTTTGTGAGATATTTATCATTTTTAATAAAAGGAGAATATTTGGAAACTTTTATTACCTTTTCTAAGACGACTGTGCTTCCAAGAAGCGCTTTTTCTTCGTCTAAACCCATATTTTCACGCAATATTCTTACACCGGTCCGCCGGGAAGCTACAATCGTGGACTCTCAAGCTTAGCAGTCGAGCCTCGTAACTTTGTAGCCACGCTGTGCCTGAAAAGAATCCTGGGAACAATCCTGAAGCGGTTTGCCTCTGAAAGGAAACAAAAATAAACTGCAGTGGCAGTTCAGACACAAATTTAAAAGTAAATTGGCCGCTGTAGAGAGCCTCTGCGCCTGACGTTTCCAGCGTTAAACGTTCGTAATAATGAATGACGCTCGAAACTTCAGCTTTAGATACTATAAGGTGGCCAATTTAAAATATCAACTCAGTTTATAAACCAAATTATTATTTATAAAAACTAGATCATTGGATCTTGCCATTCAAGAGTTTTTATTGGCTTAGCCATCATGAGTTATGAGCCATTATACCATACGCGTGCATGAAGACCAGTTAAACCAGAACTGTTTTTGTAGATTGTAACATTCCGTTTGTTCTTACAAAATAAAGTTGGGAAGATCTATCAATATATTGGGGCGTTTCAATTATTCTACTCGTGCTTGTCAGATATGAAATGATTATAACCAACTCGGCCCTACGGCCCTCTTTATTTATTAGCTGAAGTAGGGCAGTATGTACCCCTAAAACGAAAAAAAAGAATGGTTTTTGGATCCGCTCTGGATTGAAAACGGTGAACATAATTTGATCATTATGACCACACTGCAATAAAGACTTAAAAAACTATCGTTCAGAGTAGCCTGTTGTTAAAAAAAATGAGATGTAGAGGTGTAAATTGAGTTGATTGGGAGGGGAAAAATTGTTAATTACTTGTGCGAAACGATTCAATCTTGAAAACTCGCCTTAGTTCCCTGTCAGATAAAGGAAATCTGATTGTATCCGCTTTTCAAATGAGCTAAAACAACACGACAAAAGATATTGTCCATGATAATACATGTTTGCTTAAAATAGACTATTTAATGTTTGAAATTTGAGAATCGTTGGCTTTAACGTAAAAAGAAATCATTAACACCAGAAAAAAAATTCAGCCAACTTTTGAAAGTAAAGGATATCTGATTCAGTTTTGTCATACTAGAAAACTAAAGGAGACTCAGTTGCACAAAGAAGCTTTTAGATCTCTATCTGACAACAAAAGAAATGTGATAAAATGTGATCTCACATAATGTGTACTATTCAAACATTCGGCCTTCTCTAGCATGCGATGGTCCAAAGATATCGAGCTTGTTTGATAAATTTCACACTTCTGGCTCTCCAAATTGTCAATTCGTGTGAATTACGAGAGAACTGCACACCTGAACAAACTTCACGCTCACATTATAGAACAGCTCGCTGCTAGAAAGATCTTGCCATTTTTATGAGTATAAAAGACGTTTTGTCGGAATCAGAGAGTACAGAAAATAAGCTGTCACCAAGGGAAGGTAAGATATGAAATTTAAACCACAAGAATTAATATTTGTCTTTTAAAAAATATGTTTAGTGGGCTGATATCTGTCCAAAATGACCACATCGACAATTTTCTGTCCGCAAAGAATAATCTTCACTACATTCGAACAGAGACGCTGGACTTAAATAAAAACCGTTACTTATTGAGCAAGATGACATGTTCTTGGTTAACGGATGAGGTAAATGTTGCAATTGCATCGCATACTAGAGAAGGCCGAATGTTTAAATAGTTTTATTCGCTTGCGCTTACCAAATGGTAGCGCGAAAAACCAAGTGTTTTCTCCTTCATACCTACAGCAGCTGACAGAGTTACAAAGACTCATGTCACAACTGGGCGCTGGAAGAATTATTGTTCCTAAAAGAGGTTGACAGAAATTGTCCATGATCTATTGACCGGCGAAAATTTATGTAATCATTGTGTTCAAGGTAGAACTTGTCTTCTGCAATAAGGTTCTCTTGCAGGTGCAAAATTTTGAGTTAGAAAGTTTAATATATTCTTTCTTTTACTAAGGGTAAGGGATTCGATAAGGCCGAGAGCTCAATATATACATCACACATAACTTGACTTAACGGAGTCAGTTAATATGAATATCTAAAATTATCTCATTGCATTGCATGGACGAACCTGTCAAACGCACTACGTTACCATTGAGAATAAAGAGAGTTGCCATTATCTGTTTAAACCTGTATTTATTCACGGCTACTTGCACCTACCAGGACACTCGAAAAAGTTGAAGCCATTTAATTTCAGAATATTCAACCGGTAACAACGGGAACTCAAGGTTTAGAGGAGGAGGGGAAGATAGATATACGTGGTCGCTAATATCTGCACATTAATTGAAGTCCATAACACAGAAGAGGTAACACGATAGAATTAACGAAAACTTTCGTCTGTAATTAAACACCCCACTGGTTTATTTATACAGCTTTAGGTGCGTGCACTTAAAACTACGCCAACAAACAAGAGGGTTTTATTAGCTTTCGGATCGAAACCCTTAGAACCATCGGTCGAATCTACGCGACAGGTTATTGAGTCCATTTTGCTTAAGCTGAAAGAATACAACACTGTCAAACTCTAAGTCATCTTTTCGTTTTATATTTGTAGCTATGCAGATAACAATACTATCCATATTACACACAGCAATCCATGTCTCGCTATGTATTATGGAAACGTCAGCTTCCCTTAAGTGCCGATCAGTCGCTTCATTTTCCGACCACGCCCTTACGGGATACACCTACAAGGCAACATCCGGGATACGCTTTGAATCTTGCGCCGCAACATGTGACGCTGACCCGCACTGTTACAGCTTTAACTACGTCATTCGCGACAAAACTTGCGAGCTCAGTAACTCTTCGCGCTCGGCCGATTCAGAGTACTTTGTGCGCAGGTCTGGGGTGGTTTACATGGACAAACTAACAGAACCCGTGGAGCACTGCAAAACACTTCCATGCAGAAACAATGGAACTTGCCAGAAAATTCAGCGCCATCCTGGGTTTGAGTGTTTTTGTCAAGATGAGTACAGAGGGGAAAAATGCGAAAGTAAGGAACGAGCTTAATTTACTTATAAGGTCTTTGATCCGTAACCGACCGAATCCATCTACTCATGTGAGGGATACGTAGGTTGCTAACAGTAATTTACCATTATAGATTAAAAAAAGCAAAGAGCTTGCTCTCCCATCAATCAGAAGAAATTTCTTGGTTTGTAAGGAAACTTTCGTTCAGCCTTTGTCATTGAAATAAATTTTCACAACATTGAAAACAAGATCATTCCGTCGATAAGCTGTTTTTCGATGGGTCCAGGATTGCTGTGAAATACCGCACATATGAGTCTTAGACAAAAATAACAGGTATCCTCATCATTAGTTTGCAGTCCTACCGCATTGGGTCTCGGTGATAATAAACTGCCTGATCAGAATTTCAACGCCTCCTCCAGCTTACATCCATTCAGACCCAGCGACGCTCGCCTGCATGCAGCTGGTTCGTCTTGGGTCAGCGATGGTGTCGAAAAGGACAAATTTCTGCAGATTAGTTTCCAGCCTCACCCCAGACTCATCACAAGCGTGGCCACCGAGGGTAGCCCTGGCCATGATTGGTGGGTTGTGCTTTATAATCTTCAGTACAGCTTGGACGGTGTCACGTGGTTCTACTACGAAAATGAGAACTCCCCTGGGTCACGAAAGGTGATGCAGAAATTCCTTTCCTCGCAACTAAATATTAGACTAACTTGCGCTACTGTTAGAGGTTATCCCATTTTCTGTTCTTTGAAGCGACAAAGAGTATTGCTAATCCCCCTGGATAGGATCAACCAGTTCACCGTGGAAAATTTATAATTCGAGGTGAAATATTCAGTTATAATGTTGCAGATGGCTGTACTTGTAAATAACCCATTTTCTTTCTCAGGTTTTTAATGGTAACCAAGATAGAAATAGTGTCGTGACTAACCAGCTTCATTCCCCTATAAGAGCACTGTACCTTCGTATCTCACCCTTGTTCTGGGCTGGAAAGATCGCGCTACGAGTGGAGATCTACGGATGTAACACCTACAGCTGATTACTTAGAAGCCAGGAGACATTTCAACAGTTGGCAGAGTAATTCAAACTCAGGTTACCACTCATCAACAACTGTTTCTTGGACTTACGCCAGGTGGAATATTTGTTCATCGACGAAAACAAACTCCTGTGATTGTAGAAGCGCAATTAGTTCACAAATAGTCTGGGTTGCGGCCACTCTTGAAACCATGAGCCGCCGAGCTACTTTTGAAGCAATGCGTGGAAATACCGGGCGGACTTATCGTTAGAGATTGGTAAAGAGCGAGCCTCCAACTCTACCTCGTCCAAACCAGCTAACATATAAATCCAATGTCAAAGATAGGATAGGCAATACGTCAAACAGCCTGCAATATTTTTTGACAAAGGAACGGTCTGGACGGAAGAAGAGTGGACATAAACCGAGGAATCATGAGCAAGAGAAATTCACTCTTTATTACAAACTGTTTATTACAAAAGAGTTGCTCACTATTTACATGCGTATTTACAAAACATTTTAAAGGTGACCTCAGTAATGATTATGAAAAGTATGAACAAAGAATTTTGAACGAAAAATAAATATATAATTTAACGACGATCCGTGCTACGACGACTGGCCGCGCTGCTCACACGGGAGGAGGCCTTGGAACCAGCCGCTGAGCCAGGCCTTGAGCTCGTTTTCTTTCCTCGCGCACTGCTTGTAGGAGAGACACCTGGAAACGAGCGAGGAAACATTTAAACAGTTATTGTAATGGAATGACTGGAGTTGGAATAATAGTAGCAGAAGTGAACCTCTCATCCCTTTCTCGGTGCAGTCCTTTGGTGTAAATGAATCAGCTCAATAAACTCAAAAATTGAGTTATGTTCTCTCATAATAAAATAGCAAGCAACAATGAAATGGTTTGAATTTTTTAATAAGTGGAAAATGAAAAAAAAAAGAAAAAAAACAAACAAACAAACAATAGAGAAGCCTTATCTGTTTTAATTTTACAAGAGATAATTCATGGGTTTGTCCTCCTGGACAAACAGTGCCCCAAGCTGCGACCCTTCAGGTCGACATGGCGACTAAGTTTGCAATCATAGTCGCAAATTCAAAGACACCTATTTGATATTTCTGGCGATCATATCATGATCTGAGGCCACCAAACCGCAAATTGAAAAGAGTTTAAGCTTGGAGCTACCTAATTTCTCAATGTTTCATTTTGTACGTAAGCTGTACTCAAGCTGTACTCAAGCAACTTGTCCCACGGCTCATGCTCTCACCTGGCTTCGGACTCCCTGCGCCAGTGGGGCTTGCAGCACCCGCAAGAGCCAGAGCTCCAACATCAACAGTACCAACACCTCGGCGGCTGCCAGTTGAGATATCAGATCTGTACAAGGGAACATAAAATTCAATTCAAAATTAACGAGTTGCTTCTCTATCCGAGAAAATGAGTGTAGGTCGAATACAGGATCCGAGGTCCCTGCAGAAATATTATGTGACAAAAGCTATTTCCCAACAGCACAGTGTATGTTTTCGCTTAAACTGAACAACAAGGAGAAATGAGGAGGAAAATGATTTTAGAGCAACGGCCATTCATAGCGAATAAAACTATCACATAGAACACAAAAGTTCTAAAAGTGAAGGCTAACAGAGTTTTTGAAGCACCAACAAACGCAAATGACGAAGTCAAGAGTAGTTCACAGAGCAATGAAAAGGAAAGAAAGCTACTGCAATTCAGGATTACTTTAGATATTTATTTGAAAACTGCTCAGGAAATCGCAGTGTGATCAATTACTTTTTTACCAAGTGGTGATCATTTTTTTCATTCTGCTATTCTCCAATTTTGTATCGAAGATCCATTTACAAGCACACAAACCCTGCCTTACTCACCGAGCAGACGACAACGTCCCAGAACTCCGCGAGCTACGAGAAGATGTTGGCCGCGACATACCAGGACCTGGGGAAGGAGGCATTGGTAACCCTGCCTGGCTGAAATAGATCTGGACACTGGGTCCTAGATCCGGATGACTGTGTAACACCTCGCCCATTTGTTTCATGGTGCGCGTATTAAAGTCCCTCAACTCTCTCAAATCCATATCCTTTTCCTCGTGAAGTTCCCCTGAACTTTTCTTGGCACTCCTTACGGAGCGCGCAATCTTGCTAGCCTCCCGGGAAGCTCGGTCTTTCTTTGTCTTCTGATCATCCAATTCCTTCTGTAAATTTGTCGCCTTGGCCTGCTTCTCAGTGATGACCTCAACCAAGCCTTGCTCGTCCGCGGTCAAGTTTTCCAAGGTGCCCTCCATAGAGCCCAGGTCTTCCTGTAACTCACGGATTTGCCGTCGTTTGTATTTATATTTATCCATCACAGCTCGCATCTGATCCTCCAAACGCTGTTTCTCGTCATACTCTTCACTCATCTCGTCCACTTTGTTAAAACTTTTCCGGTAAGTCTCGTTCCGGCCGTTCATCAGCCGCAATGTGTTTTCCAAAGCTCTATAAATAGCGAAAAATAAAAAGTATTTTTAGTCTGCCAAGAACCTATAATGTCAAATATATCGATATTATCTTCACGGCTAGATAATTATTGCCTGTCTTATTTCGCTTAACCCTTACCGTATCTCTTTCTCAGCCTTTCTGATCTTAGCATCCAGTTCATCTCCCTCTCGCTGCAGCTCCTCCTTTTCCTGAGCTGCCTTGATAACGTAATAGGCTTGAGACCTTTCCTCCTCCCCCTCGGGAGGCGCCATTGAGATCATCAGGATTTCATACCTGGCGCCAACAAATAGGAAATACACTATTAAAAAAGTAATGCACACAAAATTCCCTGTTACGTTTGCAATCCAATTCATTCAATCGTTGGCTCATTTAAGTTCAAGTTTATTCACCACCATAAAGTTCACAAAGAATAGTTCACAAAAATGAAATAAGTTGTAAGGAGACTTCAAGAAACCTACAGGGTTCGTTTGCTTATTCATTCACTAACATACTCACTGAGTTAATCAATCAAATGATAAGCCACTGTACCTTTTCCGCAATTTGTCAATCTTAGATATCCGTTCATGTAACTCGGAGCTGCAAGAAAATGTAAAAGAACCAGTTATTTAATCTATCAAAAGAAGAAACGACATCCGTCGCGTATTTCAATTGAAATGCTTCAATACCTGACTGTCTGTCTCTCTTCCTCTGAAGATTTGATCTGTGCTTGGAGCATGTCTTTATGAATGTTTATTTCATGGCGCCGCTGTTTCATCGCCTGCAGTAGCAGTAAGACAAAGTATTGCAGCTTTAGTGTGGTTCTTTTTGAAAAAAAGGAATCACCTTAAGCTTGGTCACCTTACAGCAAACATTGCACAGGATACAGAACGAATTATTACGTCGTACTTTCTCTGACAGCATTATGACAGATTTGGAACAATGAAACGTGAAATACGAACCGTTTCCAACTGCAGTTTCCTCTTTTCGAGGTTAAGCACATTGTCTGCTTTGTTGCTTAGAGTTTCTCTGAGGCGTTTGATTTCCAGCTTCAGAATATTCTCATCCACCATAAGATCCTACGAAAAATGGAGACAAAATAAAAGGTTATTGAAAAATGATTGAATCAGTCAATCTATCAGTTCATGGGTCTCTAGGACAGTCAAATTCAAATTTGCAACAGAATCTCTGCATCGCTTAAACTTTAACTCCCAGATCAAAATTGTAATTCTCCTTACTGTCAACCATACAAGTCTCATAATGTTAGTTCAGAGAATTTAGTATTGGATCAACTTATTATCCCCAAATTGATATTTTTCTTTTTTCTTATTACTTATATTGATATTATAAGGAGAAATTCTGTCTTGGTCACTCATGGGAGTTACAGGGTTAATTATATATAAGAGGACATTTAATACACAATTATTCACCGAATGGGAGGTACATATCCCCCACTTTCACTGACACTAAACTGAGTAGTATTAGAGGATATGCCACACAGGAACGAAACTTGGGTTTAATTCTGTCAACCTAAAAATTTTAGACGCAAAACAAACTCTTATCACGCGGTTTTGTCTCTTTGGCTTGCAAGGAGGTGAATAGTTCTGGCTAATCACTAGCGGGCTAGCCAATCAGTGCGCACAAAAAGCGCTTTTCATCTGTGGGGTACATACCGACGTATTTTATGTAAAGAACATTTCCTTGTGCGTAATCAACGGAGAAACAAAGGGAAGGCTGTAGTGCAAACCTGTTTTAATGTAACAACTTTCTTCCTCTCTCTCTCTGAGCTGTCATTATGTAGATTCAGTTCCTCTGCAAAAGAAGGAGGAGTTTGAGACATCTTTCGTTCGTTCGCTTTTGAAAACCAGTGTTTAGACGAATATTTTGTATCATGGAATCATCATGATGGTAAATCACTCACCAATTTTGCTGGTGAGAGTCTTCATTTCTTCTTTTCCTTTATTTAAGTCTCGGTTTGCACGTCTAAGATCATCCTATGGAAAATAAAAGTTTGAAAAAACAAAATAATAACTATGGCTTTTCAGAGTTATCTTAAGTTTACATCTCTACACAATTTTTTTTCAAACGACAGGTTGAGCCATTCATCAAACTTACGTTCAAGTTCTTCATTTGAGCACTGAGAAGTGCGTGAGTGGAGTTGTGTTCCTCCATCTGAGACATTAGATCCTGGAAAAAGTTAAGAAAAAAGGACAATCAATAAGAACTGTATTCATCTCCTCTAAGTCAAGTGCCATACTCAAAGTGCCATAACGTGAAATTTTCACTTCTGAACACAATGCCCATAAAAGTACAATCAACACTTGTAAACTTTATACCTTTATTCTGGCCTCAAGTTGCAGTTTCTCTTCATTACTTCGCTCTCCCTGCATGCGGCTTATTCTTCGCTCCAACTGTTGCAGTTGAAAATCCTACAAAACCACAAACAAAGCACACAGTACTTCAGTTAAAACAACATAATGTAAGACAATGCTCAAACATCCCATACATGGATTGTGAAGTATTTAGAAGGGGATTCTAGTCGTCACATAGATACTCAGAATGAAAGGTTGACAACAATTGGCTCTCGCAGTAATTCTGACCTGCATATAAATAATTTCCTGTTGTTTGAGTGATTCCTGATCAAGTTTGTGTAGTTTACTGCTCAAGTTCCTACTGGCAGCTCTTGCACCCTGAACAAAATAAGAAAATCACATAAAAAAACAATTGAGGATTGAAATTGTTAAGACATGTACATCCTCCCATTACCCCAGTCAAGAGAATTGGGATAACAGCAAACCCTAATTACCTGAATTTCAGCTGCAGTATTGTTTTCCAAAACTTTACATTCATGCAGTTCCTCTGTTTTTCTGAACTAAAAAAGGAAACATTTCATGGCAATTACTTCTCATTGTTTATTTTTATTACATTTCACAGTCTTATGTTAGTCTTGGTGAACAATTGTCCATTCTGTCCCCACCTCCCCCAAAGAAGAATAGGAGAGTCTCCACATGATTTCTTAGTAAAAAGGAGTGAGGAGAAACAAGTTACTATAAACAGGTCGCCGGTCTGTGAACATAATAAATATATAAATTCTTAGCTTTGAATTCCAAAAATGGCTCATCAATAATAATTACTGGTAATTAAAAAGAAAATCATGCTGCTGGTTGCTAGAATGACAATTTAATTTGACTAACAGAAAACCAAAAAAATTGCAAGTTACTAACCATAAAAATAGCAATGCTGACATTTAGAAAAGTGCATAGAAGTAAAAGTAAAAAACCCATCATGAATTGTTATTTTACTATGCCGACTATAGAAGGACCACCTTCATCCTTAAAATGTTACCTGAGTTTCACGAAGTCTGGCAAGCTGTTTTTCCACATCATAAATACGAGTTTCTTCTTCCTTTAACAGCATGTCCATTCTTTGAGCTTTTTCTTCTGCAGTGAGAGTCTCATCAGTAACAATTTTCAGCTGATGCCGCAGATCATCTCGCTCCTTTTGCACTCTATCAAGCCTAAGTAGTTCACATGACTCAGTCAGCTTAAATTTGCAATCACTGTGCGACAGTAGCACAATGCATATACTGTGGAGACACTAATAATCAAACATACATGTTCATCAATTCACAAAGAACAATCATGTCAAGTTATTTTTTTTGCAATAGGTGCATAGATAAAATTAACTGAGTCCCAACAAAGAAGTTTAATCCTGGGTTCAACAAGTGGTGACTGTTTGCATCACTTCAGTCATAGTGATGGGTATGTACAATATATACCTTTCTGTTCTGTTGGTAACTTCTTTCTTGAGCAGATTATGTTTATGCCTGGCACTTTCAAGATCTCTTGCTGTCCTGTCCACAGTGTATTTCAGTGTGTCAAGCTGACAAATGCAAAGGAACACAAGAAGAATTATTAATTAAAGAACACTTGAATAACCAAAAGCAAATTCTAGCCTAGCTGTAGTATTAGGTTTAGAAACTTAATTAACACCAGGAGAACTGAATGCCTCTTACTAAATGAGTCTTACATGCATCTCAGCTTCAGCACCTAAATAAGTTGAACTTCACAGTTCAAAGCTGAGTTACAATAAGAAACAAACAATTTTCAACATTTTAGAAGGCCACTCCTTTTAAAATTAAATCCACAACAAAATGCCTTCTCTATTTAACAATTTATACTCAATAAACATGCAGAGGTGAACAACTGAAGATTTACCTCATCTTGAAACTGTATCCTAATTTGTTCAGCATCCTGGTACTCCAGACGCAATTTGGCCGCCTGTCTTTCAGCCACTCCAACTTTCTTCTCTTTTTCTTGGTTGTTAGCAAGCTCACTCTCCAGAAATTTCTGTTATAATCAGAAACCAGGAGGAGAAAGATTTTACTTAATAAAATCTGTCACTCCCAAGTAATTTGGAGATTGAAAACTAATAAGACATGATAGATAAGTTAAAAAACATAGAAATTACTAGGTCTGCTCAATAACTTTAAAATTTTCAGGCCAAATAACATAAACCATTCAAAGTTTTTGTGGTGTATGTCCATGTCCTGTTAATGACTTTGTAAAATAGACCTGGAATTATTTTCAGTTCAAAGGATGTTTTAACCTGTTTTTCTTGGACCTGCTCTTCTCTGTCTCTGACTTCTAGTTTAACTTCAGCAAGTTTCTGAACAAAAAAAAAACAGTTATCAAAAAGAGCATCTAAACACTACTCCTTACATGAAAAAAGTTTCATTGAATATTTTAAACTACACTTAAAAGCTAAAAGAAGATATACAGTACATTGTATCATCATGTTTGACCTGAATTTCCTTAATTAGTAGAACATTTGTTAAATGACTTGTAAATTTGTGTACACTGTAGAATTCATAAGAAGTTTCAAGTGAATGTTATGGACAAAGGTTACAATGTAGTTAACACAACTTCCTCGATGATCACATGAAGTTGGAAAAATACTCACCACAGCCAGTTGATCCATCTCTCTGTCTCTTTTCTGCATCTGTTCAATAGTGTTCTCCCACTGACGCAGCAATTCTTGTCTCTCACTGTGTGCCTTGCGGAACTCTTCTGCTGTCTTGTCTAATTCAATCTTAACATTTAAGAAATTGCTCAGGTTAACAACGATGAACAGAATTGTGAAACTCCCTAAATCTTATGGTTTTTCATACTACACATTTATAACTGGTGGTTGAAACAACATTTTAAGCAAAACAGTTACATGTTGTACACCACTTAACAAAATATACATGTATGATCTCAGATGTGACACAAGATTGATTTTTGTCCATGCAAAAACTTTAAGTGGGATTGTTACATATTCTACATATCTCTGAACCATTTATGACTACACATGTACTCATGGAAAATCATTTCAGCATGTTACTGACCTGGGCTGTCATGGTAAGAGTTAATTCATGCTCCAGTTCCCTTTTCTTCTTAGTTGCATCATCTGTCATTCTTTCCATCCTTAATGTTAATTCCTAATAATTAGAAAGATTAAGGTTAGTTAAAATGCCATCTAAAGTCATTAGATTAATCATTTTGACCCTAACATGTTTTTCATACTGTTCATTATACATTTCTTAAGAGTCTGAAAAGGAGAATTTATTTGACAATCAGGAGCTTGTTTTAGTTGGTAATCATTTTCTTCAATCTAACGACCTTAACATTTTATTCAGGAGTGATATTGTATGGAGAAATTAGATGCTAGTCACTCTTAGGGGTTAAAAGGTTGAGTAGGCCTGGTTGGTTTCAAGGACCAGACAATTGTAGAGTACAAATTTATGGTAATGTACAACATGAATTGAAAATTGTTTTATACTGTGTAATGCCACTCCACAAACTTAAGTAAAATGGCTAGCTTGATCCATTTTTGTGTTAATTTTACCAAAGTCAGTACTGGAAAGGGTATGGATTTTATACACCAGGCTAGAAAAAGAGTGTGGAAAATGGCATGTCTTGGTCTAAAATAGGCTACGGATTGAGAAAATGGGGCAGTGTACCCTACTCTTAGAATTTTGTAGAGTTCCTCCACTTTACACAAATGGAGTTACAGGAATTTAATCATCTGCTCTATATAGCAGTAGTAGTAGATATGCTTAACGTGTAATGGTTCCTAACCTTCACTTTGCCTTCATCTGAACGAGTGTACTTTTGTAGTGTCAATGCATCCTCATCTTTCCTTGCAGATTCTTCCAGCCATGCTTCCAATGCTTTCTGGTCCCAGTTCATCTGACTTTTAAGATCTTCCAGCCTCTGTGTGTTCTTGAAAATATTGTTCTGGTGGACAAAAGTTCACAAATTGGACATGTGAAACAGCCACTGACAAGCAAAGCAAAAAAAAAAATAGACAGTAAACAGTTTCCTTACTTCTATGATATTCCTTTTTTCTGTTAAATCTTTTATTTCATTGTTGATCCTCCTGATCTCATTGTTGAGTCTTCCTTCCTCTCTTTGAGCTAAAATCAATGGGTAACACTCAGCTATTGTTGTATTGAAGAAATGTAAAATGGTTTCTGTGTTTACATAGCCTGATGTAAACACGCGGGAGGTTGGGAGAACACGAGATAAGTGTAGGAAACCATGACGCGAAGCAGAGTGGTTTCCAGCTTATTGAGTGTTCTCCCAACCTCCCAAGTGTTTACATCAGGCTATGTAAACACGGAAACCATTTTACATTTCTTTTATAAAATAACTAATGAAAGAGCCTCTTCTTGCAACAAAGGAAAGCGACATGCTTGTTGTTGTTGTTCATTTGGCTTTTCGGCCATTTCTTGAATACTGGGAAAATTAATCTCCAAAGAAAAATTTGGAAAATCTTCTTCTTCCAAAACAAACTTAAAGAAACTGAGTTACTGCTAAATAAATAGCAGGGAGAACTCCACGAGAATATTCAGTATGAAAACCGTGTTTACATACGCTCATGTAAAATGGTTTTATAGCCAATCAGAGCACACATACTATTTGAATTATTCTATAAAAAATCATATAAAGTACAAGTGATTACCTTCAGTTATCAAAAGACAATTTTTTACTTTATCATACAGTTTGTAAGAGGAAAACTATAATTACTTAGGTAGAAAATTTTGAAAAGCTTCAGAGAGTACATTTGGAGCTGAAGCTTGAAACGTCACCTTTTTAAAATTTGCCATTTTGATGATAGTCGCCAATAATTCACATGAGTTTTGTATCAACCTCTCAGTTTATCAACTGAAACTACCCTTCTTCATTAGCCATACCTGATATTTAACCCTTTATACCTTATCATCTGCATGCATTTTCCCTTTACTATTCTCTATACATTTACTGAGGTGCTGATAAGGAGAATTTGTTTAACAATCAAGAGCTTCTTTGGTTGGTGATCATTTCCTTTATTCTCTTTACCTTAATGTTTGATTAAACAGCAATACTATGAGAATAAATTAAATACCAATCACTCTAAAGGGTTAAAGGGTTAGGTGTTTGAGTGGAAGGTAAAGATAACATATTGCCCACAGATCAAACAAGCAGAAGAAAGTTATCTTATATGACTACAACTTCCACATACCTATCTGCATCAAGTGATTTTCAGTCCCTATCTCTCTTTTCCTTGCATTAAGCAAATCCTGTTTGTGAAATTAAAAAAAGTTCATTAAGAACGTCAAGGCACTAAAAAAATAAAATATATTGGGTGGAGAATCGAGGGCACAAAACCTCCAGGATTACACTTACCTGTGTGTGTTGTAGTTCCTGCTGTACATTTCTGAGATGTTCACTCATAGCATAGATTCTGTCAGCATGTTCATCGAGCTGCTCTTTGTAAGTTGTGATGTTCTTCTGGGTCTCAGTTACCTAAAGAAAATAAAAACAATGTACATGCATAAATCAAATATAATGTGGAAATGGTCTGATACTAGATTTCAAAGTAAATTTCCAATTTTATAGATTTAGTTTCACACTGTTTCCTATTCAAAAGTTCAAGAGAGGAGGTAGCTTTACCACAGTTTGATTAATGAGAAAATTTGGCAAGGTGTACTAGGGATCTAGCTTTGTAATAATTAAAAAATTAATATGCATTACTAGGATAAAATCATAAAAAATCTTCCACTCACTACTACCAAATGGGCAAAAATTGATACAATCAGTACATCAAGATTTCTCTTGGTAAGGTATGAGTTCATTTGATTTTAAACATTTGCAAACTAAACTGAACGATGTTCATGGCGATCAGGACCCGGTTGTTCAAAGGCTTGTTAGCACTAACCTACCCTTGTTGTGAAATTTTGATCCAGGTTTCTCTATTTCTCTGTTCAAAGGCCTTTTTGAGATAATTTTCCTTACTCTTTTTACCGCAGCCAATCATCAAATTGTAGACAAAAATGACTGATATGGATTTTCTTTCAAAGCTTTCAGACCTAAAATCAAATTTCACCCTAACCCTGGGTTATCTTAAACCAGCTTTGAACAATCCAGTCTGGGCTATTGAAGAAACTGTCACGTAAAACAAGTTAACAAGATCTTGAGGTCTATCTTATACCTGGCTATTAAGATTAACTAAATACGAAAACTTAACTTTCCCTAAAATTATTCATTTCTTGTATTAAGTATTTTACCTCACTTTCCAGCTGTTTATTCTCCAGATTTGCCACTGGCATCGCAATGCCTTCATCAAAGTTTAGTTCACTCACGATGTCCTCCATTTTGAACGAAAATATGCTATCAAAATATCAACAACCAGCGCTAAAATTACTCTATTTCCTTTTTTACATACACCTACACTTGTTTAGGGAACTTCTTATACCGCTTTACTTTCCCTCAATCTTCCTCCGAACTGAAAATCCACTGATTCTGCTCGAGGGAAGTTGTTGTGGAAACGGCACAAACAATCTGCGCCAACAATGCCAAGAATCTTTCTCAGCGGCATCCTTTATCTCAAGCTCCCGGATGAAATCACTCATACCCAGTCTTTCCCTGTTGTAAATACCCTTATAGCTTCGCTTTGCTGATAAACACGTGAGGAAAACTAAGCGAAACCCCTCTTATCAAACCCAAAGTTAAGAGGAAAATGAAAAAGAAAAGCAAAGGAACAAAAGTTCAAGGAAAGGTAAGACAGATCAAGAAAACAGATACCGACCAGGAGGCTGAATCAATCGCAGCTGTTGATGAAAACTCGGAAGAAGATCAAACGAGGAAGGAAAGCACTCAGATAATTGGAGAAAATGCCACCGAAACCGAGTTTAAGGACGATGACGATCGTCTTATTGCTGTAATAGACAAGAACCCAGTGAAACCTTCAAGCTGCGTGAATGATGATCAAGATGATGATGAAGATGCCCCCGTGGATGTATCTTGGAAAGCTGCCAAGGAGAGTGCGCTTCGCGAACGAACATTGGAGAGAGAGATCGTTCTCGATACTAAGCGAAAAGAAAAACAGATGAGAATTGAGAGAGATGAAAAGCTACGCGAACAAAAGGAAAGGAAGCGAGCAAGAGAATATTCAAGATTACCAATGGAAATTCTGCAGAAGGTTGCCCGGCAACAAGAGTCAGAGGAAACCCTTAAATCACAAACAATTGAGAGTAGATGTCATGTGACCTTTGACAATTCAAGTGAAGATGAGCAGGATGAGAGAGAAGAACAAAAAGAGGAACAAGGAGCAGTACAGGAAGAAACAGCTGGAATCAAAGTACTTGTCTTGCCAAGGGAGACAAAGAAACCAAAAAAAATCCAGCAATCTGCTAATTTATTTTTACAGGAACGTCTGTACGGTGACAGAGTTCAGCGCATTTCAGCTTCCAGAAGCTCAGATCTGATGAAAAAATCTCGCAACACCTTAGTTCCAGCACGGAATTTTTCAAAGAAATCTTGGTAACACAGTAAATACATCACCATGTATGTTATCGTGAAAAATATATATGTGAAAATTCTGAGCATTTTCATTTTCCTTCACCAGGGCTCCTTATCCTCATAATAAAATTTTTTGTGGGTGTCTGAGTCATATGAACCATTCAGATTGGCTGAAAAAAATAGTTTGTTATAAACTGCAAGGTGGTTAAGGTAGTAAACTTGCTGTGGTGAATTCAGAGATGCTTCTGTTTTAAGCGTTAGCACCCCTGGTACATCTTAGTATTTTTTTTGCTGATGAAGCCCAAAAGTTTCTTCATAGTCCATTTTTGCTAAGTATTTTGTATTTGGTGAAAATAGGGGAAATGGAGAGAAGTTGTTAGGTACATTAAACCTCACCCCCACTTAGTATATAGAAGCCATTATTGAATGTTTTCTCTGCCACTGTATTTCTATAAAGGAATATTTTTGGATAATCTAGCTCTAAGGGAAACGTACAAAGATGATTGTTTGAAATACACAAGTACATGAATGAAATGTGCCAATTTTTATTTGTGTAACCACTGCTATAAAAATTTTATCCCTTAAATTCAAGTTTCATAGTATGCACTGAAGAACTCATTGCCATCAGTAATGTGGAATATATATTTGTTACAACATGGCCATCTCTGAAATGATATAACAATTTGTCCCAAAAGTGATATTGTGCAGTAACATGCAATGCAGTTTGGCATATGAAGGGTCAAATAGATTTTTTAATGACTAGCTTGCACTGCAACAGAAATTGAATGAGGATGATGACAATAACTATACTTCAGAAGAGGGACAGATTTTTTTAGGAGCAAGCCAACCTTTTCCATGTTTAGAGCACAAGTAGTACCTTCCAGTCCCTTCTGAGTAAAAAAATCAGCAGGAAAAAAATGATTTTTTACACACCATGTAGAACTCTTGATGGATTCAAGGCTCTTAATTTACTTGCACAACATTTTTGGTAGCTATTAGCTACCATATTCTGATGTTTGCCAACAACCTTGGTTGCAGATATCAATGATTATATTAATAATAGTAATGTTTTTTCTTGTAGTCAAACATGTAGCAGTGACACCAGCTGTGCAAGTTACAAATACTGCAGAGAGGAGTAGAGTATCTTGAAGAAACTAGAAATTAGATTCTACTTACTAAGACTCCTTGGCTGTAATCAACAGACTTGAACTGGAATTTGAACAATAAATTTTGCAGAAATTTAGGTAGTCTATGTAGGGATTTTGTGGAAGAATGGCCAAAAAAAAATAAAGATCGAAAGAGCGGTCTAATTGATTTGGAAAGTATCGTAATTCCTTTGAGTTCTTACCAAAGGTCTTGGCGAAGATCAAACTACTGGGCAGAATTCCTCTTCATCGAAAAAAAGAATGAAGAGGATCTAACATCTCATTAAAAATCATGTAAACAGCGATGAAAACATTGCGATCTGATCCTTAAAATTATTTACTTCTTACATTATTTCAATGAGTACCATGGAACGTTGCAGTAGCCGATCGTAAATCTTTGTCTTCTCTCACTGAAGAATTTCTCATTATCGTTTACTCGAAGAGAAATTTACCTGATCAAGACCACAATCACGCATATGCCAAATTTAATTATTGTTTGTGCCTAATGCATGCGATATGGATAAAAACCGTTGTCAATTGGATATCATAAATACAGGCGAAAATTTTGAGGCCGCCATTAAAGGAAGTGGTTACCTCGGGTATTTAGGAAAGTAGTTTAACTTTTGCCAGGTGTTATACCTGACTGAAACGTTTTTACCAATCAGGTGTTTTCATTGAGAATTTAGATTTCGCTTTTGCGGGAGACTAAATTGCTAAATGTATTTTTTTTCTTAGAGAAAAAACTTGTGTGTAGTATCGTGGACGAACTGAGCCAGTTTTATTTTTGCCATGTATAACACATTATACGTTTTGTGACACATATCCTAAGACTCAGATCTTTTCGCTGAGAATTTCGATTTGACATTCGCGGGAGGTCACGGTAGATAATCATTTTTAATTTGAGATGAAACCGATGGATGAGCAGAAAACAGTTTCACTCTTTCCCAATACAACACTTAATTTATTGCGTGCCACCTATCCTATCAATCAGGTGTTTTCGTTGAATCTTTTCAGTTTGGCATATGTACGTGAGAAGCGTAAAGATCAATATTTATTTGAGAGGAAACCTGTGTGTCGTACTGTGAACGCTCTCCACAAATAATAGCTTCACGAAAGAACTTCACCTGGGACGAATGCGGGAAGAGCAGGCAAACATGTCGACACAAGTGACGGACGTTTCAAATGTTAGTGAAGTAGAAGTTGAGGCAGAAATACAAATGTTGAGCGTTGGAGAACGACGAGAAACGTTACGTAGTTTCGTCCCTGGTATTGCTTCAAGTCGAGCTGCGGGTGCAGACTTCATCATGATGAGAAGCAAAGGTAACCTGTTATGGTTTTTTAACAACCGAGGATCTGCTTTGTTTCATTTTTATTGTCACGACTAATTCTACACTTTCATGTCATGTAACTTGAAGAGTATAACATCTCAGTAACACCATCCATAAAAAACTGAGATTTAACATTTTGCCATACCGGGACACTGAGCCACCCAAGAGAATATTAGACTGATCTCAAATAGTTTTAATTTGATAATACAGGTTACTTTCTTAACCTTCCATTGCAGAAGTGGCAATTTCGGAAAACTCAAATTGAACCACTCCTTTCTTAATCGAGATATCAACTAGAGGAAATTAAAAAGAATATTTCATGCTGTGCATTATGTCAAGGATTAAAATTTTAAAAAATAATTTCCGATACTAAAATCGAGGTAGTAGTTAGTAGTATCATTGATGTATATGTCAAACATTGTCATTTTAGAGAGATAAAAACACCACAATGTATTTTGCTTTTAAATGTCGACATCAAATTATATTTAAAGAGGTCAGTTTCATTTCCATGTTTGGCACGATAAGAGATTTCGTTGTCACTCGAAAGGATAAATGTTTAAACTGAATGTGCCTCCAGTCTTTTAAGATAAATATCAAAAGGGAAATACTTCCTTAGAAAAAAAATACTACCATGTTGTGCGAGTTGTATTTAACATTAAACATCTATGTGTTGTAATTCAATATCGTTCTGGGCAATTTTTCAAATTCAAAAATTTTTTATTGGCGTAAAAAGACTATCGTGATCGTAATATTCGTTTTAGGCGATTATAGGGCACAAGTTCATGTTGATAAATAATACATTAGAATCATCGAATGGTACAACTTCCTTCAATAAACAAATTGAACCTGTTGATCAAGAATTAATGCAAGCTCTTAAACTGTTCTCAATAATAACTCAAAGCGAGGAGAAGACATTAAGGTGTCAGTGTGTTTTGCGGCCTGAAAAAAATTAAGGAAGTGTATTTAAATTAAAAGAAGATAACTTAACATTTATGCGAGAAAGCAGATCAAAAAACACTATAAGTCATGTTTGTTTTGCTCGATTCTTATATGTTTTTTTTTATTAATTAAACCCCACCCCTTAGTATACAGGGCGACGTTGGTCAGTTTTAGGAAGTTAGGTTATCAAGAGATGGGCTACAGACCAGTGCGACATACAATTAATATTACTTTATTCAAAATTGGTATTGACCATGGAAATAGACTTGTATTTTGTTTCGGGTCTTTTTGTCAGTTGCAGATAATCTTGAATCACCATTTATGTCAATCCACAAAACTGTCGTCTTTTTTATTCTGAGTGTGTCTTCATTGGGAAAGACCGCTGGACAACTTCCTTGTCGTACGACCAGGTCAGTACCAGACTATGCCCTAAAAGGTCACGTGATTTCATCACCAGAAGGAAAGCGGCTCGAGAGCTGTGTAGCTGTTTGTGACAGCATTAACAATTGTTTCAGTATTAACTATTACATCTCATCGAAGAAATGTGAGTTGAACAATAAAACGGCAAAGTGGTACGCCAACGATCTGAGAGTAACACCTGGAGCAGTTTACCTAGATATCTTGTCACGTGACTATACTCCGTGTGTCGATCGAAATCCGCCATGTTCTGCAGGAAAATGTGTCCCCATCCCTGGATCCTTAGCGACACGGTGTTTATGTGACGGAAATGCCGCTGCCTGTCATAATAAACGTAAGTCTTCGCCTAAAATGGAAGAAAATTGAGACGCAACCTTACATTAGACCTGATATTTAATGTGGATGATGTTGTTTATGAGTAAAATCCTAGAATTATTTGAAATTTTTGGTGTAAAATTTGGTCTTGAAAGAAAGTACTGGAACTCGTTTTATGTGATTGACATAACTCCTCAGAAATCTTCTCTAGAGATGGAAAGGAAATTATATCCCCTCCTTGCAATCTCAATCATCTTTTTTAATGTTTTCGAGCAGCCTGTATTTCCAAGCCATTAGGAATGGAAGATGGTTCAATAGCGGACAATCAACTCACAGCATCATCAACGCACCCCACAGTTCAGCTGGGCTGGGGTCGACTGCACGACACGCGAGGAAGCTGGTCTGCAAACACAGATTCTGGTACCCAGTGGTTCCAAGTGAGCTTTTTACCAAACGTGAAACGCATAACAGACATCGCAACTCAAGGAAATGGAAAGAGCTGGTGGTGGGTTAAAACATATTACGTCATGTACAGGAAGGGGGGAGAGCCCCTTAGAAATTATGAGGAAAATAATCAACGCGTGGTGAGTAATGTTTTGAATTATTAACAAAAAGCTATATTCCAGGTCGCCTCGTGTCACCGCATTACCGAACCCGTTATTTTCACGCACTTAATTTCAGGTTTTTCAAGGAAATACTGACAAGGATGGTGTAGTGAAGAAAAAGATAAACAATCCCTTCGAGGCGGATTCTGTCCGGCTAACATCTCTGGACTATTCTGGAAAGGTTGCTCTGCGAATTGAACTGTATGGTTGTGATGTAATTTAGAATTACGTTTAACTCAAACAACTGAGCGAATGCAATGAAGAAAAATGTCTAAATAAATTTTAAGTGGCAACGCACGATCCAAAAGACTTTTATATCGACCATGGTGTCAAAGACATATAACAATTCATTGTTTCAGAGCTAATATATCTAACAGTTCCAGAACTTTAGTATTTTTGCGATTCCCAGATGGCTTCCACATCTTTAGAGGAGTGTTTTGTAAGTCTGGTCAGTGCAGTGGTAATCACCTTTTAAGATTGGACATATAATAATAGACATGTTTATACTAAACTTAAATGCGTAGTATTCGAAGGAACACTTAGGAAAGTTTTAAGCATGTGCAAAGTAAAATTAGATTAAACTTGAAATTATATTCCTTTGGGACACCGCATCTCGTCAAATTGTCTTCAACTTTAACGCACTATTTAAGGTTAGGGGATTTAAACTTCTAAAAAGGAATTATTTCTTCATAAATAAGCTATGTCTAATAGCTCTAACTGAAAAAAGTTCGTCTTGGACAAAACTTTCCATTTTTCTTTACAACCAGTTATGTCTTCATTGCACTCTTCTCACCAAAAGTCTTCCTTTGCACGAGATTGTTTTCCTAAAACTTAAATTAGATCTTCGTGGCGGCAGTTGTATCATCTTTACGATTTCTATTATCAGTTTGGCAGATGCCTCGTTCCTGTTCCATAAAATTTTAATTGCAGTCAATTTAGAAACAGTCAGATCCGTATCTGGGCGAGCCCATTTCAATACACTAGGTCTAACTGTTTTCTTTGGCCTTAGCCCTTGAAACCGGCAAATTGACGGATGTGCATGAAAATTGTGAGAGCTCGCAAATAAGTTTTAGGTTATCGATATAGTTCATTCTAGCCTTGAAGCATTTTACAGTGGTTGGATAAATTAAAAAAAAAAAAGACTGAACATACGCACAAAAAAACATTGACTAACAGTGTTACTGACACGAAAATGAGAGGGTGGCTAATGATGTATCGCAAGAGATTTTATATCGCGATTTTCTTCACTGAAGCCGGAACTGTGTTACTTCACAAGTGAAGCTGCTTGAGGTAAGATGAATGTCATGCACTCTTAAGTCATGTTATATAGGCGCACGCGGCTAAGTGTAACTGTAATGGAAAAAAGCTGGTTGTAATAATACTTCTTTCAAAGAAAGTGAAACGGTAACATGAAATGAGCTATTTATTTGGAGAGAAATCTTTCACTCTCTATGGACTGGGTTAGTAAGGACATGAATATTTTACACGTTATCCAGATAATGCAAAATCAAGAAAGATCGTAGTGTCCATATGGTGTGAGTATGTCGTTGCAGGGAAGCAGGATCTAAAGTGCGCAGTCGCAGTCATAACGACGTGTATCTATTTACTACACTTAAATCAATTGACGCACCAGTTACAAAATATTACGATTTAATTATGCCTTTCAAAGAAAGCGCAGACATGGTTGTAAGAGTGTTTAGCAAGCCTCATAAATGTCCCGGCCAAATCATCACCTAAGTCATATTATTATTATTGTTTTTAAATATGATTGTGATCCACATTTAACTGGACCCACAGCTTTTTGAGAATGGCGATCGAAACTTCTTTATCAATGCTTTTTGCAATGTTTATCCAAACATAAGACTACATGTTAAATTTGTCACCATTTTCGAAAACAAAGTATAAGTAATTTAAGGACGAAAATATTTTTGAATCTGACGCTACTTCTTCGGTGTTAAGAGACAGCAAAACAAATTTTCTTGATGATAATGAATCTATAGTCAAGAAATAATTAAGCAAATTCACTGTAACCGGTTTGCTCTGAGGAGGTACGAATCGTCAGTCCGTAGGACTCCAGACTTTTAGTGAAATCATTCTACTTTCGAGGCAAACAATAAAAACAAGTATACTCGGGAAAAATTTTAACTGTATGAATGAAACGTTCGCTGGAATATAAGGGCAATTTTTTTGGAAGTAAGCTAGTAAAGCATTCACTTCTAATCAGTCCTTCAAACATTTTCTTGTTTCAGTTCAACATAATAATAATTTTGACCCTCATCTAGAAATGTGTCAAAAAAAACTAATTTCAATCGTAAACAACTCTTGTTTGATTATTTTGCACCAAAGTCGATCATCACAACTGTAGGCAACAGTTTATTTTCAAACTATTAATAGATCTTGAATTATAGTTTGAGATTCTATCCACAAATGACTTAATCTTGCTCATTGGATGCAGACTTTTAATTTTGCCACATTTTTTTCTTTTTTTGCCGGAAGCAATTTAAATATGGAGACCGAGGGATAGCTATGTTTAATTTAAGTTTCATTTTATTAATTTGATCGTTTCGATATTTTTTCCGCGAACTTCTCGTCAATTTGCAAAACAGCATGCAGAGGTACCGGGAATTTAATATTTTGAACTTTTCACCATAAATGTCAGTTTGAATTGTTATTTTCTTATACAATACGAAACTCTCCCGTTACCTCAATCAAAACCCGTCAATCTTTCATAGTTTGAAGAAGTAACATTTAATAAAACCGCTCCACTTCTGTACACAAACGTATTGACAAGGTACGAATTACGAACACTCACGCGGATAAATTTCTCTTGTTGTTGATAAGTAGCAAGACTTCAACTCGCACAGCATCAAAACCACAAATGTCCTAAACATTATAAAATGAAGTTCACGAAAGGCTGAATATTGTCAGCTGAATTTTCACATTGCCGAGAAAAAAACATGCATACCAAGTCTTCGAAAACGGTGAGAGAGAACAAATATTGATTATTTTTCTGTTACATGACTCTGTTACTAACCCATAACAAAGAGGCGATACATTGTTTGTAGCAAATTCTCGAATTTTTTTTTTATTTGAAGTCGCAAGCTGAAACGGATAATTGCACGGTTTCGATTACAATTACTGACATGCAATGTTCACAGCACCAAGGTTGAATTCATCAAAAGTGTTACAATCAGAAAAATTCAAATTAGTTTTTCGGAAAAGCTTCTCATGCCTGGAAATATCGTTAATGACATAGGTTCGACATGTGTGCTGAATGGCTTTCATCTGTGGAACTCATGGAGCAAATTTTATTCTTTTATGGATGTTATTGTTTGTACCTATAATACATTTCGTCCAAAATTTATTAAAATAATAACGAACAGAATAATTGAAAACAGTCCGGGCTTCAAAAAATCGTGTACCACTGGCAAATCTTTGTATGTTGTTCTCGTGAGTACCGCAGAGTTGGATACAAAAAACATTTATGAAGACTAAAAATTTTCAACTTAAAACAGATTAAGATAGCAGAAACTGGTTCTCGAGGTATGATTTCAGTTTTTTTCATTTCTTTGCGTGCATTATCTACTTTGAAGAGCTTTTTGTTCCAAAGGTCAACATGTATGTCACCAGAATGGGAACTTCTCTGTTAACTGATCGAAATTTGTCCAAGGCATACCTAGATTTCCTTCAAAATTTTCTGAAAGCATCAGCACGTAAAAAAGACTGCTACAGACTGTTACTATGTTCAATGAAAATCAAAAATTTTTGAATAATTCCTGTCTTTAAATGTCGTCCATAGCTCGCTGCATTAAGGGTAGCTCTTCGAAGCGGTGTCAAGGCAATTCTTGCGTCTTCTTCCCGGGTTTTCTAATCTTAAACTTTTAGGATCTTGTGAGTGACTTGCTAACAGCTGTGCTCAGTCTGCTAGAATATGAGTACCTACGCTTAGCCATTTAGCAACTTTAATCCAGTGTATCAATAATGCTCCTATTCATGTACGGGAATATTTTGCATCTATTCAAAAGCCATTACCTTTGAACAAAAGAATCGTCTAAACACGTTGGTAAAATTTTCCAATCTCCACGACCCGATATGTACATATTTGATCGACCAGTAAATAAAGTGTTAGATTTTTATCTAAAACTCCATTGATCTTCACTAAAAGCACTAAATTTATACATCGTATAAATATACAAAAAATATCGGTGATGATGATAATAAACAATGAATGATGTCATTTATCAATTAATGTCTCAAATAATTATATTCCCTTTAACCGATATAATTTATTACAGAAGATGTCAGCGTTAGTCACTCTCCTTGTCCTTCTTACCATCCATTCCGCTGAGACATGTGACACTTTCAAACCAATCAAAAACTACGTGCTGACTGGTCACGTGATTAAAACCATCCGAGACGCCAACTTCGAGAAATGTACATATCGCTGTGAGCTTGAAACCAAATGTTTCAGTATTAATCTTTACACAAAGACCAGCAAATGTGAATTGAACTATGGCAGTAAGGAAATGTTTCCAAGTGATTTCAAGGAGGAACTGGATGCTCTTTATATTCATAACATCAGAAAGGACACCGGTGATCCGTGTAATGCGCTGTACTGCTTGCACGGCGGCTCTTGCCATCCGTTTCCACAGCCAAACTGCATGTGCCCCGTGGGATTCGTGGGATCGATCTGCCAAAACATTAGTAAGGACTGAATTATTCATTGATTTATAATTTTTAATAACACTTCTATATTAAATTTTAAGCATCGGCAAAACTTGTCAGCTCGCTAATACATTTTCCTGTAGCTTTATCCCTAGAGGCCATTGGAATCCAAGACAATAATATTATCTTTGACGGTGAACTTACGTCCAGTACAGCCGCTGTTGGCCATGAAGCATGGCGGGGCAGGCTACATGGTAAGGGCAGCTGGAAACCAGTTTTAAGTGACTCGGACCCACGCTTCGAAATCGGCACTTTCGATCCAGCTGTGAAGATAAGTTACATTGCAACTCAAGGATCTCCTGATCAAGACTGCTGGCCGACTTCTTTCACGTTGCGATACGAAACCGCTGGCCAATCAAAAGAATACCCCCAGGTAAGTAAGACAATTTCGAATTGGGAATTTATCGCATGCAGTTATCCAAAAAAGAAAAATTGTATTAATTTCTTTTTCAATTGTATAGCAAATCAAAGGTCTACCTCGATATAAGCGGTTACAGTGATCGCTAGTGCTATTACGGTAAGCGTCCACCAAATTAAGCAATTTTGACGAAAACATCCCAAGTCGCCAATTTAAATAGAAACTTAACCTAGGTTTGAGCGAGTCTGCAAAAAACCTGCCTTCCGTACTCAAAAGTTGGTTAGATTGTATCATTTTCACAAAACCGAGAAACGCATGCGCAGTGTTATTAAGAGAGAGCGTGAAAACCTGATATTTCTTGAGTTTCAGAAGCAAATTTAAGTCGCACAGACAAAAGTTTTGGGGTTCCAAATCGATCTCATATTTATTTTCATTGAAAACCTTTCTACTTTCAGATCTTGGCAGGCAACATTGACAGAAATACAGTGATATATAACCCCTTGAAACCGGCTCTTGGCAACGTGTCGAAATTAGTTATCAGACCAGTTTCCACGAATGGCTGCATAGGTCTTAGATTAGAGCTTTATAAATGATGCTGTGTTGGAGACGTATGATAAAAGAAACAAAGCCATCTAAACAGGGATTGAAAAACGGAGATGTCTGTCATCTGGAAATGGACGAGCTCAAAACCAAATCTAAAACTTTCTTTCTTTCCTCATTAGGTGATGAAATGCTTGTAAGAGCTCAAGATTTGCGCTTAAATTTTATCTGTCCTTACGGCAAATACATGACACAAAGTTTATAGAAACCTCATCCAAACTATTAACCAGATATTTGTCGTAATTTAAGCTTCGATGAAACATTATATTTAATGGTACTTGATAAAACTGTTTCTGTCGAGCTGCTTTTCTAAAAGTGGTGACTTCACTGAGTTTACTCTGTATCACTTCGAGTAATCGGTAATTTATCTATATAACTTATTAAAGCTGTCAAGAAATTCAAATCACAATGGTATTATTCCATCTCTGGTGCGAATGAAGCTGTTCGCTTATCTATCAAGTGCTGAAATAAACCAAATTTCTTCCACATCGCAGCCCTTTTCACTAATTAACGTACCTCTAGAAGAAACTATTCAGATTTTAGTAAAGAAAGCATTCAATGGGAACTGGTTTAACAACATACACAACCTTAACATCTGCGAGGGCGACCCTAATCAAGCTGCTTACAATTGCAACTAAAGACCAACTCTTCCAGTTTAACGGTGATTTGTACAAACAAATAGACGGCGTTGCCATGGGCTCATCACTAGGACCACTAACGGTTAACACCTTTATGTGCTCCATTGAGGAGAAACTTGGACGTGAAAACAAGCTTCCCGATTTCTACAAAAGATACGTCGAAGACACCTTCGCTTTGGTACCCGACCTTGCCGCTGCTACTGATTTCCTTTCAGTTCTGAATGATGCTCACCCAGCAATTCAATTTACAATGGAAACAGCAGTCAACAGCAGCTTACCTTTCGAAGGCATGGTAATCAACAAGATCGATTACCGTCTCAACACCTGTGTCTACGGAAAAAAAGACCAACAAAGGGTTTCTACTCCATTATCAGAGCCATATTGACAATAGATATAAACGATCGCTAAGAAGAACTATACTTGATCGCGCCAACCGCTTGCCATCCTCACCGCATCCGTTTTCTGAAAATAATGTCAGGATCTGAAAACAATGTTTCTGAAACTGAAATATCCTAAGAAACGTATTGATTCTATTTTCAAGAGATTCCACGCTTCCCAAGACAAGACCCAAAAACCGAATTGAGCTCGTCGACAGCCCCGAACGAATCATCTTGCCTTTCAAAGTTGGTTGTCTGGCTGACTGGCTGACTGGCTGGCTGACTGACTGACTGACTGACTGACTGGCTGACTGGCTGACTGGCTGACTGGCTGACTGGCTGACTGGCTGACTGACTGACTGACTGACTGACTGACTGACTGACTGACTGACTGACTGACTGACTGACTGACTGACTGACTGACTGACTGACTGACTGGCTGACTGACTGACTGACTGACTGACTGACTGGCTGACTGACTGACTGACTGACTGACTGACCGACTGACTGGCTGTCTGACCGACTGACTGGCTGACTGATCATTTTTAACCCTTTTTCACCAGAACTTGAAGTTTTAGTTAGAAGTATTTGCATTATATGTAAGCACACTATTCAATTTTCCTGTGGCTTGGGCGTTAGAGGCCATAGGAATTCAATATAATATTAATATTATTATTTAATATTAATATTATCTTTGACGATGAAGCATGGCAGGGTAGGGTGCATGGTCAAGGGAGCTGGACCCCACTGACTCGAATCCTTTTCACATGGTTATCTTTGATTTAGCTGTTAATATAAGTTACATTGAAACTCAAGGATCTCCTGATCAAGACTGCTGGCCAACTTCCTTCGCGTTGTACTATCTGTAACCGCTTGGGAGCCAAAATTTTACCCCCAAATAAGTGAGACAATTAAGACCTAGGAAATTATAGCAGTTATCCAGATAGGTAAAAAATTTCCATTTTAGTCGAAAATAACCTCAAACATCGATTTGCCTTGATCTTAAAGTGGTCACAGCGGGCGCTGTAGCTATTACGGTCAGCGTCCATGAAATTCAGCAATTCTGGCGCAAACATCCAAGTGGCCAGTTGAAACAAGTATAGAATAAAGCTGAAGTTGAATGAAAGTGCATTACTGGTGAACCTGCCCTTCGTGCTCAGTGGTTGGTCAAGTTGTAGAATTAACTACCTTTATGATAATCGAGAGACATTGGTAAACTTGCAGTAATAAGCTGGGATTTTTAAGGTTTCAGAAGCAACCTTAAAAGTCAAAGACAAAAGTTTCAGAGTTTCTTTTTGATTACAAATTTATTTTCATGAAATATTTCTCTACTTTCAGATACTCGGAGGCAACATTGACAGAAATACAGTAATCAATAAAAGAAAAAACCGGCTAAAACCGGCTCTCACCAACGTGAAGATGTTAGTTATCGCACCCTTGGTCTTAGATTAGAGTTTTACAAATGATACTGTCTAAATCTAAAATCTAAAGAATCTAAAAGTTGAACAAAGTAGCTGTGTCTATAACTCTTAACAGACAAAGTTTCGCGTCACTAGTAAGCCACTCATTAAAGAGAGCGCTGAAAACTTATTTATCTGTTTAATTGTTATCAAAAATTTTAACAATGACGTAGATTTCATGTACAAGTCATGAAGCTTCAGGGCTGAACTCTTTGTTGTAGTTAAGGCCTCATGATAAAGGCTTTTAAAATTATTTGCTCTGTAAAATTATTGGTTTCGCAATAAAAATTCTCAGTCACTCACTTCATCTATGAATCTGTAGAAATTCAAGTATTTATTATAGCTGTCAATTAGATAGCAAAAAAAAAGTTTGGAATTTATCGATGCCTTCCACTTCGACTCGCTGGACATGGATTACGAAGGCTTTGGGACCGCGGAAGAGCCAATCCTGACGGCACAAACAAAAGATTTAAATTTGAAAATAATCTGGTGTGATTTAATCTTATCTCATTGCCTCAGACTTTCTATTCTTCTTCTATCAAGATAAATCAACTTCATGTCTTTACTTATGATTCAATTCTATAACGTCTGCAGGTCTGAGATCACTTCGATGGCTAAGTGTCAAACAAAGACTTATGGTCAATGATGCAGTTATGATGCATAAATGTCTTCAAGGACTGTCACTTAGCTACTTGTTGGACAAATTTTCAACTCGAGTTACTGTTCACAACAGGCAGACAAGATATAGAAACAGCCTCAATATTCCACAATGTAGAATCACTGCTGGCCAACGCGCCTTTTATTACCGTGGCGTGAAAATATGGAATAACTTAAGCAAAGACCTGAATACTAAAGCTTTTAAGAGACGTTTAATCAAAGACCTGACTTGTGACATGAACTAGGTTAGATGATAATCATTGTATATAGTTATCATTTAGTTATCCTAGTAGATAGTTTTTACATAGTATTTTTATCAATTAGTGATGTGATTAATTATTCATTTAGTTATCCTTGTAGATAGTTTTACATAGTTTTTATCAATTAGGGATGTAATTAATTCATTCATTTATCTATTTAATTTTCTTTTTAATATTGATGCTAAAAAGCCCTTTTTAGGGACGCTCAATAAAGTGTATGTATGTATGTAAGTTTATTTAACATTCGGAACTTTCCATAGGAATAAGCCTTGTCTGCTGACGCATTTCGCCATTCCAATTTTACATTTTAATTATTTGTTCCAGTGTCTTCTAAGATTAGAGGGACGCACAATGACCAAACAGAAATCCGCAGGATATTTTAGTTTTTTTTTCACATATTTCATAAGTTACACACGGGGAGCGCTAAATTCCATCTGTTTAAAAACATGATACTCAGTTTATCATTTCCATTCTGATATTTCGGTGGTTATGGAGTTCTACGTTCTAAACAATCTTGGCTGTAGGATAGCGACAATAATCTGAAAAATAGAGCTAATCTCTACTGAGTGTCCTAAAACCAAAACCAAAGCATTAACGGCGTACCATCTGAGAAAATAAAAATATCAGATGGGGGCTATAGGTGAAGATAAGTAACAAACAGCCTGTGGTGTGGGAAATCACAAGAGCTGAATCATTCGTAATTGGTTTTAATTTAAATTTTCTTTTTTAACTGGTTAACCACGTCAGAGCGACACAACACATCTCTAATGACACTCAGTTTAATGAAAACTGCAGCCTCTCTAAGCGCCGGTAGAGTGGCAAATAACCTGCCATTACTAACTTTCAATGCACTCGGCTAAACTGGCCTTTAATGTGAACCTTCTTTTTCGAAATGTTTATGATCAGTATCCGTACACCTCCAGCCTCAATGCCATATACCCGTGCCAAGTTCGTGGATGAATTCGGATCCACTTGACATTTTGGAGAGCTGGTGAGAACTTGTGCATAACAACTGAAGTGTTGTTCTTGTTAGCTTGGCATTCCTGTGAACATACAATACATTGACAGTATCACTATTTAAACAAAATTAAAACTTAACTGCAGCGTAACGAATCATTGGCTGAGCTCCGCAAATTAAAGGAGGCCTGAAACATGGCCTGAAAGATTTTGATATCAGATACCTTATCATAGGAAATTTTTGCGACACGTTGATTTCGCAAATTTGACGTCTCCAAAAAAATCGTAAATCACATACACGCATGGAGAAGGTTCGAGAAAGGAGAAGGGAGTGGAACTTTAATATTATCATCATTCTAAAATGTTTGTGTTTCATTGTTACCGACAAAAAAATCTTTCCAGGCCTACCCTGGCCCGTGCAATCGATGTTTGTAGATTTTACCTTATTAGGGTCATTTAGAGAAGCATCAGCAAAGTACTGGTAGGTGAAGCTTTGAACCCAAAATTTATCATCCGGGCTACCTTGTGTTGCTATGGCAATTACGGTTTTTTTGCTCGCGAACGTTACTGTAATGTATTCACCATCTAAGTTTTGTGCAGGTCTCCAGCAAGATTTTCCATTTAAACGTCCTTTCCATGCTTCATAACCGCTTAAGGACGTAGAGCCATTTATATTCTCATTAGGTATGTCTCCGTTTTCCATTCCTAGCGCCTGTAGGTCTGTTGAAAAAGAAGACACTTGTTTTCGTCAACGTTGATTTCTAATCATCACACGTCATGGAAAGTAAGAACCTATGCTAATCAAACTATTTTTGAAGAAAACAATAAGGAATATGGATCAAAGTTTTGGGCTTCAGTCCTTGCAAGTGTCATTGCGAGCATCGTCTTTATAGTTCGTCATAGAGATAAAGCAAGCTTTGGGAGGAAGATATAGGTATCTAATTTTTTCTAAGAAAATAACGTGTCTCATCGGTCAAAACATAACAGTAGACCTTTTTCTAAGTCAGCTGTGACGCGTAAGAGAAAATAAAGCAGACGCATAAAAACGTACGTAAATAATGCGTTGTGTCCGTCTATTGCTGACCAATCACGATCGAGAATTTTGTACAATCTTCCTGGTTTTTATGCTATTTCATTCTCTACTGTTGGTGCTAGCTTTCCAATTTCTTACTTTGACAGTGAAGCCCAGTGTAACCATCAAGACAATTGCACTTCAAAGTCGGACTCATGACACACGTGCCTCCATTTTTACAGGGCATACTCTCACAAGTATCACGATCATGGTGATACTGGCGGATCACCATGTCCAAATAAACTGCTCCCTTCTGTTTCATAACATCTTTTGGGAAAGAATCCTTGGTTGCTCTGTTGAGTTGACAGGTTCCTCGCGATGACATGAAGTTGATACTGAAACACTTCGGCTCAATTTCGCAAGAAAATGTGCAGCTCTCAAAAGTCTTGTGGTTTAGAGTCCGTATCACGTGACCAGTGAGAACGTGATTGGTATCTGGGAAACTGGAGCGGCAGACGTTAGAGCCAGCGGTGATCTTTGAAAACAGGAGGGTATGGAGTAAAACGAACTCCAAATATGGAGACATCTCTTACGTGACCTGTAAAATGAATAAGGTATAAATTCATTTGCGTTTCCAATTTCGGACCGAGGCTAGGGTGTGGTAAATTTGGTTAATTTAAGCAGTAACAAAGGGTACGTCATGAGTACCATGGTTTGATGCAGATAGAAGCACCTATCTTGAAAACCAAGCCGACTCGCATACTATATGTCATTTTTAGCCTTAGCCCCATGAAGGATCTCTTGTATACTCCATTTAAGCAGACTGATTACATAACTTCCTTTTAAAAGGGGCCTTCGCTGTATAAGGTTTCATTAACTTGCAGCATACCAAGTGCAAAATATGTGGGGGAGATTTTTCAGCCCCCTAGAGTATATTTCATCTTTTTATATTTTTCCTTGAATAAATGACAACGTTTTTATACACGAGATTTGTTGCAAATGTTATTACTTAAATAAAACTGCTTAAGATATGAAAAAAACTTCCATCCAATCAATGATACCCCCTCGCGCCGACAGGTAACTTAAATTACTCTAAAATGAAACCGTAAACAAACTTTTACAGCGCTATTTTTCTAACTGAAACAAATCTGATTTGACTGGCTTCTCAGTGACAGCGTGGAACCGGGAAAGTATTTGATCAATCCGGTAAAATGGTGCGCCTCGCACTAAATTACAATTTTCCTAACAGACCTAACATAGTGTCTTTTTCGATTCTTTTGTACTATGACGAGTTTATCAAAGGTAAGACTCATTTAAACTAATCAACCATCCTGATCATTTCTATTTAACATAAAACGAAAACAGAATCGAGGTTTTACTCGATCAGTCGTTCACCACAAATATCTTCAGCTAATTAGAAATGTGCCTCATTCAGGCTTGACATCCAGAGGTTTGAAGTACAAATATGCCGGGATCGTTTTCATTCTTGATATGGAAGTGAGAGTCAAAATAATCCTTTCTTTAAGTGCTAGCGGCCAATTCGTTATTCTTGTCATTAACTCCAATCCCCGATAAAATAAAAAAACATGTTCGAAAAGCGGGTTTATACGAAAAAGAAAATGACAATTTAAAACCTAAAACATAAAAAAAGAGAAATACTGGACACTTTACCTGTTCCGGTCCTTTCAAGTTCTTTGCGACATCAAAATCCTTGCCACTATTTTTTTCTGCTTTTTTTTAATAAAAAAATATCCTGAATTTTTCATAATTTGCCAAATTTGACAGAATGAATTCATACTTCAATGCAGAGATTGACTTTTTCAATAGCTGCTAACGTGAAAAGAAAACAAGCTGAATAACTCTCGTTATTAAGTTTTCACCGCGCTTGCGTTGGCAAATGTTACAATTTACTCATGGCTCACTTTATTTAGCTACTGACAATATCGAGTCGTTCTTCGTGATTCAAATCAGACTGTTCATGCCTGTGTCCATTTGAAAAGTTAACATTGGTTGATGGAAAAATTATTGATATTGGTTGATTGATGAAATTATTGAGCCAGTCAGTATCATTAAATATTACTTTCGTTACGATTCGATAAATTCTCCAGCAGCTTTTTAAATAATGTAAATTTGGGAAAGCATGGGTAATTGAGAGGAGGTTTCTCAGTTGCCATCCACATTCGTGGCAAAGATGTACATTGAGGAAGTTCCTTAAATATTGAACTAACTGCACTACTGTTTGTTTAGATAATTGTGATGAAAGAATCAGAGGGTATACTGCTACTGAAACAATGCTTGTATGACAACGAATTAAGGACTTAATGTTCCTACACTTTGCAATGATTCTACACTTTGTATTGGATCTCACCAATAAACGAGCATAAAAACTATTTTAAAAAGCGGGATTTTTAAAAAGCGACTTGTCTCACCCCCAACCAAGTCCAATGATACAAATCAAGAGAATATCAGCCGTTGTTATTCCTTTGTACAAATCATATATCAAATTGCTGCTTCCAGTTACCGCAAAATGTACCGTGGACTAATGGAATAACGCGCGTGATTAGTACCAGTGTAGGCATAAATGGGCTAAGTTTAACCCATCATGTCTCTTAAACAAGAGCGGTGACCTATCTTTCTTATTGTATTTTTCGAAACAGACATTGGTAGGGAACATACCCATAGCATACTACGGGTTGAGGTTATTTTGAGAGAATACAAGCCCTATGCGTTACAATCCTTGCCAAGCAAATACATTAAATGGAAACCTCACAAAACCATATATATTCATAAACAGCATTAAATTCTTTTTCATATAAGGTGCAGATATTATAAGATATATGAGATCACATGACATCACGGCGTGTATAATTTGAATAATTATGGAAATTTTCTAAAGACAATGAAAAATTCCTTTCAAATCCGTAATGTTGCAACAATTGATTATTCGCAAGTTATAACTCAAAAGATAACATGCAGCAAAAGTGTCCTCCAACTTAACAGTTTGCAAATTAGTGCCTAAATAAGCTACCTTTTTACATGTGAAAAAATAAAAATATATAAATCTGACAAGAGAAACAGTTTTTACCTTAACTTAGTAAAATGTTTAAGACCTCAATGGAGATCAGTGACCGGCCTGGGCGCGAATAAGGTATGTTTGGTATATGATGCTCATACTTCTACAAGTCCCCTCGAAGAGGAGAACGAGTTCACCGCTCTTTGCTTATCAACTCCTGAGTTACTACAGTTTGTGCGATGAGATAAAACGTATGAAAAAAGATAATTACTGCAGTGTCTATGTATTTAGCATCTCTGTTCAAATTGTCGCCTCTGCAAATGTATCAACAAATAGAGTAAACAGATGGAAAATCAGGAAAAGTACCGCCCACTACTCTATTATTTGTTTACAGTCACGCAGGATTTTAGCTACCTCATATCTGAACCTGAACTTGGGAGATCAAGGCTAAGAATTATAGCGCCTCAGGCCACTTGGCCTCAGGCACGTCACCAACGCCTTTGAAAAACGTGAATAAACCTGTTTGGATAAAGTCTTATCCAGATCTGTTTCATGATCGTGTTCACAGCAGCATAACCTGCGAGATTCAGACTGCAAACATTTTAATTGATACATGCATGTTCTAGCCATTACTAGGAGAAGTAATTATAATGGATTCCTGACATTACATATATTCTAATCTAACAGGGCTAAATGCTTACCCTCTCCTACTCTCTTCGACCCTTCATTATTCTCTGAAAAAATCCAGCGGTCGTAAGGTAGATTTAAAAGTTGTAAAGTTATTCAGATGCCGTTTTAGGGTTCGGACGCGTTGGCGAAATATTCGTGCAACAGATCTCTGCAGCATACCTAAACCTGCTTCGAGCGTATTGTTTCAAAAACAAGTCACTATGAAATAGTTTTAGACACGACTTTTGACAATTCTTTTTTCGCAGGATCAAATATCTGTGCGATAATTTTCCATGTCAAACAACGTGATTTATCCCCGCCACATATTCCTCAGACTAATCCCGCGGTCCTAGCAACTTACGACCCCTCAACAGGTCATAAATTTCCAATTTCGACATCCAGAATAAATCAATAATGGATGTCATTCATCACATCATGCATGTCATTTTACGAGCGCGGGTAAAACCGTCTCTTCCTGCCATTTAGCTTTAGAAACAACTGATCTTTCGCCTTTATTAAACTAAATGCCACTTGTGATTTGACTAAATTATTACAAAGAGCCATTACAGTGCGCGAAAATGCGTCGTTCTAGATTAGCATGATAAAGCGCCATACGTGAATCAAGTATAGCCAAACCGGGACATAATTATCATAAATTAAAATTATTTAATTACTCAAAGCAATCCAAAGAGAATGATTCAAACAAATTTTCAGCATATTTGTCGAGCTAATGTCACACAAAGGCGAGAAATATGTACTGCGAATGCAACAGATTACTATGGTTTGACAATGGTTTAGCACTTTCATGAAGAGTACTTCAAAACAGGGCGCGTTTCCAGTGGAGTTATTCCCTAGAGAGGTGAAAATGACAGATTCATGGTAAGTTACACGACTGCAAGCAAGAGAAAAGTTACATAAGGGGAAACGGGAAGCCAAATTTTGGGACTCGAAAGTATTAATGTTCTAACCAACAATTTTTTTATGATAATATTGAGAGTTCATTCCTGCTTAGAGTTTTCATTAGACTGAATGGTCGGTGCATTTGCATCTATTAGCCAGTTCCCTGTTGCACCGGATATAAATAATAATACAACTTCTCAAGTTCAGACAAATCTACTTCAGAAACTGTTTGATATTAATTCCAAAAGTTATCACGCATTTCTGCCGCATCGTCATATATTGTCTTTACATTCATCCAAAGAGTCAGCTATGTTTGATAATAGTAGAATACCTCATGGGAAAGACACTTGCCTTCTTTCCACATAGGTTAACCAGGTTCGTGCATTGTAAAGGACTCCCCATATACAGTAAATAAGCGAAAAGTTTCTGATAATGTGATGCAGTTTAGCAGCGTAGTGTCAAAAACGTTGACCTACTAGACGATATCTTGAGAGCAACTTTAATATTCACATTCGTCTCTCTTCATTCGAATCTAATTTTGCCCTCCTCTGATCTCTCTCTGATCCAGCAATAACCGTCAGCCCATTAAACCATAATTTGCCAGAAATATAATGAAAAATGCCCGTGGATAAATTTTGGGAAGTTTAGGCAGTATTGAGGGAAATATTTATGGCTCAGCAAGAAATGAGGGTGAACGTCCGAATGAAACGGAACTTTTTTTGTTAAGGGAAAAGTGGAACCTCAATCTAGAGATACTCTCGCAACTTTCCCTACGGATATTGCTGGCACCGTCCCCTTAATAAAGGTGTCCTCCTTACAGTCAGAACGAAAAATGTTCCATGCATATTTTTTGAGTAGATTTGTTTCGTTAGTATCAGAGAGAAAAGTTTTACACCTTTCATCTGGATCGATCTTGGCCCTTACCTAACTGGACAGAACTACAGCTTCTGATTATTTACAAAAGACTTTTGAACTTGAATCATATAAACTGTAGCTTATACTGCCACTTCCTCCTTTTCCCTCTCCTGTACTGATCAAGCCATATTTATTCCGAAAAGTTAGCACAGAGTTGGTCAGTTACGACTCTACTCGAATACGATATCTCCACTTCAGACTTCTAACGTCTGTTACCGCTGCATAACAGCATCGTGATCTATTACTTCATAATTGACTTATAGCATATTCTATTTCCAAGTTCAAATTTCTTTTCTCGTTTTGTTTTTGCCAGTGAAGTGAGTAAACATGTCAGTCATACCTCCAACGGTTGTCTCCGGGCCATGCATGTAATTATTCCAACATCAAAAGTTTTAGTTCCAGTCGTCTATCTCTCGCGGACGAGCGATCTTTTATGAAACTGAGAACGCTGATCTCATGATAAGAAATATCTATAAACAATATCTGATTTTTTTATGAGCTACGTTTCCACTCCATTACTTCAGACCGCCATTCATCTTTTGTGCTCAATCACCTCTTAATTATGAAAAGGGATCGAGTGGTAGTCATCACCGACTGCTGCGGCTACCGCCAAAGACCCATTCAGCGGCAGTCAAGCGGCAGAAAAATGAACCAACAATGGTGATTATCCGTAAATTTTATGCCAAAGAGCCGGACATGTACGCAAGACACTAATATATTCTGTGTTTAAGATCCTGTATGAAATAAATGAGCTTGATCGTCAGATCGACGGTACGCGAACAGTGACTCAGATGAAGGCCAACCGTCCAATGTGTTTTCACCTTTCTTAGGTAAGAATGCAAGAATATTAGCGCCATTGCTTAATAAATGCTCCTGCTCGATGACTCATGCGCGTTTTCTCATGTGTAGAGCACGCTAGTTCTTTCACGAACTCGTTTTTATAGTCTGGATGTTTGGTTACCGCCTGACATTTTTCTTCATTTGCCTATTCAGTTCCGAATCTTGCAAGTCGATCGATGAAACGTTTTTAGTCATTTGCTTTTTCTAGGCGCTAGGCGAAACAATCGTCATCATGGACAAGAGAATTCAGTTAAATTCATGCACGTTCTGCATGTTTAAGGATAAGGTCACGTTCATTATTGTCATCAGTACCGCAATTGCGCTTTTCAAGTGCGCTTGATTCACTCTGGGCCTTTGTTAAAAAAGATCACTATATTATCACCTATCGTACACGCTAAGCAAATTAACCATCCAAAGTTGTTGGATACAGTTAAATACGAGAGACCAGTCATACTTATCATATCTGGAGGAAATTATCGAAAATTAGTGAGTGCGAAGTCGCGCGATTCTCTTATTTTATTATTTTTATTGTTTTTTGTTGCGAATGTTACACCAAAATCCATGAGAAAACATAGGTCTTTTTGAGTCTCCGACAAAGTTTGAAACCTTTAAAACTAACGAAGTTTATTAAGAGCTTGGAAACGTTCATCATAAGTGTAAACCTTAATCTGTTCCACAATTACAAACTTCCCGCCAAATTTTCCCGCCACACAAGTTAATATATTACCATAGTGTGCAGCTGCACTTCCGCTACGTACCATATTTGGTAGTCAATTCGTAGTAACTTTCCATATTTGTCACATTTGTCAAAGTCCTTTAAACGGAAGTAAACCTGCCCAGGTGAAGGCGCGAAATGTTTAGCGGTGGCACAGTATGGTAAATTAAATGCAAGAGTATTGGCGCTCGTTTCAGATTTTCCCCTAATTTTTGGCGGTACAATGTGTATACTGCCTAGATACAATATCCTGACAGACAACAGGTGGGTAGAATTATATACTTTGGTCGTTAAACTCGAAAGGCATCTGGTGTTTACACTACAAGAGCTCGAGTTGAGAGTTCTGTTAGTTCCGAAAGCAATTTTACTCGTTGTTTGTATCCAAACCCACCACCTTAAAACTCTCTTAGCGAGGATTTTTGACACTTGACTCTATATTATTTTAATTAAATTTTTCTCTTCGTTTCTAGACAAGGTTTTTATCTGTAAACATTTTCTCTGTGGTAATATATTCGTTGCAGTTCAGCTGGGTTTATTGTGGCCCATTGAACCATGTAACTAGCCAATTTCCCAAAACGTCTTGTACACAAAAGCAAAGTGAATCTAGAGGTAACTCTGTGGTTTTTTGTTTCTCCGTTATAGCTGTATACGAGCTCCCTAAGTTGTCCTTCAATTTTATATAGATAAAATCTTTCACGATGAGCTCGAGTCAAATATATTTTAACCAAAATTTCGATAGTTTGAGGTCGTTTGCCAGCCCCGAAAATGATTTAATTAGCGTAGTTGTCGAAATGTGATGTTCACCTAAGCGTAATAAACCACCATAACTGTAACTTCTGGAAGAGAAATGCATTATACAGTAAAAATTTATTCAGTTTACAATCAATTCCGTCTGTCTCTAATTCACCAATGTATTATCAATTTTAAGCATTTTTACCATTTTTATGTCGCATGATAGGTTGTTTAATTATGTTACATATTTATTTAGTTAGTTATCATTTATGTTTTGATTTTAATTAATTTTTTTATTTGATTGTCTCCTGTGTTAAGCTGTGTAAAACTTAATTGAAAAGTGCTTGAGGCCTCGAAGATTCTTTGTCTCTGTTCTTAATTGCCGTCTGATGGTTTACATCTTTCTTTCTTTCCCCCCTCTGCTTTTTCTTAAGAATAGTAGAATTTTCTGTATTCAGATAAACAAATATAACAGGAACAAACCAACACCATAAAATTGTGGAAATTTTCATGGTCATGCATCTGCACATTTCTTTCAAGTGGGAAGAAAAAGTAGACTAATCTTTAATCATAACCATTACAATTTCCTCAAATATGATTGGTGCATTAGCTGCTTTATTTTTCACTAATCATTCTGTAGAACTACAACCAGACAGTGGGCTGTAATTGGACAGTTGAAGTAGTCAATCATACTAAGTCTACTCAGCCTAATCCACCAATCACAGAATTAAACACAATAACCATAGCAAAAGCCACTTATCCTACAAAAAAAGGAATTTCCAAAATGGAGAAATTTTTTTTCAATTTAGACATTGTCTCAACCGGAGATATTAGACATAAATGTATTAATTGTTTTCAGAAATTGAAATGGTTATGATTAATTGGTAATAGGACTTCTTGTTGTCCAATTCTGTCTTCAATCATACTTGTGATTAACAAATTGGACTCCCACTTTGTGGTCATCCAATTTTGTTTGTCACTGGTATGATTACAGAGCAAATTGGACTCCACTCAGTCCTATTATGATTACTAATCAAAACTATAACAAAACTATCAAATGTAATTAATTATCACCAGCCCGATTTTAACACTAATAGGACAGGGTAGGCACCATGCCTCTGTGACTAGTAAGTAAGTGTCTATCGTGCACGCTGTAGTTACACATTTCCCTGAGTTAACTGTTTTTTTTTTTTTTAAGAAAACATTTAACAGATGTCTAGTTTCTTTTTCAACTTTTGTTTTGGTTTAGATTAATTGGTAACAAGACAGTGTGTTCAATTCTGTCTGTAATCATACGTATAATTAACAAATCAGTCTCCCACTTTATGGTTGTTCTCTTTTGTTAATAATTTGTATGATTGCAGACTGAATTGGGCTCCACTCAGTCCTATTAATGTTATAAATCACGGTGAATGTCAAATAAACAACACTTTTGTTTTTTAATCTGAAAACTGAAACTGGAAAAGAAAAAAGGAAATTAAAAGTAATGAAAAACTGCACATGTAGTCTTGAAAATGATGAAGTAAACACCAAATTTAAAGTTTAATTATTTGTAAATAATGCCTTTTTGAAAATTTATGTATTCACACAAAATTTCTACTCTTAATACATGTATTTTCACTCAATGATATGCAACATCAATGAGTAACTTGACTTTATTTTGTTACAGATGACATTTCACTAAGCCAGAGTTTCAAATCCTTGCAAATGGAGGCTAAGGAATGGTTTGATAAGTTTTGCCAACAAGTAGAATTGGAAGAAAAATGCAAAGAGAAGGCTTGGAACATTTGGGAGTCTGTTTCCTCAAAAATAAAAGAAAAATCTGAGGTATATGAAAATTTAAAGGCTCATTTGCTTTTTAGTTTATTCAAAGAAGCAAATTTTAATTTGCATCAAGATTGTGGTATAAATAATGATTTCAGATTCTGTGTTTTCTTGCCTTCTTCAATGTGGATGTTTCAAGCTCTTCCTCCATTATGTGTTTGAAATAGGCATTTCCACACCAAGATAAATAAATGGAAAAATTTTGACTATTTCTATGAAATCAGATTTGTTAATTCTGTTAATATTATAAGACTAGAATTTAAAAACCAGTCCTAGACTTATCAAAACCTCAAAGTAATCCTTTAACTCTGGAATCAGTTTCAACTAGAATGCTGCAACTTCACGTTGAGTCTTTAATTAAATGTGGCAATTAAATCATACTTTGTTTCCCTTGCAGAATACTTTAATTCCATGGTTTATATGTGCCATATATGCTACGAATTGCGACATGAGGTTAGTATGCCGCTGACATGTATAAGAGTAGCTGTGAAATGAAAACCACCCAAAATGAAAGAGTTACCCATACAACCCTTTTTTCTGATATTTAGATTTAATAGTGTTCAAGATTCAGGTGCCACTAAAACTACCTGTTCATTGAGCAAGCTATTGAAGGAAGCTAAAATAAGGTAAGGCAAAACTGGTATAGACTGAATGAACTTTTTGTGGGCTCTTCTTTCTTTTATAATGATTTATCATTTATGGCTATACTCTTTTGAGGTGATAGCATCATACGGTTATAGACAGAAAGATGTTTTATACTAGTGAAGTTCATACTTTAAGTTGGTGCAATGATATTTTCTTTCTGGCAGCATGGTGGAATTCTTCCAGAAGATGAAAAAGTTCAGTTTAGTTTGGGAAGTTGGTTCCCCCATTACAGATCACCTTACTGAAGTAAAGAAAACATTTTGTATATCTGCTGCTCTGTTCCACAAGTTTCAAAGGTACGTAACTTATTTATAAACTTATTTATAACGATTTATAACAATTTTTCCCTTATTGAGAAGGACAATATTTGATACAAATTTAGCTCTTCTTTTTTTGCATGATGCCTATTACGCTAAGTGCAATGTATAACTTACATCAGTAAAATTCTTCCCCCATTGGTTCCATGGAATCATAAAACAAGCCTTGATTGTCCCATATGATACTTGTGATCCCATGTAACATCCTAAAACTTAACTTACAATTATGGTGTTGCAAATAAATTTCCTAATGACTGTAGTTATGGTGTCTAAGGCTGATGTTGATAATTTAACATTATGTAATATTTTCCTTGTTGCAGAGTAATGCCTGTGATTTTTAAAGGTTGTCAAGACTTATGTGACAGGTATTAATGAATTTTCCTTTTTTAGTAATTTTGTCATCATTTATATTGCAACTTCTGGCATAACATGTTAGCTGCTATGGTGCCTCTCCCCATGAGAGGCACCATAAAAGGTAACAGGTATAGACCTCTTTACTAAATGGCAAACATAGTTCCTTTTCTTTTGTTTTCATGTTAATCAGCCTTCTTACCCTTGTCAGTATCAGTAAAAATTATGGAATTTTTGCTGAAAAACAAAACCAAGAACTTTGAATTGTAAGCAATTTAAGGAATGACAAAGAGGCCCAAACATTATACAAGAAGTCTTTGCAGGTTTTAGAGGAAACAGAGGAAGCTACAACAGAAATGAAATGGTGTGGTGTATTTTAATGAATTTTGAGTTGACTGATTTTATTTGACAGTGAAGAGAGAATGGAAACATTAAAAAAAACATGCTGGCTTTTATATCTAGTCTACAAAGGTACAATTTTTTTTTGTCATAATCTACATCTGCTTTTATTATTAGTAGTTTGATTGAATGTAATCAATTTAACTGGACTTGTTGTATTAAGTTATATATGTACTCATTTGCTTTAAAACCCTCTCTTTGCATTGCACGCCCTGAAATGGTCAGCTCAAACTGGGTTTCTGCATTCTCCTGTTTGTATTTTCTGTAGGCTGGAATTCTAACCAGGTGAAAGAATTAATGACTGCATTCAATCTCTTGTTGTGCTGTGTGGATCATGTACACAGTAGATTTGCCCAACAGCTGCAGACAGGTGAAGGTAAAGTATTTACTTAATTCAAAGTGGAGGATTCCAACTCTTGATTAATTTTAATCAGAAGTGATTTTGATATGCATACTTTATTTGTCAATTATCCACACCATTATATATCAATACTGACACTGTTCCTCATTGTTGACATGTTCAGTTCTCTCTGGGACAAATATCCGGGAAAGTGTGGTAAGTCAACAATTTTTACTTAAAGTGAAATTAGAATCATGTTTCTGTTGTGTAGGTCCTTGAAGTACTATAAAAAAATCACTCACTCAAACTCTGTAACCCAAGCTTCCCACTGATGTGAACTGAAAGCTATTAGTTTAATTCATGACTCAGGCTTGGAGAGCATATGATCTGGTCTATCAGCTGGCTCAAACTCCCTGTGTCTTAAACTGATTTGTATTTTCCAGCAGGGTTGTCCCATACATTTGTCATACTTAAATCTTTAAAGTAAATATGTTTATACTTGTACTTTTCTGTGTGATAATCAAATTCTTGGATTCTCTTGAATTTAGCATGATGGAATCCTTCCCAATCTATGTGAGGAATTGAGTGTACCTCTTTCAAATGTATGTATAAAAATATATAATTTGTAGTTGAAGGAAATGATACATTTCATCTTGTTTCTGGTTGTCAGAATGAAGCATTAAGAAATGAAAATGTCAGTGGTTTACATCATGGAATTTAATCAGCACAATTCACTGACTTCTGCTTCTGTTAGCAAGTAAAATCTCTTTTTGTGCTGTTTCTTTTTTAGGTCGCATTAATCTACTCACAACACTTTAAACCATTTTTGGAGAAGTTAATTGAGGTACAAGTAACTTTGTTGATTACATGTATCATTTATTAACAAAGTAATGTCACAAAACTGTTATCATGAACAAACTTGCTGCACAAGTTCTTGTTGAGCAAGAGCTCAAACAACATTAATTCCCTGTACTGTACATCAACACTGAACAAACTTTGCCTTAACTGTTTAATCACATTTTGTTCATATGAATGATTTTCTTCCCTTTCTGCTTTGTTACTTTCCACAGCAAAATGCAAGAAACTTGTTGAAAGTAAGTAATAGAGTCAAGAGAGCTTGGATTGGTCATGTTGTTGCTAATCCAATTTGTTAAATCATGATATGTTTATTAACAACTCTGGTATTGACCCTCTAACCCCTAAGAGTGACTAGCATCTAATTATCCTTACAATATCACCACTGAATCACACTTTGATGTCATGAGAATAGATGAAATAATCACCAACTAAAGAAACTTTGATTGTTAGACAAATTTGCCATTAGTTAATTTACAGAGAACAGTATGGAGAATGTGGATACTGATGTTAGGCTGTAAAGGGTTAAGATTGACTTATAAAGAGGTGCTAGACAAAGAGAGGCCACCTCAGGTTAAATTTACTGTGTTGTTCAAATAAACACACTCCAAAATATATTAAAAGTAATGATTTTATAATGATATGGATTTAAAAGTGATCACACTGGTGGTGTTAGGTATTGTTCTGTAAATTATCTAATTTTGACACTCTCTGTCTGCAGATTGGTGATTTAAATTCCATCTACCAAGAAGTCTGTGCAAGATCTGGAGATGTTGATGAGAGAGACTTCTTTGACAAAAATGGCTATTTGTGGATTCCTTTCAATGAAGAACCCAGTGAAGTGGGACATGGCAGGTACAAAAGATCTCATATTTACCCAACTAGTAATTTTTTTTTACAAAATGTGAGACTAGCTGTATTTGATTTATTCAATTTAGTGCTGGAACTATTAGTGGTGGAACTACCAATACTGCAATCCATGATGAATTTCAACCTGTTTTGGTAACCCTAACAGCTGATTTAGAATCAAGGTGCAGTATATATGTACATCTTCAGCTCTAATTCTTTTTCTTGTTCTTCCTCTGGTTTGGGGTTATGTATGGATATTTCCTTCAGAGGGAACATAATCAGTGATCAAAATTATAACTGAGTCATAATACCTTCTTCTCTGCTTGGTTTCTTTTTCCATGTACAGTAGAAGGTCCTACCCACCAAGCTCATCATCATTTACTGATTTAAGAGCTACACTTGAAGAAAGAAGGTACTATATTTCCAAAGGGAATATGTGAGGTCTTTTAAAATTTTATGTTATGCAAATTAACAAGAATATGTACCCTTTTAAGATAACATAACCTTTGTTCTTTACTGTCACATTGTCATTCCATTGAGTGCCAAATACTGTATAGAGGGTAAAATAAGCAGTTCACTTTTATACTTACTCATAACTCAGTAATACATGTACATAACACAATCTTATTTTTGGAGAGGTGGAGTAACACAGTCCACTTGCACACTCAAGCTAGATCACAACAGCAAAGTATAAATATACTCAGTCTGGTTAGTCAACATTAAAAGTATCATTTGGAGTATGAAATGACATAATGCAGCTCTCCACACGTACTGATTGCAGGAAATCTTATTTGATAAATTATATATTTTGTGTTTAGCCATTTGCCAGGTCAAGAACTGATAAGGTTTTGGGAAGTAAGTATTTGTAAACAACATACCAGTATAATGTATTGCATTAAAAATGTATAATAGGAGCTTGAGGCTGAGGTAGAGAAATCCTGCTAACAGAATCATTGAAGATTCCATTCCAGATCCTTGTCACTCTTAAATGCCAGCCTTAAGCTTTTGTATGGGATAATTTTTTACTTACTTTGGCTTGAAATCCAACACCAGAGCCAAATTAATTTAAAACATATTGGCATCAATACTGAATTCTAAAAATTAAAAAGATGAAAATCATAGTCCTTATCTCAATATTTGTTCATTAGCCTGAGAAAAGTCTTACTTCAGTCAAACATGAAGTTACAAATATTGGTATCATAGGTCATAAGTTTATGTTTCAAGTCTCTTCACTCAGCAAGGAATTTTTTCATGTGGGATTTAATATATAAATGACTTATTTTCTCCTTTTAGTCTTGCGGAAGAAATCCTAGAAATCTCATACAATCCAAATTAACAGGTGAGAAGTGACTTTTTTTTTTACTTTGAATTATTTAGAATATACGTAAGAAATAAATAAACATTATAATTCTCTTTTACTATTGGATAGGATCTGACAAGTATTTGATGATTACATTTGTTGGTTGACTTAATTAAAATTTTTAGCCGTTCAGGACGGTTTCCTGAAAGGATTTGATGACACTGCAGTTTGTGAAGGGGACTATAATATTTCAATTCAGGTAATTTGCTTTTATATGGTTATTGACTATATCGTTTTAACCATTTCACTCCCAAGATCTCATTTGGTAATTCTCTTTACTGTCTGCCGTACAGTTCTAATAATGTTTGTTCTGAGAAGTTGGTATTAAATCACCATCTGGATCAACTGATGTTTTCTTTGTTCTCATCACTTGTCTGTATGATAGAAGAGATGAAGGAAGGTGATAAATTGTGATATCTTTTTTCTTTGATGACTGGACTCAAAATTAACCTTTTCTAAAATCTGTTTTAATGTAATATCTTTTGTGTTTTTTGCAGATTTTTGTCCTGGCAAAGAAACTTTATTATAGAGTTATGGAGGCTATGCTGTTGGCAGTGAGTTAATTTCTTTTTTGCACTTGTTAGCCACAACAACATCTGTTTAACTTGCAGTTAAACTTATTTTATCTTATTTCATACTGTATACTTCATACACAGGAAGGTCTTCCACATATTCCTTAATAGAAAGAAAGCTATGCTTACTGCAACTTAGAGAAAAAGTGAAGCAAGCCACAAATTATTTTTTAACAAGAATTATTTCTTTGTCTTTCAGGAAGAGAAAAGATTATCTAATAGTGATTTCAGGTAGTTACTGTCTCCATGATTTGTCCTTTACAACTATAAAGATGTTTTTTAATAGGAATTTTACATTTTTGGAAAAAGGTGGAATGCATTGTATTTTCTGAATCAATCACTAATTGTTTGTTTTCATGTTGTCAGTGCTCTACTGAATAGTGAAACATTCCATGTTTCTCTTTTGGCCTGTTCCCTTGAAGTTGTTATGGCTGACAAAGGATTGTCATGTACGTAATACTTTTATTGGATTGTTCCTTTATCATATGTTATGTAAGAACTTCAATCACCCAACATTTACTTCAAACCACCTGCATCCATTGGATAATGTTATCATCCAGGGTTAGATATCCCTTGGATGTCTGTCAGAGTAGTGCTCAGTACTTCTCATTTCTGATACAATAATTTCCAGGGCCAACTCTAGCATTTCCTTGGATTCTTGGCATTCTGAAGCTGGAGGTAATACACTGAAGTTAATGTTATTCAGCATCTACAGTTTTTGTCAACATTTTTGTCTCCTCAATCTGTTATGGAAATAGTATCAACTGATTCAAAGTTGTGAATTAACCCTTTCACTTCCAAGAGTAATCAAAATATAATTTTTGTCCTTAAAATATTTTCAAGACAGTGAGACAGGTGATGAGAAAACAAGAAAAACATCAACTGGATGATATTGTTAACACTAAATTTTCAGAGCTTAAATACTTTGCAATATGTGACAGACAAAGTGAAAAATTGATGCTTGAAACTTAGAAGTGAAAGGGTTTGATCTAAAATGGTATTTTGTTTTCTCTGCATCACCAATAACGATTGAAATGCAAAACTTAAGTAGCTGTATTTTGAACCTCAGAGTTTGCATGTTATTGATTGTGAAAGTTCTTTTGCATTTTAGGCATTTGATTTTTTCAAAGTCACTGAAAGTTTCATTCTTCATGAGCCACTTCTTAGTAGCAGTTTAATTAAGGTAAAGAATGTACCAATGACCTACATGGTGTTTGAAACTTTTGGCAGAAACTGGAAAATTATTTTGATCATCAGTAATTAAGCAATAATGCTAACTTGTTTTTTGTTTTGTTTTGTTTTACTTTCTTTTTGTCAGCATGTAAATCGAATAGAGGAACAAGTGTTGGAGAATTTGGCATGGAAAACGGTGAGTGCAGATCAGCAATTATTTAGAGGGCCTCCCCCTTAGCAAACCTTCAAGGGAGTTGAGATACCAAAAACTTCGTTACAAGGATAATACTGTTTATTGTCCTGTTGTCTTGAGCAATCGTATTTCACTGTTGTTTCTGACTCTCTTTTCCAGGGTTCACCTCTATTAAAAGCAATGGAAACCTATCATCCACACTCTGACCCAGCAACAGTGTAAGTATTTGTGAAAGGATGCTGCCACTTAGCTATAAAAGCGCTTCAAAGGGATAACCGGAAACCTATATTTGGCAGACCAAATTTCTATTATTGACGAGGAAGAGCGCGAAACCACTATATCTGTAGTGATTTGTTTGTTGGACATAATTTTTCATTCTTATCAGTTAACTTTGTTTGTCTTAGAGGCTCTGTTCAGCAGCAAAAGAAGTCGCAGTCTCTAAATTTGTTTTTGAGGAGAGGTTAGTGCTAAGATTTTTCTGGCCTTTCACTCCAAGTTGTGAGAGTTTTTACAATCTTGTCATACTTTTGATACTCAGTCAGGGGAAAAGGTAATGTTACAGTATATAACTCAAACGACAGTGTTTTCATGTAACACGTGTGTTAACAGGCCAACTTGCGAAGAACTTTTTCAAAATGTAACCTACGCTTTTTTTATTTTTTTTTTAATGTCTGCAGTAAACCAGTTGTCCTACCATCGTTTAACAACGCTTTGTGATAAACTTGAAGTCAGTGACACGCTGGTAAGTATGACATGTGCAGTATTGTGGTCCTGACCATAATGGCCTCTCGAACCTAGAACTAAAACAGGCGCTAAATTGAGCGCGAAGATTTCAATCAGGGTGTGTGCGTGGATCTCAATTTATGATATGAAAACCTTAAAGTCTAACCCATTTTGTTACCATGTTTTACAAGAATTTCAATTAATCTCTCCAGACGTAAACGAACCACGTAAACGTTAATTGTGTTATTCTTCTCCAAGATTGAAACAACATCATAAACACTTTACATCTTGACGGGTTCTACTATTGGAAACAATTTGAAAAATAAGATTAAGTTTCTCGAAATTAGTTTTAATTAAAAAAGAAAAAGAAAAAAAAGTTGTCGTCAAGAATAGTTAATGCCACTGTGCCGGCTTTTCTACAACCCTCAGTTACACCTAAATAATAAAAGCTGTTTTCTCTCTCAAGAAAGGCCTCTAAACCAGTAGTATATCTTTGTTCAGACGTGCTTAAAATTCTCATGTCAGGTCAGTCACATGTGGACGTGCTTGGAACATTCACTGAGATTGCATTGGCAGTTGATGGTTGACCGTCACTTGGACCAGGTTCATGTACAAAGCGTTGCATTTATGTTGGCTTCATCCTTTCACTCTCAGGAGACACCCAAAAGAACATTCTCCTTAAATTTTCAACTAGAGTATATCGTTTGATGTAACATTAAGCGTAAATTATGGGAATTGTATGGCAGGCAGCACGGAAAATTGATATAAATATTGAATGAGAGAGAGTATTAAAGACACTTCGGTACTCCAGAGCTTTCACTTATCTGATCTGATTCTGAGCAGCCCGCGCCAGCCAGCGGCCGCTCGTGCGAAGGACCTTTCTTGTCCGATTTCTCGCTTGCGTACTTCTAGAGCATGTCTTTCACAGAGCACCGGCTACACGGGCTATTTCACCTAAAAAATCCAAATTTAGCGGCAGTAATTTAATCTTTCACTTTCACGTTCAAAATTTGAATCATACATACACAATCGGGGATTGAGATCATTGAAATCTTTTTCTTATGATTGTATTTTAAGACGATGAGAAATAATTACTTTATCTCCCCTACAGATGCTTTTGTGTGCAGTGTACGCCATTTCTAAGGTGGTCGGAAAAGAAATTCAATTTAAACAGATTGTCACCGTCTACAAAGGATTGCCATTTGCATCGGCACAGGTAAGTTTCTGAAAGGAATTTGTTTACTCAATTAACCCTCAAAGGAATTTGTTTACTCAGTTAACCCTTTAACTCCGGTGAGTGACCAAGACAGAATATTTCCTTACTGTATCAATACATTATCATGCAAACAAGTGATGAGAATAAAGAAAAATATCAACTATAGGATTACTAATTGTCCGATACCACATTCTCCCAACTAACATAACGAGAATCGTTTGGCAGACAGTAAGGAGAATTACTAATGAGATCTTGGGGGTTAAAGGGTTAAAGGGTTAAGCTCCCGCTCAGTTAAGCTCTCGCTCAGTCATCTATGCATGCGTTCGTTTATTCATTTATTTTTGTTGTCAATCTCTGACAGAAAGTGATAAAGAATGTAGAAAGTGCTGTCTTGGAAAGGAGAATTTTTCTTGAAATCAATTTTTTCCCAAGACGACTTCAGTCGATAAGTCAAAACAATTAATAAAAGTTTCATGCTTAAAACTTTACCAGTGAGTTTTCTTTGGTCACAATACTCTGGGCTTCCTTGATAGATTAGGAGCCTCGAATCATTTTACCCCGTAGTAAGCTATGAATGTGGGTACATCGTTGTAGAATAATAAGCAATTGTTCCACGAGCGCGCGTGAAGATTATAGATAGCCAACGAGGACCGTAGGGCGGAGTTGGCTATAATCATCTCATATCCAGCAAATGCGAGTAGAATAATTGTTTAATTAAAAACGCCCCAAAATATAGATCAATCTTCCTAACTTTTATTATGTAAGGACAAAAAACACTAACCATATTTTTAGAGCAAGGTTTGATGGGTCATAACCCATGATGACTAAGCCAGTTACAACTCTTGAATCGAATCATCCGATAATCCAGCTTTAATAATAGAGAATATTGACAATTACTTGAATTTTAGTTACGTTGTTCTATTAATTCCACCAGGTGTACAAGGGAACCTCCGGCAGAGAACAAGAATCAATCATTGGATTCTACAACAAGGTGTACATGGTTGCAATGAAGTCCACCATTCTTCAGTTTGCACCAAACAAGGTAAGTGAACCTTTTTTTTTTCATTGTTAATGGGAGTCTGTACACGAATCAAGTAGCCTTATCTTGGTGTCCACAGCATGAAGTGACTAGGAGTGTTCCTTTTTCTCATTGTTGGTTACTCTGCCCCCCTCCCCCTCCCAGCATCTTCTCAGTTTTTCCAGGGAGACGCTCTGCGAGAGTTAAGTGTCTCTCCCTTGAACTCAACACATTGATTTGGCCAGGCCTCGAACGCGGACCTTTCGACCCGGAGTCCACATTCTTTCATCATCCTACTTATCATGGGTTGCACTCTTCCTTTCGCACGATCCAACAGATGTGATATTTGGTGAATTCCATGTCCGAAAAATACTCGCGGTTTTTACTCGAATATCGTTCTCTAACATAACGTAACTTGAATAATCATGGCTTCAAGCTGATATGTAATGTGCAGTTTAACTTTAGTTTGTTGAAGGGTTCATGTATTTTTTTTCCCGCACAGGACGCTCCTGTTTCACCCGCTCCCAAAAGCGCAGTGAGGTACATTGTCATTTTGTTCCATGTAGTTGTGCGTGTGTTCTAAGACTAATCGGTTGATACGATTTGTTAATGACACTTATGTGTTAAGATCCCCGATAAACATTCTCGGCCATTTGGTGTGCCCTTTCACCATGTATATCTTCATGTTTTTTGGCTTAAAATACTATTGTCGGTTTGTAGGGTTCCAGGGAAGAATAATTTTTATCTATCTCCTCTACGAAGCTCTCCAAGCGAAACTTTAACTCCAAAACCAAGGTAAGTAACAAATGAAAGAAATAACAAAGGAACATGACTTAATTCACTCAAGACCTTTCATTTTAGTAACAATTGATGGGGAACTAGAAAAGCTCTCTCTCGTCTTCAATGTTGAAAATACATTTCATAGTACTTGGTTTTTTTAATTAGTTACTCGTTTATTTCGTAGGTCATCATTCAGCTTCGGGGAGTCCCCAGGGGTAAGTTTGTATGAAATTCCCACACAGTCTCCGCCCCCAATCACCCCAGATGTTATTATGGTATTTTAACGAGGCGACTCCGGAAGTGAAAGGGAACGACAAGTCCAAAGACTCGCGTGTATACGTCACCCCGGGAGTTGGGAGGTTGCGGAAGGGGGTAGGGTGGATTGTCACTGTTTCATTCCCTCTTAGGAATCGCGTTTTTTTTTTAATAATGTAGTTGTTCTATTTGTAAGACTTCTTTGTATTACTATTTACCTTTAGTCCGCTGACCGTGAGAGCCTGTCAAGAATAAATGCCTCCGTACGAGCAGCGGTGCACAGTCAACTCAAGGTACCACAGAAGAGATTGCGCTTTGACGACTGTGACCAAACTGAACCAGGCCCTGTCCTCACGAACGGCCACTCGACAGAAAAGGAGACTGGGCCACATTTGCATGGAAGGAATGCTTCGAAGGAAGAGGAAGAGAAAGGGGATGAAAGTTATTAAAAAATGGGAATATCGCCCAGGGGAAGGGTAAGGGGTACACCCAGGAATTCTTGTTGAGGCTGTGCCTCTTGGTTTTCCTCTTGGCCCTTTGAAGGACATAACCATGAAATTCCCTCAGCCTTTTTCTGACCTTGCCAAGTGAAGTGAACACAATGCTTAAGAGTTTCAATTATTTATTTGCTGTAAAAGTACTTTTGGATAATGAAAAGTTTTTAACGCGCAAACTTATAGACCAGAGCGAGTTTCCTCGTTCAGGCGTCATGGCTATAGCATCCACGTATATATGTACTTCTTAACCCTCTAAATTCTCTTCGACTTCAGTGGTCAATACCGGATTTCAGGTGGGGTGGGGTGGGTTGTGGTAGCACATACCTACACTGCTATAAAGGGGAGTATCCCTTATTTATAAGGGAGGAGGGGGGGGAGGAAAGAAGTTCGTAACAAAGTATTGCCATGTATGAAATATTGTGTCCTAATTTACGCAGGTTTAAACATATTTGTCGTTAAATTAAGTTTCGTAGTGGTTTTTTTGCTTCTTTTTTCGCTCCCAGAGTACTATGTATAGGTATTTGAAAGAAAATATCTAGTCACTTAAGCATGCGTCTTCTCCGATGACAAGAAAATTTATGTCTATATTAGGGCGGTTTAATGCCGGAAATTCTTTTGTTGGCAAAGACAGAAAACAGGCCATGTTAGCCGGGGATGAATCCTTCAATAAGTTTTATTGTTGATTGTTCACTGGCGTGAAAACTAAACGAGGCGTTCCGTTATGTCAACAATTTCATTTCTTCGGTCCTCGGGATTCTGCTGCCAAATTAGGATATTGAAAGATTTAGCCCTGAAACATCCAGAAATTACGGTGTATTTTTTCTTGGTATTTAATCTGACTGGATTTTAATGAATTGAACTTTATAAGGATGGACTATTCTGCAAGTAGAACGTATGATGTGAAAGGGTACTGCTGCATACGTATATCAGTGCGTTGAAAATACGATCATGGACTACAGATCGCTTAATGTTCCAATTCTATTCTAATTTTGGCTCGGAATTTTTGGCAAGACCTCAAGTCACGTTTTATTTTGAGCGAGGTGAATTCACAAATTATCCAGAAAACATTTTAATTAACCCACATCTTACTTGAGTAGATTACACGTTGATTAATGTAAAAAAGATGAGCTTCATTATGGAATATCCAATGTATTTATGCATCATGGCCATTAGTCTTTTCCTGAGACTAAATTGGTCATATTCCTGTAAAAATCCTCCAATTATATATATTATTTATTATCACATCCTGTTGCAATCATATGTATCCTGTCTTGCTCATAAATAGCTTGTCCGTTAGTACGGTTGAACAGGCATGAAATCTACTTTGGCGAGGTTTAGCAACTGTCCGTCACGTAACATGTACAATCGACTTTCAGGGTTAACCCCTTAACTCCTAGATATAGCATGTAATTTCTCCATTTGATATCTATTCGTTTTCTAGCAAACAGGTAACAAGAATACTCAAACTTACCAGGAAGAAGTTTTTAACTTGATCTTACACCAAATTCTTTGAACTAATTTACAAGGAATTGTGTAGCAGGAAGTGGAGAGAATTAACAATCAGATCTTGAAAGTTAGAGGATTGATATCAGCGTGCTAAGTTCATCGCTCAAAGGATTCACTTGCACGTAATCGATGGGTTAAAGCTTTGACATTAGAACAAAAACAAGAGGTAAGACAAACGCAGGGACGTGAGGTGAGCAGGCCGTCAAATACCTTTTTCTGAATATTTGTTACACTTACAATCGTTATTGTTTTTGTTTTTTTTCGTCTGGCTTGAGTCCGGCCCACAACTCTCCTGAAGGAACCTTTCCCCCCTTAATGAATTTAGTGCTAATATCTTCATCTTATCTCGCAATTTAAAACAAACGGAGAAAGATTAAAAAAAAAAAAACAAAAATAAATTGAAAAAATGAAAAAAAGCCGGCTGCAACACTGATCCCAAGCAAGACTCGTTTAACCTCCCGCAATGTGTTATCGATTCGTTTGCACATGTGTTTTTTTGTCCTTATCAAGGTGCTTGTTTCTGAAAAGTGTCGTTGACGACCCACGGGGGAAATCCAAAGGCACATGTTTCAGAGGGAGAAAGTTATAGATAACACGAGTTCTGTGACAGGCGGCCGTGTAGGTTAAAGCTCTTAAATTTATTAAGTTCGAGTAACTGCCCTGTGCTTAGAGAATGTTCGGTGAGTCAATTACTTGCTTTCCCCAAATGACCTCGCAGCATCCCATTTTAGCCTATGATTTTACGAACCCATCAATCTGAAGAAGCGGAATCAAACCTTAATTTTCCACATAAGGTACGGGTTGTTAGGAAAGTTGATCTTAAAATTAGTTTTTGCCAATTTAACTGTAATTAAAAACCGTCTGATGAACGTAGTTCTAAAGATAGAGAGCGTTGATAAGCGCCAAATCCCTCTCATCCTTCGCGTAATGGAGACGAGCCTTCCGTTTTGAATTGCAATGTAATCCCCTGTTGAAGGTTGCTCTTATTGTGTTATTTAAAGATGGATTATTTTTCTCAGCAGTTCCTGTCCAGAATTAGATTGATGGATCATTTTGTCACTAAGGTTATGCCTTGATTTTAAGGTTATTGGTTAAAATCAGGAGAGATAGACTTGTTCCTACAAATTATGTTATTTTTAAAGAATTGAGCCACATGCCCTGTTAGATTTGCCTTGTATTTCTGACAACATGTCATCAAAATAACGCATTCAAATTGGCAACCTCCAAATGTTGATTAAGCATTAAACATCAGCCACTATTAGTTTACCAGCGTGATAAGCCATGCAGGAGGTTTATGGAACACGAGAAAAGTTTGTAAACCACCAGCCAAGAACCTTTTATGAAGCAACGTCACAGCATTTCAGTTTCTGAAGAGAACCTTATAATACGATGTGTTTTTGATCAATCAGGACGCGCGTACTACAATATACCTTGTGTTTCGGACCAATCGGGACGCTCGTAGTATCTTCTTTTTTTAAAACATAAACAACACATGTTTAGCTCTATTATGCAATGTTGAAACTTTTAAGGTCTTACTTTGTGGGAATTTGCCTATCGACAAAGACAAGCTCACGAAGAAAAAATTCCTGCCAAATTAAACGCCGCAAAATATGATTTACGTCAAAAATCTGAGAAAGAAAACTCCTGCTTTCCATATCAGACGCTTTAAAAGTTAAACCAAATACGTCAATGAACAGTCGGGGCTGATTGGGACAAATAGTATGACAATTTATCTGTAATTGCATTAACGATCGAGACGATTGTACAGTTTAGTTTGCGGTCGTGGAGTATTTCGGAAAAAGATTAATTAGGGTTACGGCATGTGTTGTCAGCGTCCTCTATGCTTTTAGAAATATTTTAAGTGTGTGGCAACGGGCTCTTGAAGTCTTGACAGTTTTTCTCTCCTAGTCCTTAAACATAGAACGTCGTCTACTAAAAGGATTACGTAAGGAAGTTTAAAAAACTTTCAAGTAGGAAGGACTCTTGGGTTCGAACCACTGTAGAATATCGCAGGCATTTTTTTAACCTAAATTTAATTTACTTAACTCATTGCCAATCTTGATTTTTGCAACGAACGATCTCATGCGCTTTTTGACGTGGCCTGATGTTGTTGAACTAAGTGGCTTTGTAGAAACGCATTAGTTAAGGGGGTCACATAGTTTCAATTAAAACTGTGAAATGTCACGGAAATGTCTCCTGATAGTTATTTAGACAAAGCCGTATGCACTTTTAGATCAGGCGGGCCATTTTACCCAACTAGCGAACGCCCACGCCAAGAGCACATTCGCTGTTCTAAAGGGGGCTGCGACGTATTTCAAGGAGTAGAGGGCTAAAAATGAAATTTCTCGTGTTCGTTTGGTTTGGAATTTTTCTCGCTATCTGCAGAGCCAGAAAAGGTGAGGTGGACAGAAAATTAGTTTCCAATTGTGTTCAACCAGCCACATTTAATTTGCCGTAACAGAGGTCTCCGTAACTCCGTGAAGGTGGATTAGTTTCCTTAGGATGTTTTACTGAAAGTTTTCATGTAGGACTGTCGAAAGCACTTTTCCTCAAGATTAATATATCTAACAGAGAAAACGCCACCGTGTAAGGGATTTTATTTTCTTAAATTGAAATGATCGCGACCGAACAAACCAAGTTTGATTAAGCCAAGTTTTTTCTGAAGACACCTTTTCGGGAACGATAGGTTTGCCCTAGCATGCCGACACATAAAGCTTACACAATATATAAAGTTTATTGGGTATTTCATGTGACACCCAGCTTACGTGAAAATGGAACAAAGTTTGTCACGCTCTCAACGCGTGTATTTATTTAAAGACAAAATAAATCGTATTTCAGTCAAAATCCTGATAAGAAGACAAACGTGTCTACGGCTAAAAGCAAATGTGTCAAATACTTCTTGTCATCATTTACAGGTAACTCAATCTCATTGTCTTTAGAGTGAAAATAAATGCCAAATATTTGCCTTCGAGGTCAGTTTCTCTATTAAAAATTGTTGCAATCACTTTCAATGATTTCCCAATCTTACAAAGTTGTCTGAAAATTGCTTTCGGAATGCTGTTACCAGACTTTGCATTTTCGTGCAACAATTTACGACGAGCCAATGTAAACAAACGTTACATAATTTGTTTTACCTTTTATACCCTAAATTCAGTATACATCTTCTCCAAACTGTTCTCTATACATTTCCTAGGGTACTGACAACGAGATTTTATTGAACAAACGAGAGCTTTTTTAATTTGTGATAATTTCCTCAATTCTTGTGATCACAATGTGTGATTCAGGGGTGGTGTCGAGAAATTACATGCTGGTCACTCTCATGGGCCAAAGGTTTGAAGCCAATCACGGCCCAAATTTTTGACTGATATGCTTGTTTTGAAGTAAGTGCTTGTTGTTTGGTAAACATGAGCTAATTCTGCTTTGCAAAAGATCTGACTGCTCTCAATTGGCTTTTGGATGGAAAGATAACATGGTGCAAAGCTAATACAAACCTGCTATTTGCAAAGCCGTAAAGAGGCTTTTTTCTTTGTTTAATCTTTCAAAGAAAAAGCCTGTCTTATACATTGTTAAATTTTTCAATAACAACGTGCATTTGAATTGGCAACTTAGTTTCTTTTGCTAGCTGTGACTTAAGAATCACGTAAAAAAAAAAAAAAATTTTAACTTACTAAATCACTGCTCAAAGTCCTACAAGGCGTACAACATCTCCCGCAAAGAATTGACATAGGATCTCATGAATAGTTCTAGCGCACACCCAAGTTAAATTTTGATCAATCAATACTTTTTTTATCTGTCCAGGGGGTATTATGGTAAGGGTAGATATTTTCGGGATTGCAGTATTTCTTTTCTTTTTACCACACTTCTCTTCGTTTGGGGCATCCACAAAGATCGGTACTCTGTCGGTATCATAAACCAGCGTTGATTAATTTCAACGTAAAACGAGATTATATAATACCATTGCTTTGTGTACATCCGTTTTAAAGAAAGTGTACAATAAGACATTCACAAAAGATACCCCTTGCTCCGCTTGACAATCGGTTGAGCTGTGAACGTGTTATGACATGGGATTTAGATGGAAAACTGTGATTGTTTCACTTGTTGACGTTCACTTTCATACATTCTGTTGTTTTTTAAAATTCTGTAGGGACAAGAAGCACCCCAATAAAGCTTAGAGTAGACGCTTCATCTCCTACTTCTCTGAGACTATCATGGGACCTGCCCATGGTTGGGCCGGATTCTCTGGCGGGGTACAGCCTTGTCTTCGTCCCAGTTCAAGCTCAACACAAGAGAAGAATCCACGTTGAACTTTTTGTAAGTTACTTTTTACTTTGCTGACACACAACAATTTTTATAACTTCAGTTTTAATTAATGGTGTTACTCTGTATCAGTTGATAATATACATACCGATCGGGTAATATGTACATGATTACCATCACGAAAATAGAACACGTTCAATACAAAGTAAGTGCAGAGTATGTCGCTCAACTAGCACAGTCTTTGGGATCAGTGTGGTCAGTGTGATCAGTGTGGTCAGTGTGGTCAGTGTGGTCAGTGTGATCACTGTGTGGTCTCGCTATATAGTGAGTGTAGTCACATCAGTCCTGGCGTTCGCTTCAGTTGACGTGGTCCTGCGCAGTTCAGTTGGTTTCGTTTGGCGTTGTTGCTGTAGTTCGTTGCATTTTAGTAGGTGTAGTTTGGTGTGGTTG